CTCATATATGGGTAGTATGGCCGAAACTCCTCCCCAGAATTTGGGGTCATTCCTAGCCTCGTTGAAACTGCTTCGAGCTCTAAGAGGTTGTCCATGAGGGACTCTGGCACGTACTGCCCACCAAACTCGCCAAAGCGAGCAGGCATTGCGGCCTGATCTCCGGTCACATTGAGTGCTTCCAACTGATCCACCAGGCTGGCTCCAGACTTTTTGTCATTGGCAACTACTTCATCAACCTGTGCATTCGTTGGCTCCTGGGCGTGAGCGAGAGCTTCAGTAAGACCCACTTCTCGAGTCAAAGGCTCAGGCTCTGTGTTACGTTCCACTTTCCTCCCAGTGATACTGGTACAATATTCTTCGATCTTCTGGACTCGCTGGCCAGCGGGTGCTTCGCCCAGGACCGTGATAATCTGGCTGCCGATGACCGCGCCTTCAGAGATCTCCTGCACTTTCAAAAAATGCTCTCTGGTACTTATGCCGAATCCTAGCGCAGTGGGGATGTTTCCGGAGTAGGAGTGGACCCGAGCAAGGAGCTCCGGGAGCCCTTTGCTTAGTTTCCCCGTTGCACCTGTAACACCCATTCGAGAAACGACGTAAATAAAGGAATCAGCGATTTTACAGAGCAGTTTCATTCGAGAATCGGAGGTGGCGGGCGCGATCAGTGGAACATAAGATAACCTGCATCGCGGATTAGTATGACACATAACGAATCGCCAAAAGCGATAGCTTAGATAAAATTCGACACCCTCAAGGGCAAAAAATAGCCAATCGATCGTGACAAAAAAAAAGGTCAAGCAGATACGAAATAAAGAGAAAAAGGACCAAAAAAAAAAAGAAAAAAAGACCCATGCTTACCCCTCCTTTCGGCACAGATCCCGGAACCGTATCGCTTCTTCGGGAGGAAGATCAACCATGATGAATCCATTTACGCCAGCCTCCCTCGCATCCCTCAACATTTTGTCCTCCTTGTACTGGAGCAAGGGGTTGTAGTATCCCATGAGCAATACGGGAATCCTCAACCCCCGGCTTCGCGCGGTGCGCACCATATCCAACACCGACGTAACCGTCACACCATTCTTCAACGCTTGCGTGTTGGCTCTCTGGATGGTAGGACCGTCGGCGATAGGATCTGTGAAAAGGCATGCCCAGCTCGATCAAATCTTATATTTTGCAACGGTGAGCGACACAGCCAAGTCAGCAATTTTTGTTATTCGTGCGTTTTTTTGTTCCCTTTCATCCTATTCGCTTTAACTTTTTCCGCCTTGCTGTATTCTTCTTGGTGAGAGGGGGGCGCGAGGGGGGGGGCGGGGGGGAGATGAGAACTGAAATGAATACAAGCAGGATATTAAAAAAAAAAAAAAAAAAACGAAGGCACAAAAAACAGAACACCTATGAATGTTCCGCGAAAGACCAGAGACGCGGATACCGTATACCAACCCGATTGAAAGCCACACATATACACAGCACCACATCATACTTCATTTCACTCTGCCTCCCTTAGTGCAAAGGCCGGGCTGTCGTGTCATTCCCACCGCATAACAGTTGAGAAACAACAACAAGAATACTCAACGCAACAACAGGAGCGACAAACAGGAGGGGGCAAAAAAAAAAAAAAGATATCAAGAAAAGAAAAGTAAAGAAAAAAGAAAAGAAAGGAAAAAAAGGAAAAGCATCTGACTCACCAGCCCCACCAGCTTCCATCCCAAGCATGATATCTGGAGTCTCATGCTTCTCGGGGTAACCAGCTGTAACATACGCGACGAGGCGCTGCGCGCTTTTCCCTCTTGCATTGCGCGAAGGTCTGTTTTATTTTCTCCATCGCGGATTCTTCAAAAAGATGTCGACAGGCTCTTTTGGGAAGGTGATGTATACTAGTATCGGAAATGGTTGATGGGGGTGGAGGGCGGGGGACGGAGGCGGTGCGGAGAACTTTGTAGGGTTGAGGAGCTGAGGTTTGTTTTAGTTTTGTAGAAGGCAGCGAATCCGAGGAAGATATGGGGAACAAAATTCGTTCCAATTCCAATTCCAATTCCAATTCCAATTCCAATTCTTGGTTGATAAAGCAGGTGTTCGTGGGGTATAATTTCGACCCAGCGTTGCGGCGCAACTCCTTGGTGGGACGTGATGCGCGGGGGGCAGAAGAGGGGGGGGATCTTTCGTTGTATGTACTGTACCTAGAAGAACAACTTCATTTCGCCCCTTAGTAGAACCACACCTGGATACAGGCAGAAGCAGAGGCAGATGAGACGAAGCGTGCGCTCGTGTCAATCGTGTCAATCGTGTCAATCGTGCGTTGACCGCAGTTTCCGTGACTGTGACTGGAAATCTCGGGCCAGCTTCGGCTCTTGGTGACGGATGACTAAGCCTCTCCAGGCGGGGCTTCTCATAGCCAATTCGAAGAGTTGAATGCGAAGGCGAGACAAGACTGGGAGAACCTTGGCAGGGATGCAGCATTACCTACATACTGCGTAGCGGCGTACTTGCGTAGTACGCAGGTGCAGGCGTGAATTATGGCGTGCATGAAGGGTGCATGATGACCGTTTGGAAATCCATGGCTGACAGCAAAATATCATTGGAGTCGAGGTTACTCGACCAGTAAAACCAATTAAATAAATAAACGAATGAATGAAGAAATAAACAAAAATACAGTATTAATTTTTGTAACAGTTGGATATATCACAAAATTAATCCCTTTTATTAAGGTGAAAAATAATAACACCAACATAAACCAAGAAAACAATATCACAGATTAACACTATGTTGATCAAATTGAAATTAATATTATTCCCGTGCTCACTCAATTTGAATATAATACGAATAATGAACAACAAAAAAATATTAGGAGATGGAATAGAGATGAGATATAAAAAAAACAAATGAGATTGTCGAGGGGGGGGGTGGTGCAGGGGGAAATTGAAAAGTTGAAAAATCAAATCAAATCAAAACATGCTTCACACATATATCCCATTTCCCACCTAATAAAAGAAACAAGACGACTTTGAGAGACAAAAATAAAAACAGGTGCAAAACACAAAACAGAGTTATCCCAAGGTTCCCAAGGCCCCCAATTTCCAAGTAAGGAAAAGAAACAAAAAAAAATTAAAAAAAAAAACAGAAAATTAAAATCAAAAATCAATAAATAATCAATAAATAACAATAGCAAGCCCCATTATCCAAATCCCGATGTTATGCCGCAAAAAAAAAGAAAAAAGCAAATCCAAAATCCAAAACAATAGTCATTTTTCCCTCCCCCGCCCGATGCATAAAAACGAAAAACGAAAAAAAAGTATCGTGGAAAAAAGTCAAGTATGCCCTAGCGGTGAATAGTTACAAGAACAAAAATGAGTGACTTGGCTGATGCACATGTAAGAACGGACTGGGTGTAAATGTTTGAAAGAAAAAGAGAGAACATGACACCCCAAGAAATGCTCAAAAATATATGGGGTTTCCCGTAGTCCCCTGTTGCTGTTGTTCTTGTTGAAAGTGCTGTGGAGTGAGAAAGAGCGAGCCACTTTCCAAGAAACAAAACCCGATTGGTGTTGTGTTGTAGGCCGGTATTAAAAATTAGGGGCGGATAATATTGAGTTGTGGACAGAGACACAAGTCGAAGACATTGGTAGAGTGGAGAGGGGAAAAGCGGAGCGGCGCGTTGCCCATGATAGGTGTGTGCAGGGTGGGGCGTGTTGTCGAAGGAGGGTCGAAAGGATAGTATGTGCCTCTGTGTCTGTGTGTGTTCGAGGGATTTAGCTGCGGCATGTCGAAATGTATAGTGTCGGAAAACCGGGGGGGGGAGGGGGTGGGTACGCGCGTTGTCGTAAAGGATTGACATGAAATGAAGTAAATAAATAAAAATGTTGATTAAAATAAAAATATGTAACGCCTCCCTTGCCTGTTAAAAAAGGAAGAAAAAAGAAAACTTTTTCTCAAACCCCCTCCCCGTTTGTTTATACGCATGGTCATTTCGCTGAGAAGCAACGTGACGAAGCGTATAAGAAAAATGGAAAGTGGTGAAAAAATTTAAAAAAACAAAAAATATAGCCCAAAAGAGAAAACGCCGCCGCTTGTGTTTCTAATGAGTCTTCGTTAAAGGAGTGACAAGAAAGGAAAATCGTTGAAGAGTGGGAGAACGAAAAACAAAACATATATCGCTATGCATCGGATGGTTAAAGGAGTGGCTGGTTGGACGGGGACGCTTGAGTTCGGAAAGGAAAACAACAAATTAAAAAAATGAAAAAAGAGACCTAAAGGGGAAAAAAAATCAACAAAATCAAATCCGTTTACCCATAGACTGGGCTATGCAATCAAAAATTTAAACCAAAAAAAAAAAAAAACTTGGAACAACACGGAGACGGGGAGAGTGACGAATTCGTAGGTAGATGGTGGTTGAAGAAAACGAATTATGTCGGTTTCTTAGATAGGAGGGCGTGGATCGAGGGGCGTATCGTGTTCATGTTGTGTAAAGATGGGTAAACACCGAGGAGCGAATTAGACCACCAAAAAAAGTTAAACAAAAAAAGGCGTTTGTGCGAGGGAGGAGAGAAGCGCAAGGGCCAACACATCATGATAGAACAGAGAGTGGATCGACGGACAAAAATGGCAAACGGGACGTTGAGCGTGACCCACGGAACGATCGATGCACACCGTAATAATCGTCTAAGCAGAACAGCGGAATGAGCATTGGTAACTTGTTACTTGTGTCGCGTGAAGTTGATCATGCATGTATGTCAGGAAGCGTCACTCAAAAAGAAAAACACAGCCAAGGAAAACCCGGTTGAAGGGTAGGCACATCTTGCCAAGTGAGGATCTGAGGTTTCAAAGGAGATCCTACCCGCGTCCTGCTAGCATTGAAACTTTTCTAATGAGATCGGTAGGTTGCAAGGGAGTCACAATTGGGTTGCAGCTACCACAAAATTCTTCCCAGAATCTATGGTCCAGTGGTTGGATGGCCCAGCGGGTATACGGGTTGAGTATTATAATCTTGGCTAACATTCCCCAGGTGGTTCTGGCGCGGATAGCTGAGCGAATGGGTGGGACCGGTAGTGGTGCCTGAGCTGGCGTTGACGAACGCGCCAAAGTCCCACGAACCGCGATTACCAGCTGCAGTAGGTGCAGCCTGAGGCTGCGGGTGGTTGATGTTCTGGTAAGGGTATGGAGCCGGCAGGTTCGAATAATGGCGGTTGTTGTTATTGCTGTTGCTGGTTACCATTAATCGAAGGTCAACGGAACCAGAAACCGGAGCGTTATCAAGAACTTGTTTTGGCCCGCGTAGATGCGGCGATATGCCACTTGCGGAAACGTTGGCAGCATATGCAGCAGCGGCGCCCGTATCAGAAATTGATGGAGATGTGGCGTGAAGATCCGCGCTGCCGTCGGGTGTGCTAACATAATTGGGGCTAATGTGCGTTGCCAGAGTGCCTGCAGTAGACGAGTAGCTTGCGGACTGTCGTATGAAGGGTCAGCTTTTCGCATTTTCTACAAAATGATCAGGCCATTCACTGGCGCACATGCGTCTCTTGCAAAAGAATAAAAATTGAATGAAGTAAATAAATAAATAAAAAAATAATACGTACGTATTTCCCAATAATTTTCTTCAGCGCATGAGAAAGGATCTTCCACGGAAAAACCTTCACATCCTTCTCAATATTGCGCGGCTTGGGATTCGGGAAGCCCATGATGACCTTGAAAAAGTCCTCACTCTCCGGTTTTGCCTTGGAAACAGTCAGAGGGCGGAAACCTTCCAAGTTCCTGCGGATGCGATTCTTCTCCTCGACCGTGAATCTTACTCCAACGAGGGATTCAAGAAGGTAGATAGTATCAACGCTAGTCACGTAGCACTCTTTCTTGCCTTCCCAATAGATGCAGCTGATGCAGATGCTATTGGGTACGCGATCGGCCGGTGAGACCGACTTGAAATCAGCATGAATAGTGCTACCAGTCTGGCGTCTAGTGAAGTGAACCAGTCTTCTCTTGGAGTTGCGCTCTTCTGGCGACCAGTTCTCCGTCATCGAATCCAGATCGCCGTTCACCTTCAGCACTGCCTTTGAAGGATACATGGCATATGGGTTGAAGGCTTGATTTGGACCACCTGCACCTGCCAAGTGTTGAATTGTAGAGGTCCGAATGAGAGTCGGATTCATAGACTTGACAGGGGACGGCATCGAAGACGAATGAGAATTGGGTGTCATGGACAGTCCAGGGCTATGGGCAGAGATGTTGACCGTAGAAAAGGATGGGCTCCATGATGCCGCCAGTGGGGACGGAGCTTTGATCATGGGCTGTGATACACCTGAAGTTCCAGTATATTGCGGTATAGACGGTCGCGGTGATGCCGGATGATACTGGACCGGATAGACGTTCGCAGTCGTTGGCGTTGGCAGGTAAGGCGAATATGGAGATCCCGAGAGGCTTTCGCTATATGTGAATGTATTTGCGGGCTCCTTAATGCGCAACTGCTTCACCGGTGCTGAGCGGGTAGATCTTGAAGTTTCGTCCGAAGATTCAGAAAGTCGTCTCTTCCGCGAAGTCCCGGCAGGCGAGACTGCGGACTGCGGATTATGGTCGTAGGTGAAAACGCCAACATGGACAGCTTGCGCGCCTTGGCCCTCGCTCTCATCCATAATCATTTGTATAGGGACGGTGAGTGAAGGACAAGCTGTAGCTGCGAAGGGCGGGACATCAACCGACAACACATACTGGAAGTTGGATTTGTGGAGGCCTAATGAAGTAACAATGCATTCGCACCGTTCCGACCCAAAGAGTAACGAGAAAGAAGTTGGGGCAGCAGGTGAAAGAAGGTCGTACGGGGACTGGAGATAGACAGAGAGCTTTGATCCTTCATGGCCAGTAAGTGGAGCGTATGATGCAACTTCCGGCAGCTGACGGGAACCCAAGTCCAAAACAGGCGAGCGGGGCAGGTCAAAGGAATTAGCTCCAGGGTATCCTTCATTGGTCACGTAATGTACACTCTCATCGTCCGGGATGGTGTGGCTTTCCAGGGCAGAGGGAAATAGATGTGTTACGTAGGGAGGCTGAGCATAAGCGGAGAATCCAGCCGTGTCATGAAGTGCCCGCGTGGCATCATAATCTAGCAAAACCAAACGAACACAACTGTCAGTTTAAAATAAATCCATACCATGTGCAACCATCTGCTCTGATCCGAAAATACGATTTGTGATTGGTACATGCCCAAAATTAAAAATTGCATGGCTTTTCCCCCCTCCTTCCCCCGTAAAAATTAAATTTCCATGGCCATGGATGTTTCCTTGGCGATGGAGATTGACCATGCAGGCCACAAAAACAAAAAAAAAAGAAAGAAATAGAAATAAAAAGAATGCTAAGGGCACTCACCAAGGAAATCGGCTTGTGGGGATTTCTCGTAAGCCGACATGGAAAATAAGCCTCCAGACTTGGCTAGAAGGCCGTCTGAAAAGGCTCCTACGAATCTCGATTCCTCAGGTTCGGAAAAGTCAAAAGATTCGTCGAAGATCAATGGAGTCTGGAAATCCAGATCCAGCTAATGATGGGGCGGAAACAGCGAGTTAGCAATGTAACACAAGGAAAGAGAAAACGAGGGGTGAGAACAGTGTTAAGAGATACCATTAGAGCAGGTACGCGTGCGGAAGGGGAATTGGAGAATATGTGTGTGGAGAAATGCATGGGAGATGAGAGGGAAGGAGAATCAAACACAGATTGGAAAACGGGGAAGATGGGAGACATTAGACATAGAACATACTTGAGCACAGTGATTCTTTGGGAACGCCAGGGTGACGGTGTTGCAATAACTGCAACGCGGAAAAACTGATTTAAATAAAGCGAGTGGACGAGATTCAAAAATCTCAAAAAAGAACGGTAAAAGAAACGATGGTGGAGAACACCCTCAGGCGGCTCTCCGAGACAAAAACGAGCGACGAGATTGAGGATTGTTAGTCAACCTCAAAAAAATAAGTTGCAAAACAAAGACTCCGAGTCAGCATATAGAACCGCGGTTCTAAAAGGTGAGACGAAGTCCCGCACTTGCCACAGACTCACGACCTCTTTGCGAAAGGACCCTGAAGAATTAGTATTCCCCAGATCTTTGAGCGCAAGAGACGCGGCGAGTGGACACTGAAGGCGCTAGAGTGACGAGATCGAAAGAATGTTCACGGTTGTTTCGGTACGTTTGGCACAGCAAGCTCGGTAGATTAATTTATTTGAGCACGATGGAAGCCGTGGGCGCTACGGACAGCTGTTTCTGAGCACTCTAGGTAATTTCGAGTTTCGGGAAGCTGAAGCAAGCTAAAACGATAGTTGGGAATAGGAACAATTGGCGCGAGATAAACTGCTTCGTTGATCAGCATGGACTCATTCCAAAACCGAAGCGCCGGCTCGTTGCAGCCTGAGAGAAAGAACTCTCACCGAGTGACTGTTAAAAAAACGAATAAAACAGATACTGTGACAAGGCGAAAATTTTTCCAGATGTTTCAAAGAGGCGGCAAGACTGGCGGTGGTGTATGTGCTGGAAAATAAAAATTAGCTATTTAGTAACCTCCCCCTCCCCAAAGAAAAAGGATATATAGCGTCAAACACGTTTGGAGAGAACCGTGGGTATTGGAAATGACATCTGCAGGGTAAACAGATAGTGCAATGAAACAAAGCGAGCAAAGAGGACGAGAATGTAGCCGCAGAGAGAAAGGAACATAGACCGGGACGCGGATATTACGGCAACCGGCGAGACATATTGGATAAGCGCTCGCCTGGAGCCCATTCATAAGGGAGAAAAAATAGCAAGGGTGAAAAAAAAGGAATAATAAACAATAATGATAATAGCAAGGAATAGTAAGGAATACAATCTCAAATCAAATACGGGTGAGTACTAACCTCACAGAATTCAACTCACACAAAGAGAGAGAGAGAGAGCCAACGATCGTGCTCCTTCTTCCTTCCAAGATAGCAGTGGTAGACGACAGTCGTCCCGTCGATGGCGGAGGGAGACGGACTGACGGAGAGAATATAATAATCACGTTCACGATGATGCTATCATGTGACCGCACGCGAATTTGATACAGGATTTGAGATTTGGTCAAGAGTTCGGACGCAACTGATATAAAACGGATGGAATTGGACCTCGCTGGAAAAGCGAATGCAGACCGAGGCGGAGTCAGGGAGACCCTGGATGAGGAGAATATTATTATTGTTGGTAGATGGTTGTTTGGCGGAAGTAAGACGATCGATTATTCCATGGAGGAGTCCAGGCAGGCAGAATACAAATTAGTGTTTTTCGTTTCTTTTGTTTTCTTTTTTCCCCTCTTGCATGTACGTGAGAAAGGGGAGAAAAAAAAGAAAAAGAAAAAAAAGGATGGCGTCTCTTCGCTTCCCGTCAGAATCCACAAGGCAAACGACCGACACGGCAGGTTTCTATGGTAGGTAGACAGACCCAGAATTGAACGAACGGCCAACGGGAGCCAATAGAGCTTGAGGAGCTTTAAGCTGGTGCGACGGGACAAAAAGTCGATGGACAACAAGAAGCAGTCGCTTTGCGTTGTTTAGATGAAATATTCTGATGTCGTTATGCAATATTCTCTTGATCTCCTTTCCTTTCCTATTTGGTTCCTTTTGTTTTTTCAAACTATCTTAATTTTGCTTCACCCTCAGGTTTTGTTTTTTATTCTTTTCTTTACCGTTGTACCCTAGGCTCCAAAAAGAAAAGGCAGAGGAGGAGGAGGAAGAGAAGGAACAAAAAAAGGATCGTTTGACGGTATGGCAGTGGCAGGTATTTCTTCGCGGGGCTTTTCCAGATACGACGTTCAGTGATACAGCGGGCACACAGCACAAGAGATATATGCTGTCCGACGACACTTGACACTTGCAAGATGACAAGATGAAGCCGAACGAGCCTGAGCCTAAACGAAGGAGACTCGAGCAGGAGATCGCTATGATTGTTATTGTTGATTTGGTTGTGCGGCGGATGTGTAGTTATTGATCCAGGTCGGTTTTAAAAAGAGCAGACGTTTTACCGTTGCTTGCTTGTTGTTGTTGTTGGTGGTGTTGGTGGTGTTCTTTTGTATTTCTTCTTCCTTAGGTGTGACTTGACTATTTGACTGCTTTTCTTTCTTTCTTTCGTTTTTTCTTTCTTTCCTGCTTTTGGGCTGTGGTTTTAGCAGGGGACTAATATTTTTCGGACAAAATACAAAAAATAAAAAAACGAGGACACAAGAAAAGGTAGCGAGCGTAATTCCGTTGAACCCAGAGCGAGTGTTGGGTGTGCAACGAAAATGAAAACAGGAAAAGGAAAAATAAGTATTATTAAATTCACGTCGTCATCTAGATGGTGGGTGGAACGAAGGCGGGAAGAGGAGGAAGAGGAGGAAGAAGGAAGAAGGAAGAAGGAAGAAGAGAGAGAAGCAAGAAGAAGAGGCGGAGGAGAGGAAGAAGAGGAGGGAAAAAGGAAGCCGAAGCAGCAGGCCGGCGCGAGAAGCTAAAAAAAGCCCGGCGGGGGTGGAGGATGCGCTGAGGATGTGCTGAGGATTTGCTGAGCATTTGCTGAGCATTTGCTGGAATGGCTCGGGGCTCCGGTCAGTGCAGCAGCGCAGCAGAGCAGCAGCAGAGCAAGCAGCAGTCCAGCAGTCCAGCAGTCCAGTAGTTAGTTGGCTGATGGTCCGTCGCAGGCCGCCGTCCGTCAGGCCAGCAAGCAGCAACCTTGGAAGGGTTCTCCAGATCCAGGATGGCCACCTGCTGCTGCGACCATGCCATCATCACCTCGCAACCGCCTTCCCACTTGCCCTCATCCCACCCACCGCGGGCGGCCCACCGGTTGGACTGCGGGAACCGGTCCCAGGAATCCCAGAAAACCCAAATCCACCACACAACCCACACACAACCACAGATACGCCATTGATACCACGCTCTGCTTTGCTTCGGGCCTAGTGCAAGCGCCGAACCTTGTCCTCGCTCGCTTGGGGTCTGCCCGTGTCTGGCTCTGTCTGGCTCATTCTGGGCAGCAGCAAAAAGAAAGCCACCGCTAGCCAACCAATCAGCGGCGGTGGACGGATTACTTTCGACGCTGTCTTCTCTGTCTGCTGCTGGAGCTTGGATCTTAGGGGGCTGGTATAGTTGAGGGAGGGCTGTTGTACGCGGTACCGCAGTACGCAGTATTTCTCTCCACAGGGCTGTACTCGCGATGCAGAACCCGTTCTTTTGCGACATACGCTGGAAAAAATACAATATAATATCATCACTTAAAGGGCACACTCCATTGATTGGTTGAAGGCTTCCCGAGGCCCTGTGTTGCGTGAAAAGTACGCTGTAGTATGATTATTATTCTTCGTCCTTAATCCGTTGACCCATGGCCAAAAAGCACGGCCCAAGAATGAATGACTTCTCCTGCGCCGCCGCCGCCTCCAAAAGGTTGACGAACTTACCAGACGCTCATGATCCGCGTATCGGGAACAACGAAAAGCGATAGATCGGAAGTAAGCATCTCATACATCAACATAACATCCACCCCATCCATGCATGGAAGCTCTCTTTCGAATTCAAGTCACAAACCCGGTCAGCTCAGTCCAGATCTGTGGTCATTGCTAACTCCTTTGTTTCATTTTGTCCCTCTTCTCCTTCTCCTCTGGTAGCGAGAGAATTACAAAAATGTCAGGGCGCGGCGCCCGGCGTCAGCGGGGTTCAGAGACAGACTCCCCCCCCCAAGGACTTAACGGAAAAAGGGAAATCTCCTTGAGAGCTATAAGCCTATTCGGAATCAGGAAAGATGGGTCAAGGGGCCCTTTCTAACTAACTAACTACCGCATGATTTAATATTATCATGATGCTGCTTATGACGGTAACATCTACGGAGAATTAAAATGTTCTTCCTTGGATTTGTTCCCTTTTCCTGTCCGTCCTTCTCTTCATCATGCCTGGTTGCAAGATACCATTAACTAGTAAGCAAGGAAACAAAAAAAATACGAAAACAGAACAAAAAGAAGAAAAGCAGAATGTTACGGTTGCAAGGGGACAATTTATGATGGGTGATGGAGGATGGGATGGTTTCCACATCCTTTTTTTGCTTCTGCAAAAAGGGCAAAAGGCGAACAAAAAAAATAACAACCTCCCACAAGCTCCATGCCCAATCACTTTTTCCTTTGCTTCCTCAGATAAACCAACTATATCAAAGCACAAGCAAAAAAGCAAAAAGCATTGACAGCTGCAGCTCTGCTGCAAGCCTTCGGTATTGACGTGGTAATGTATCATGTATGGCGCCGGTACTAGTATAGATTACACCGGATCACCTCGGGGTTCACGCCACCCAGGTGGAAAGGTGGGAGCGGGCGGTCTTTGGTTGGCTGGTGGATGACGAGAAGATCGAGGGAAGAGGGAAGAGGGAAAAGGCGATGATGATGATGCTGCTGATGATGATGGCTTGGTTCTTCTAGTCGTGACATCGTTAGTACAACCCCCCTGTAGTGAGTGAGGCTGTGCAGACAACTGCAGAGTTTGTCCCGGAGAAAAAGGGAAAAAAGCCATCGTTGGTATGATCTGACTGTGGGTGAGAATGTGAGAATGTGAGAATGTGATTTCTCCAGAATGAGTCTAGAGGAGAGAGAGAGACAGTGAGAGAAGAGAGAGCGTGCAAATTCCGCCGTGAACGAACGATGATCGCGGAAGATGTTTCACTTAGTTCTGCATGTTGCACCGTCCGTTCTTGTCGTTTGCGGGTGAGATTATTTTTAGAATATTTCAAAGATACTAAATTTTGGATTTTTGGATTTTTTGGATTTTATTTGGATTTGATTTTTGAATTTTCCCCAACCTCCCCCTTTTTTTTTATGCATGGAAAGTATCCGTAACTTAACAAATAAGCTCAGAAAGAAAGGGGCCCTTGAAATTCAAATCAACCACCTTGACATCATCGCGCAAAGGAAAGCAAAAAGGAAAAGGAAGGTAAAAAAGAGCCTTTCCAAGAATTAGCCACCACGACCACAACCACATACATACATACATACATACATACATACATACATACATACGTCCATACACAGTCGTTCCATCGTACGGGGACGGTGGAAGGGGACGGGTGATCAGTCGATACGAACCCGCCCAACCATGCCCTCCCGAATGCTAATTCATGCGAAGAGCCTATTTTGTTTCTATATATAGACTGCCACTTTTTTACTTTTGACTACGGAGGACTCCCTTTTTTCCCTTTTCCCTTTCTTTTTTTGAATGTCTGTTCATGCTGTGGAACCCTCCTTCAGCTTTCGTCGTCCCATGGTGCGAGCTGTGTGCGACGGCGCCAGGTGGCCGGGGCAGGGCGTGGGGCGTGTGGGCGTTGCGGGGGGGTTGTTTGCCTCAGGTCCAATCAGTGGATGCCCAGCTGGTTGTTCGGTGCGAGGGAATGACGTCTGATCATCAGTGATCAGTGCTGATGGCCCTGGGGGAAATCGTGATGAGGATCGTGATCGGTCATGATGATCTGGGCTTGTCACGATGACAGCTTGCCTGGGATGTGGTTTAGTGCTGTTGCTGTTGCTGCTGCTGCTGCTACTGCTGCTGTTGTTCGCATCGAGCTCGATTTGACAGATCATGCATGAGAGATAGAGCACTTGGCTTTCGATTTTTCTCTTGGACTTGGCCCAACTTACCAATGACGCGGACCCTAGTTAGTTAGAGCTAGCTGTATGCTATGATTCTTTATTGTATTATTATTATTATTATTATTATTATTGTGTTATTTTATTTTATTTCATTTCATTTCATTTATTTTTAACATACATAGTCTATCATTCACATATGATCATGATGATATCACTTCTCCCTCAATCGGACCCCCCGAGAAAACTTTCCAGCCCTGCCGTCCTTTCTTCTCTGCGAATGAAAACCCTTCCAAACGTTCCGCATCGGCAAACAATAGTCTAGTATCTTCGTCCGGATTCTGATCGAGTTTACGGGAGTGGGCGGCTTTCGTCGTTGTTGTTGCGAGTCAGTAGTTCGGTGGAGTCGCCCGTATGGATAACTACGATACCCAGTACAGAACACAATCTGTGACTCGTCGCAGGGTTGGTTTGATCATGATATTCCCTAGCACTGACTCCAGAAGAGCATAGACCGATAGACAACAAATAAACTTCGGCCGAATCAATGCAGAAATGCAATGGAACGATGTTCTAGCGAATTTAGAACAGGATTGGGGGGGCCAACCTCGGTACTATTCTCCCTCCGTAGTAAGTACCGTCGTCCATCATGAAGGATATACATACCTGTCTGTTTGCCTGGAATATCGGGAGATAATACTTCCTTCCTCCCTGCCTATCCTTTTACAGTTAAGGTCGGGGATCTTGAGAGGATCTGTGGGATCGCTTCTGGGTTGTGTCAACATGTGTTATTTATTGATAGTACAGCGTAAGCTCATAGTAAAAAAAAATACTGCTAGTACTCAAAGCCTAAGATCTTCTCCATATCCAATGTGGTGGAATTTTCTTTTTTTTCCCCTTTTGAACATAACTGCGCACCGAATTTCCTTGACTGTTCAAAGAAAGGAAAGGAAAGAAAGAAAGAAAGAGAAGAGAAGAAAAAGAGCAAAAAAAAAAAAAAAAAAAAAAAAAAAAAAAAAAAAAACCCTCCTGTACACGGATACATACGCATCCATGGATCGATCTCTCTTTCGCAAAATCCCAGGTGGGGGGTAACTAACGACTCCCAATCAACTGGCCCCTCCTGACTGCCGATTCCACCGAGAAGAAACTCAATCTGATTTAAAAAAAAAAAAAAATCAGTCGACTTTTCTTCGTTCGGCTGACATTTTTGACTTCAAGGCTGCCATGCTCGGTTTCATTTGCCGATGGTAGCCATGAGTTAGTAACAGTACCTACAAAAGTGCCGAATTGGGTAGTTATTCGTTATGACTTCTTATTATCTTCCCCCCCCTCCTTACTACAGCGAAATCATACTATTCATCGCTAGCCTGCTGTTGTTTTGTCTGCCGGCATTGGCTCCTTTTCGGCGTTTGGGTGCTTCAAGCCTTTTACCACTTTGCTTTTTCGGATCAGCTGGCTCACTGGTTCTAAATATAGAAGCGCATCTTTGGTGCCTTTTTTTTTTTTTGCGCTATCGCCGTGAAAGTGGGAGAAACGCTCTGAGGGGGCCACCACCACCACCACCACCACCACCACTTACCAGCAGCAACCAGCAACCACGGAACCAAAAAAGAGCAGGTTGCACACAAACCACAAACCGTCCGCAGCCGCAGCACGCAGCACGGAGCACGACAACGGCCCACGGACTTCCCAAGCAGGTATTATTGTCGTTATCATCAATCTTCTCGAAACGGGGCGCCCAGATTGAACGACGGTGGAAGGATACCGAAGACTTGATTTAACCACATGGGAAAAGCAGGAAAAGGTCTCGATTCAAATTCAAACTTTTTTACTTTTTTCTTTTCTTTTCTTTTCTTTTTTTTTTCTCTTTTGCTTCCCCCCCACCAAAAGTCAAGAAAAATAATCCATCCAATCAAGGAAAATATAGTAACTATCCAAGTTCTGTACTACTTCTTGTAGCTGTCATCGAACATGCCGAGAATCACAGGTCTACTGCGTAACAACAACAGTAGTTCCTGACATTAACGTGGGAGTAACGAAGAGACTCCGCTGGAGACTTTTTTGCTTTCCTGCCCCCCCCGTGTGTGGCCTGGAATCCCCCCTTCATCCAAGAACCAAAACGAAACTACTGACTCCTGAAGGAATTCCACCGACGGCCTTCTTCTCTCCCTCCCAATCTTTCCACCATAAAGCTCGCTGGCTTTGTAGGTTAAGTTTGTGCGGTAACTAGTTGAGAACGGTCTTTTGTCTCCTAGTTAACTACTGTGTAAACTAGCTTGCAAGGTTCGGCGATAGCTCGGTAAATAAATTCGATAGTTTTGCTGGGCAGCTTCGGCGAAGCTTGAGGTGGGTTGAGGTGGGGTGTGGGGGGAGCAAGAGAGAGAAAATGAGAGAGAGAGAGAGAGAGAGAGCTCCCCGGCTTCTTCCCGCCGAGTCCTTCCAGATCTATATTCAGGAGATCGAGAAGGGTTTTTTTTACCCAGAGTACCACAGGTAGTTCACGAATGGTAAACGGCCGTGAATTTTTCGCGAAAGATGCCGCGGGAGAGGGAGGCAAATTGAGAATTTTATTTTATGTTATTTTATTTTATTTTATTCACTTCTGTACAGGCACATTGCAAAGTTAACTCCTCTGTATTACTATTGCAATCAGTCTTACTGACTGACTTGACCCCAGCTCTCGTGGAATTCCGGAATATCCAAATCCGCCATAGCAACAGTTAATGAAGTCGACATGTTGAAATTTCTATGATTGATTCAACTCAGCCAGCCTTATTCATTAGAGTTTCGATAGCGTTTCTGACATTGTAGTTGTGTGCTAGTAGTAACTATACTCCATATAACAAACATAAAGTTGTTACGCAAACCTCCTGAAAAAGGCACTGGCAAGCAACGCGATAAAAAAAAAAAAAAGGACAGGAAAGAAAGCCAAGAAAAGACCACGCGATTTAACGCCTGAGGCGCATACTCCGCCACGCGCTACCGAAAGCCACAAAATGCACTCCATAAGAGCCTCAAACAAATAACTAACCAACTTGGACTCATCACTCATCCAGGGGACAGCTTGAACCGGGCGTCCAACCGCTCCCTTGGCCAATTGGTGGCGCGGATAGCGATGTAGCTGGGTTGGTTGGGACAAAGCAGGCGGCACCTCAAGACGACAAATATCACAATTTTCATTTTCATTTCTTTCTTTTTTGCTACTATTGGCATTGCATTGCATTGCATTGCCCTTCAAAATATGATGTCTCTTATTATTCTCAGAAACCATACTGCGCGGGCAACGCAAAAGGGTTTGGCGGGGAGTGGTGAAGAGGATGGATAGGGGAGGTGGGGAGACGAGGAAGAAGAAGTGTCCAGCATACGCAGCAGTACAGATTGGGCGCATCGTCTGCTTCCCTACGACCACTCTCACTTTTCTCACAGTCTGCACTCGCGCCCCCTTTTTTTTTTAACTGGAAGGAGGTAATCAATATGATAACACAGTTGGTTCCCCTGGATGACGTGTGCCGGGGCTGAGGCAAAAGGAGAAATATGACGAGAATTATACTAGTATGGTGCGAGGAAATTGGGCGAAGGCAGTTGAAGCAAAAACCTTTGCCTTTGCCCGAAAGCCGTCGACGCTGTTGCGTGAACACGTATCCTGCGTACGTAGTCGTCGTGATCGCGGCATATAAAGTAAGTTCCGCCCGACGGCAAGGGCAAGGGGAAGGGGAAGGGGAAGGGGAAGGGGTTTCAGGATTCAATGGGCAGTTTCAGGGTTTTTTTTTTTTTTTTTTTTTTTTTTTTTTTCCCTTTTCATGAGCTGATGCCATGCCCATGTTGAGTTACATACTGCATACGCGGTGTGTAGTTACTAGCTATCCCAAGATCCATAGATGTCGAGTTGAAAATGACTGAAGAAGTCAAGCTCCCTCAACAACGCCACTTGGAGCTAGTGGTTTAGGGGTTTGAAGCCTGATGTGTAGGAGAAGGAAGACAGAAGGAGAGAATGGAATATGGAATTGGTAATCGGAGAAGGCCAGGTTTGTTTTTACCAGTTAGTAGCTTGCGGCGAAGGGGAAGAACGGCCGTTAAGCACAGCGCAACATCCTCCGTACTATGCTGAGATCGACACGAGCATGAGTTATATTTAGAAGAAATGGATGTTGACTATCCCAACCGATGTTGACACTGGCGATCATCCCCGGGACCCGCCGCGTTGTCTTATATTTGTCATTCGCCGAATGGCGGGTTTTTTGCACAAGGTCTTCCAGCAGCGAAGTCTCGCATCTTACAAGCTTCCCCTGACTGAGAAGAACAACGTGTACAGAGGTATACTACGTAGGGGTTCTATCGACGGCGCAACATGTGTCGATGAAGCCCGTGTATTTTGCGGAGACTTAATCGCCCGACGCGCTTCTGAGACAAATCGTGGCTCATGCACAGGCAGCTCAGGGATAGTTAGAACCCCTAAGCTCAACTGCATGTACAGATGTTCACAGTATGGAGAGCCCATCCTAGAGTACTTCGTAGCTTGGGTCGTGGTCAAGCAAACACGATGATTACCGAGCATGATAGTAGTAACTATTAACTACCTCCAGCTGTCTCTTAGGAGGGTAGGGTTCAGCCGGTATGTTCTCTTTCTAATTGATATAATAAATACTAGTAGAAACTGAAATTTAAGCATTGAGGCAGTAGAATTGGCTCTCCAAAGCTTCAAAGAGGTCCTCCTCGTAGACACTATCTATCGGAAAGAAGTCGGGAAAATATCAATCAAATGGCAGCGATTTGCATATCCGCGCCGGTCCGAATAGGGTCATTTCAGCTTTGACCACGAGAAAGCAGCTTTCACCGCTCCTCAATCCCTTCCTTCACTCTTGCTGAGTTCAGGGACCCTAGTATTCAAGCGGAGAATATTTCCTTTCAGGGGGAAGTTTAGGCATTGAACACGAAGCGTGTACGCAGTTAGAAAACCGCGGGGATCTCCACACTGATACTTTCCATGGGCTCAATTTGCGGCGAGCAAGCATGCACCCAAAGCTTTCCGAAATGGCAGCCTGACTTTCAACCTGAGATCCAAAAAAAAAAAAAAAAAAAAAAAAAATTTTTTTTTGTGCTAGCTAGCGCACCTGCTGACAGAGATAGGGAAGAAGAGAAATGGTTTCGAATCACGTTTCGGGTATCGAAATGTTTCATGAGACCTTGCTTCTCAGCCTAAATGCCCGATATTACCGTGCCTGTTGAACACAACCACGGCCACAGCTGATAAAATCGGGGTAAGACAAAGGGGCTTCAGGTCCTCGTTTCGTCGGTTTTGACCGACGATGAAACCATTGCAAAAAGAATGCGCGGGTCCCCTGGCTGCGGAGCTCGCGTCGCAGCCCAGGTTCCATGTCGATGTCTCACTATGGTTCGCTGAATCGCAGCGTTGTTTGAGAACCAAGAGTTCCCAGGGCTCATTGGCGGGCCATTTTCTGCAAAAGCTGCTGAGGAAACAGAAATAGAAGAGAAAGTATTATAAGCCAATCTGTGTTTGGACCGAAACTGTGACCTTGAGGACAAACTCTGCAAACGGCACACATCTCGTTATCCCATTTTCCCCTTTGAGCGATTCGAGATGACTGATACTGACAAAATAAACAAAAGCGGTAGTAATAGCGGACACTGAGGGACTAGGGACCCATATAAGAAATTGAAATAACATAGCTCAATCTCTTATTGTTGTGTCAGAATAATACCACCATGTTTGGGATCATCGGTACTATCGCTCGAACGGGAGAAGGGGTGTCAACAAAAAGGCTACTACGTGGTAGTTTGCTGAGAAGTGAGAACCCGAGGACAGGCAAAAGGAGCCGATAAATTGGCGTCTGGGCATGTTTCTATTCATAGCACAGGATCCCAGCCCGCTGGCATGAGTGATGCAGCTGCCTGCATGCATTGGGAAGAAGGACGCATGAGCACCAGACTTCCAATCGGCGACGACAACATGGATTTGCCTAATGCGAGGGAGCTGTTAACGGCAGAGTTGAGATGGCTATTGGCCTGTGTTTGTGACGTGGCAGAAGCAAGAAAGCAGCTGTACCCAGAGTGAAGGATGGTTTTATTATTATTATTATTATTATTATTATTTTTAATGTTTGATCTTTGGCGTCATGAAAGGATAATAGAGGGATATGCAAGAAATGCTCAATCAAGCGACCTCGATATGAAGCAAGGACAGTGAGTTCTTCCTCATTTCGTTTTGGCCATATTGCCGTCTCTTGGACTTTGTGAGGTCTTCATGCTGCGTACCATTTGCTATCAATAACCTGAAATGTATTAAATTTCTAACATTTATACAACAGGTGTCGGGGGGTCCCCAGTTTTCAAGCTTCAAGGAGAGAATGGAAACATTCATCCAAGATTGTATGTATCCGCCAACCCGAGCTAGCAGCCGGTATAGAACATGCAATCAGTCAGCCATGAAAATTCTCGAATTTGAAAGATCTAGCTAACGATCCGGTGCAGGACGAATAAACGTTGACATCATGATGGCTTTCACAGGCTCAGAGACGATATCTGTATCTATGACCCGCCGTCTTTTCTGGTCGTAATGACTCAGAGCCATGCCTGGACTTTTCCCGCCTCAAATCCATCCTCTCGAGTTGTAGGTTGTTGTGCCTTGGTTTTCATCGCCTGTAACGCACATACCTACTTGGACAACTCGGACTGCCAGGCGACTTGGAATGCTTTCTAGAAGGCCATCCCAACAAGGCTAATTTGGTCTATGCAGACGTCACAGCAACAATGCAGCATGACCACTTGCTTGGTTGTTGCTTGTCCTGGTGCCCTTCCTTGCACTTTGAATCATTGCCACTCCTCCATTCCTGCCTTGATATCGAAATACTTGCCCACACCATCCAGAGAACAAGTGAACTTAGATAGGGGGTTGAACATTTTCCTATTTCAAAATCTATGACTCTCATCGTCTTTTTTGTGTCTCAACGAATCAATGATGCGCAAATTCAACCCATCCATCTATCCATCCCTTTTCTTGTTGATAGCGCGATCAATCGATGATCTCACGTAGCTGCACAGAGTATGCGAACCACTCGTTCTCCTTATAACCCCCTTTTTTGTTGCAGGACGGGTCCCTAAAGATCATGCAGTTCTCTCTCTTCTCAAAGGGCGATACCAATTTATATGATATTTTACCTAAAAATAATTCCGAATCATCATTTCTTCCCTTCTTCCATCGGTAGGATTTACAACAGGCACTTCTACAGCGCAAAGTGCGCAAAACTCATCAACGTTACCTGCTGTACATCAAGCGGGCTCGCCCGCCTAGAGGTCTTAAGTTTCCCAAGAGCAAAGAAATTTCTTTATTTCTGTTGTCCAATTTTCCTTTTCCCTTTCTTTTCTTTTTAATCACCTCTGCTGCTATTTCTCTTTTTAATAAATCTCTGTCCAGCTATCCAGGCGAGGCGTCCTTGAAAGAAACGTGCCCTCTACATACATCAATCGAGATACGTTCTCATCCGCTGTGGCATGAAGTTACCTAGGGATAGCCCCCCAAATTCGTGAAATGGAGTTATGCATGCTTCGATATGAATTCCCGGGCCCCTGTAGTGAATGAACTATATTGATGAGGACGATGTTTCATCCGGCAATGCACTGTACATACAATGTTGATATATTCGCTTTTCTTACCACGGCCGGTGCCGAGTTAGAGTTCTGTTTGCCGAGGCTGGTAGCTGGAAAGGGATAGATATCAATGAAGAATGATTGGATGTTCGTATAGCCATAGTGGTATTTCTTTCTTTCATTCTTTTTACCAACTCTAGGAAAAGTGCCATGCAGCCGCTTAGGAGGAAACAGAGAATCTCTCCTGGCAAATACACCATTCACAGAAAACAGGCAATACGCTCAATTCCCCATTACCGAAACGAACAACCATGGCTACGTTAGGACGCTGGGATAATAATGAGGTTTCTGAATCGCTCCTTCATTCTAATTCCCTCTGCCCGGGAGATCCTGATATCGCGATATCGCAAGACGTAAAATTCATACATTACACTAGGTATAATTTTAATTAGCAAAATATACTCCATGTTTATTATGTACTTGAGAACTTGGAAAGGGAGTTTGTGAGCTCCCATCTATCATATCCAGCCATTAAGCGGGTTTAGCTGATCGTGTATCAACGGATATACCACTCTAGAATAATTCTTCATAACAATTATCTTAATCACAGCTTACTATCGCCGCTGTTCACAAGCTCAATAACCAACTTGCCAAACTGGGTGCCGTTCTTCATGTCATCGAATAATCCGTCAATCGCCTTGACATTATCGATTCCCTGCACAACGCGGGAAATAATGGGCTTTATCTTCTGTTCGTTGACGAAATTGATCATGTCCTTGAATTCCTTGCGAGAGCCCATAGTCGTGCCTTTGACTTCGATGTTCTTTAGGAAGGCGGGCGTAATGAAGGGCATTTTGGGCGATACTGTCATACCGTATACGGAGAGTATACCGCCAGCCTGCGGGAGGTGCGTGAGCGAAAGTGTGTCAATAGAGCGGACGCCGGAAGCAAGAAAAGTCAAACAAATATTTCCCCCCCCCCCATATAAAACATACCTTGAGCAGCTTCACGCCTTTCTCAATCGAATCCCCCCCAGCCCCATCAATAATAGCGTCATAATTCCTCTTGCCTGCCGGTAGCAATTCCAGCGCCTTCTTCTCCCACTCAGGCTCCTTGTAATTCACGCCCCCCTTCGCCCCCAACCCAGCAGCCAGCTTCAGCTTCTCCTCACTCGAGCTCGTCACAACCACATGCACACCCCTCGCGACAGCAAACCTCAGCGCCATCAGCGCAACTCCACCTCCAATCCCCGTAATCAGGATCGCAGCCCCTTTGCTCGAGTTCTTCGCTCCGGCCTTCGTCACCAGCGCCCGCCACGCCGTCAAGCCCGTCAGCGGCAATGCCGCCGCCTCCACATCCGTCAAGTGCGCAGGCGCCTCTTCCACTTCGCCCACGTCGATGTTGACATATTCCTGCAGTGTGCCCTTGCTGTTAAATTTGGTGCCGCCCATGATAGCGTATCCGGTCGGGGCCTCAGGGCCTTCTTCGGAATCCAGCCAGCCGGTCCCCGGGTTCAGAACGACGCGCCTTTGGATCCATGACTGTGGTTCCTTCACCTCTGGGCCGGCGGAGATGACGATGCCGACACCATCCGCGAGGAGGGGAACGTCGAATGATACACCCGGGTATAGGTGTTGGCGGAGGAAGAGGTCCCGGTGGTTAAGGGCGGCGGCGGTAAGCTTTATGAGGAGCTCGGTGCCTTGTGCTCTTGGGATGGGGAGTTTCTTGATGGAGAGCGGGTAGTAAACTTGGCCCGGTTTGCCGGGCTTCCCGTCTATGGAATCGATGGTGATGGCTTGCATGATCAAGATCAATTAGCCGTTTTTTGGAGGGATTTTGAGACACAGAAATTCGGTCCCTCTTCTTGATATAGCAATTGAATTTGTCGCGTTGAGCTACTTTTTAACTTTGTCCTGGAATCGGTCTATTAGCGATATGTCTGGATGAGAAATCAGGGGGGAAATTAGGTGTATTTCACCAACTCTCACGGCGCCGAAGAAGACAAGATGTTTGTTGTTGTCTAGTGATATTCAATGTTCTCGTCCTTACTATCAATTTTAAGTATGATACAAGCTCTGACGTAGGGAGATAAAACCAGCCTTGGTTTTACCCGAAAGTTAGCCAGAACTTTCCTCGGTTATGACGCAATGTTATTGTTGGCGGGAAAACGACTTTTTACAATCCTCAACATCGATGGATTTTCTTTCTGCGTACCGGCGATTTCGCATGAACGTGGAGCGGGCCTAGGAATCTACATGGGTTGGTCTCCATTTCTCGGACACTTTTGTTTTCAACCGTCAACAATCCAAGGATGAATAAACAGGCTTTTTCATTTCATCGCCTTGTTGGACATCAAGCCTCAATAGATGATGGCAGGAGAATCAAGTGACCAGCCAGAGAGATATCGGCATGGATTTAATTGCCAGTGTCTATCCTGTGTGTGTTATGCTAGAGTAGTACATATCGTATGAGGGCACCATCGCCCAACACGCATCTCAATAGCTTTCCCATGGCATGTACCTGCTTGTAGCCCCCCGCAACCGGAGAGGCTTCCACCCGCCCATGCACGCGCAATATATATACATCTCCGTTTCCCTTCCAAAGCTTATCAAGATAAAAAAAAAATAAAACCCTCGCGCTAACCCCTCTCAGGGATTTAAAACACCAATCTGGCGGCACTAGCCGTCAAGCCCAACAACGCAAGCGACGACGTAGCGAAGACCATAAACCGCACCGGGATCTTATTCTTCGACACCTGCACAAGACTGTGCAGGACCCGGAGCCCGACATAGGTCCACGCCAGGGCCACGTCCACCTTGCTGCCCTTGCGCTCGTGCAGGAACGCAATTGCCAGCGCGACGGCGTAGAACTGCGTCGGCTGCTCCATGAGATGGTTGAAATTGTCCGCGGACCAACGGGCGAAGGGCGGGTATTTGGCGGCTATTTGGTCATTGGGCAAGCTCGAGTCCATTGGGATCTTGTGTTTTGAGATTGCTGGGAGTCGTCTGGAGAGCATCAAGCCTTCAATGGCGAAGGTCCAGATATTGAGGGCGATGACGGGGCCGAGGACGCCAGGTTCGCTGGTGGCGGACATTTTGGTTTGGTTTTTTTGTTGGTGGATTTTAGGATTCTTGAGTTAGAGTTCGGACGGAGGGCGTAGATGCGCTGTTGATAGTTGATGATTTAATCGAGGAGGAACTACTGCGTAGATGGAAAAGTTGAATTGCTGAGGGGTAGGAGAGCTCAGTAAGGGATGAGGAATGGTGGAGCCAACTTCCCCAGCAATTTAAATGGGAGAGACGGGGTATTGAATCCTTCCAGCGCTCGTCCATGGGCAGCAGCATCACGCTAGGAGGGTTGGTGCAGTGGATTGGTAATCAAGAATGCCGACCCTAGAAATCGAAGCCATGCCCGTCTTTCGTCTTGTTTATGTTAACTGGATGATGTTTGCATCGAATAACTAAAGGTTGTTGTGAAGAAGATGCGTGCTCTGGGATATTTATTCACCTCCTAGTCGTGGAATAAACGAAGCGCTCACTCCCCGTTTGGCTACGGCTCTGAAGCTTCAATGCCCATTGGCTTTGCAGACGCCCATATATACCTGGATGAAGTAACCTGAACTCGAAAAATACATATGCAACACATACACATGAATGACGAGAGATGCTAGGTGTATATATTCCCCTTCATCCAGACATTCTCCGTAATGGGGATATCGCGAGCGAAGCCCAATGCAATACACGTATGCAAAGGGAGAGAGTAACAAACAACCTCAAGGAGTGTGCCAGCTCGTCTCCTTTATCCTATTCCCCATCCAAATCTAGATTCGGCCAATCTCTCTCCTCCACCATCGATTTTCGTTTGCCATGGGGTTCTGCGCGAAGGGCCTAAAATTATACTATAGCACTGTGCTCTGTACTATGCGACCTGACCTGTTCAGGGGAACCAGCATGGGATCATGCAAGCCAGCTGCGGGCGGACGGCTCAGTTAATTTCATTTCTCCGGCTGCAAACAACCAAACCACTTTCGAAAAATGGGGGAGGTTGTTAACCATTTCCGGCATGAACGTGGGCGGGTTTGTTTGCTTCCGTTGTGTTTCCCCCTTTACTGAGGTGAGTATGTTGTATTAGAGCGTAAAGTGCATCGTCGGAAAACGCCAGGATCGTGCATCTCCTGTTTAGGGGGTTCCAAGGTACGGGTGTTTTTTTTTTGAGATCTCGATATGTTTGAGAGTGTGCAAATTGTTACGTGTTGGGACTAAATATCTAAAATGGATGCGTGGGATTATTATGCATTTACTGGGAAGAGACGTTATTGGAATCCTGAGTAATTTGGCAAAAAATATGCCAGGAAGGATGGAGCAGACTCCTATCCACTCCCATCCTCCCTTTTGTTTGTCATTTCCCTACCATTTCAACTGATGCTATTGGATTTCGAAGCGGTGGCCCCACGGATATCAATAAGATTGGCAACCATTGCGTTGAAAATCTTTTGCGAGCAAACTAGTAAAAAGGGAAACCAAACCGAAAGCTAAGTAAAGTAAAGCAAAGCAAAGCAAAGCAACAAGAAACAAAGTACATAGTAAAAACCAAGAAGGCTACTGTCGCAACAGCCATCTCCTCGGCTGGCTGGATTCGTCTCAAGCACCAGAATCGCCGTTACAGCTTTTTCATGAAGCCCTTGATCCATCTCGCGCCCTCCACTTCGACCTCGTCACCCTCGCTTGTCGCCGGCGCCATCACCGATGTTGGGCCACGCTTCCAGCATCCAGTACATCTTCGGTAAAGTCGCGCTGCAAGATACTATCCACAAAGGAAAAGTAGGTAGTGACCATTTCCGTGGCGTGTAGGCAGGTGAATTATAGGTCTAGGCATTAGAGGAAGGGTTTGTAGTGGCATTGGAGTTCATCAGGGCACCGTTGTTAGGGAAATCGTCATCATTGATGATGACTTCAGGTGTCTCAGCATCTCTGCAGTCATGGTTTCCATGATTGTCAGAGGAGAAATCTGGTCATTGAGAGTTCATTTGTTCAGACAGGATCTTCGTGTTGAGGGGTCGGATGGTCCTGATCATATTCATACTCATGTGGGCGCCGGTGGCGGCAATTTCCTTGTACATGATTTCCTAAATCTGAAAGTCGAATATGGGTGCATATTGCGCAAGGGTAGGGTGTCGAATCCAGAAGACCCTTCAAATATGTACTGACCTGGACTACTTCTTGTAGTGGGAATCGATATACACCTTGTTGGGTACCTTCATTATATTTATTTTCAAGGAGTAGGTAGCTCGAAGTTTTGTTCTGCTTAGAATGGGGGGTCGATGGAGTAGACTGCACGGACGGAGATAAAAAAAGTACTGGGGTTGAAGGACACGATAGATATCGGCCACGCTGGTTTCCGTATTGATGGTCGGAAAAGAAAGGTATTTTGTGCTCTATTATCATGCGGATGATAGATATTATCCGTGGGCGGAAGTTTCAGGGATAAACTTAGACGTAGGCCAGGGAGAGGATGTGGTACAGTTCAACAGTGGAGACGGGTAATAGATCGAAGGAAGAGGAAGAAGATCCTCAAGAGAGGACGTAGGCGAGCGCTATTTCCATTTACAGCCATCGAGGAATTTGTTTCCAAGAGGGAAAAGGGGGGCCGATACCCGGGAAAAGCTGGGAAACGTCTAGCAGAATATAGATAGGATATAGAAAAGGATATGTGCTGTGTATGGCAAATAGGCTAATAGATAGGGTGTTGAAGAAGGGAAAGCTGAGAAGCTGTCCAGGAGATCCCGCAAATGTTTGAAGAATTTTATGCAAAACCAAACAGAAAAGCACGCTGCGGTGATATCTGATCATATATATTGGGGAGCCACTGAAGGGATATCATTGTCCTGATGATATGTTGTCTATATTAATCCTTTTCCCGAAAAGAGAGCAAGCAAGAGAGGTGGCTGCTCAGAGTTGTGAAAGGTTTTTGAGCTTATGTGAGAAACAATTTGAGAAACATGAGCACTCTCTCTCAGGTATATAGATGGGGATAGTAATCGAATCCCCAGTGTCAGTGTCAGCGTCTCGCAGAACATTGATGATGGGATGAATGCTTCAATCGATTGAATGTTCAATATTCGATTGTACTGTATGTGCGTGGCAAATAAAAAAGTTACCCTACAAGGGCCAAGAAACAGAATTGTCGGATCAAACAGGTTCAATGCACGATATTCAACGACGTAGGATATGTGTGGTCTTTAAGACAACCTTGGACATGGAGCAGAAACCCAAGAGGCCGTAGGTGATATACCAGGTGGATGGGCCTGGAATTTGAATTCCTGAATGGGGCGCTTATATGGGGCAGCCCTTGACGCCTGGACACTTGACTCCTTTGTCTATAAACCGGTCGATGGACATGTATTAGTTGCATTCGTCGCGTCCATTTTCTTTTCTTTTTGGCATACCTTTCTTCTTGAAGATCTTGCATGTTTGCAGCGATGTAAGAAGGGGGAAGGTAGTTATCCGTGGGGTGCGGGAGAATTTTCTCTTCCCCTTATTCAGTCAGCATTCTTTTCTTTGGCCGTGGTAGAAATCCGCCACACAGCTGGAGTCAAAAAGAGTTGCAAGCAGCAAGAACATGGAGTTTGAGCACTCTAAGGTGCATACTCATAGGAATGGAGCAGTTCCCGACCAGGAAGAATGAAGTACCAGTCCCAGCCCTGGTGGTCTTTTTGTTTTTTCTTCTTCTTTTTTCCTTGTTCTCATAGGGATGGGGTTGTTGTGGCAGTTAGCTAGTGCCTGGTACTGCCACCCGCGGCCTGTGATTGGCCTGACGCCCTCTTTTTTTTCCGCTCCACCACCGCCTCATCGCCAGAAACGAAGAACCTCCAACGTCGACTCTGCTTCTTCGCCCAAATCCGTCTCGATTTCCGCCCGCGTCCCAACCGCTCGACTTCATCTCCAGCGCCTTGTACACGAAGCTACGCCGCATATTACTTCCAGCAAACTTTTACCCTTACCGTTTGAACGTTCATTTTAACTGTTCTTCGCTTAGTACTCGCCGTCTGACAGCTCGTTTTTTTTTCTGCGCCAGTGGCAGTGATACTTATCCCCAAAATCCCAAATTCACCATTGCTGTCTGCACGTCTTCTGTAGGCGTCTGTGGATAATCATATCTCATAGCCACCTAGTGCATCATGCCTTCACCTCTTCCATCGAGTTTTGCCTCTGCGGCAGCTGGCAACGCCCATGATTCGTCTAGTTCAAGAAAAGAAGGAATTGGCGGTGGTGATTGGTAAAATATTCCCTTCTTCCTCTTCCTCTTCTTTTCTCCTTTCTTTTCGTTTTTGTTTTATATTTAGCCGTTACTCTGTTACTCTGTTTTGTCCTCTCATTTATGACAGTAGCTAGCATCCTTGAATTATCCGCCGTCTTGTAGGTGTCGTGTGATGGCAAGGGAGCTAAGTTGATGGCTTTAAATTTTGTTCTAGGTCTCGCACTCGTATGAACGGAGCAACTCAAACGTTCCGCCGTCCGTCCCTTGCAACCAACAATTCCCACACCCGAGAGAACGTCCAAACCACGTCTTCCGCATCTACCCCGACCGTTGCGGCCTATATTCCCCCTCATCTTAGTTCTAATTATCAGTCGGGCTCCCCGCGTACCAACGCCAATGACAGCAGGTATTCAAAGGACCAACTTTTAAGTCTCTACAAGAGTCAGCAGGACCAGGGGAGCTGGAGGAAACATATATCGGATTATTTTATGGCAGATTGGAACCCCAGTGATGAAATCCCTGTGTCTGTCAATGGCAGTTGGAATAAACGCGAGGATCTTAAAGAAAACAGCACCACTCGTCCCGAGGTTTGCTGGGATCACAGCGGACAGGTTCAGCCTTTGGCTTTGACTGAAATGAACGATGAAGAAAAAGACGTATGTTCTACCCTTGGGAACCGGGACCCCCGTTACAAATGCTGACTAGAGTTGGTTACTAGTTATTCTCTGGCTCTATCAACTCACCGCTGAAACCCCCTCCCCAAAGTGGATCAAAGGATGCCGCCGGTGCCAGCGGCAATCCTCCTCGTAAAGGGTCCGTTTCCCATTCCCAGTCCCATCTTGGATCCTTCAACACGTCATCCCCTGGATCTGCACGAACCGCCCCGCGACGTCGTGGGACCGGCGATTCATCAGCTAATCCCATGTCTCCCACGGCTACTTCTCGGTTTTTCCGCGATGAGACGAATGTGTCATCCCCGCCACCCTCTCTGCTCCGCCGAAAGACTGACTTCCGAGAAGCGGAACCGAAGTCGGATGAGAAGGATAAAGAAAATAATGGTCGTGATGCTGGTCTTGAATTAAGTTCTCCATTTGGGACCCTGAAGCGTAGTGCCACGGGGCCTGTCGGCTCAATTCCAGGCTCCTCTGTTTCCCCATGGCCATCCTCATCCCACAGCTCAGCATTTTCGCCAATGGGTGCTTTTGGCAGCTTTTCGTTGGGGCCGATAAGTAGTAATACTGGAACTAACGACAAGAAGCCTGGTTTCAGTGGCCTTCGGGGAGAAAGTCGGTTTAAGGGTCTGTTGTCTAAAGATAGCTCAGATGATGTTGGATCCAGCATGAAAGAAAAATCGTCCCTAGCTGCCCTGGAACGTCTCTCTGAAGTTGAGGATTCTAATCCTCCGCCACCACCACAACAGCAACAACCGTGGGGAGAAGCCATAAAAACTCGCCCAAATCGCAGTGAAACCAACCCCTTCGGTGATGAGCCGCGGAGTGGAAGCGCGGCGCTTGGTGGTCAAGACCTGGACGCTCCCACCGCTGCAACCTCTGCCTCCGGGATCGATCAGTTCGGACTTTCCTTCGGAATGACATCGAATGGCCCAAGCTTCCGAGATATCGTAGGCAATCAGCAAAGCCAACCACCCCAAGCTCCCAGTAATCATGTCCATGAGCCAATGAGCCCAACTAATACGAACCCTTACCAAAGCCCACATGGCGAGAGGGCAGATACTGACGACATCGATACGGACGGTTCTGATATCCAACATGCACACCTCCCTGGCCTGAGCGACATCCCTGAAGATCCTGGAATGGCCGGGTTTGGTTCTATTCGTCGAGGTGGGTCTGCGGTAGACCAGCCAGCGGGTGATCATAGTCAAACATCAAGCGTTGGTGCAGGTCGGGGCTTCCCCAGTCTGACTAGTCTGGGTGGCCTGTCATCTCTCGGATCTGCTGGAGGCTGGCCTACCAGTGCAGCTACTGGCACTCCCACGCGAGAACGATCTGGCTTTGTGTCCGGGTTTGGCGATCCTATTTTTGGATCAATGGCAGATTTACAATCCCCAAGCCTAGCGACTCTTGGAGGAGGGGGCTTTTTTGGGTCGCATACCAGCCTTTCCAGTGCGGGTCGCACAAGTAAAATGGGATCGCTATTTCCTCCAGCAATGCAAGACCAATTACGTGATGAACAAGCGCGCCCGGATTCCACTGGAATTGAAGGTTCAATGAAACATCAGGGTGAGAACGGGAATGTTTCCGGCAGCAGCCCATTTGACAGTGGTATTTCGAGGAGAGACAATGAACAAGCTACTCGCGCTGGAGGTATATTTTCTCCTCTTGGCGGCCTTGACCTTGGAAGGGAGGCTTTTCTATCCGGTGATAAACCTGTCCCGGGAACTCAGCCGATTTCGGTTGCAGCTTCTCATCCATCTGCGCCATCTGCCGCTGTACAAACCTCAATTCCAGCCGCCCAAGCCTCCGTGGAAGGCACCTCTCAACCCAGTCAGAGTCATTCTAGTGCGAGTTCGTCAAACACCCAGCTGCCGGCAACCCAACAGCGACAAATGGTGATGCCAGATCGCATGCGCTGGATCTACCGCGATCCCCAGGGTAACACCCAGGGACCGTGGTCTGGACTCGAGATGCATGATTGGTTCAAAGCAGGTTTCTTTACGGCGGAGCTCCAAGTGAAGAAGTTAGAGGATGCGGAGTACGAACCGCTTGCTCAACTTGTTCGACGTATAGGCAACTCTCGAGAACCGTTTCTTGTACCTCAGATTGGCGTTGCTCACGGGCCACCTTCCAATCAGCCTGGCACCTGGGGGTCATCGGCATCGCAATCTGGTGTCGCGCAGCCTCCGTTCCCGACCAGCTTTCCCAGCTTTGGCACAACACTAACCGCAGACCAGCAAAATGCGCTGGAAAGGAGAAAGCAAGAGGAACAGTATTTGATGGCAAGGCAGAAAGAACATCTGGCCCAGCAACAAGTCCTTATGAAACAGATGGCTATGCAAAATCCTTCTCATGCTGCCATGCATCCCCAGCTGCAACATCACTCAAGCGCTCACAGCCTCCAGAGCCAACCAAGTTTTGGCAGCATCACCTCACCAGGAGGGTACCACCCTTCACCAATCCAGGGGCCCATTCAGCCACCTCAAGCCGTACCTGGTTATTTCGAACCCAACATGCGACAAGCGAATGTGCCCAGTGTCCCTCAAATGCTTCAACAGGACATCATGGCTGGCCAAGAAGAGCTGCCAAGTTTGGTTGACCGCTTGAACATCAATCGCCCATCTCAGTTCCCTTTCAATAGTGGCCCTTCTTTCCGAGCAAGGCAGCAAGAAAATGTCGCGCAACCCCAGCAAATTGCTACCATGCTCCAAGACAGAGCTCGCTTACAGCAGGAACAGGAACAATTTGACAAAAATAAGGGCGATTCGATTTTTGACCAACAAGCTCGCGACGAACGTCTCCGGCAGTTTCATGCTTTAAGACGTCAGACAGATGATGACATTGTTAGAAGGACCGAGGGTCTTCCGACACATCCCCCGGCAATGCCAACTGGAGATGAATTTGAACGCCATGTTGATATTTCTAAACCTGCAATGCAACAACCTCCCAAACAGGAACACGTCCAGCAACGAGCGCCAGAACCCCTTTCTCTTTCTCAACAAGTGCGAAAAGCAGCATCTGCTCAACGACAGCAACAACAACAACAGCAACAGCAACAGCAGACACAGACTCCGACTGTGCAAGCTGAGTCTCCGTGGCCTAAAGCGGATAGTGGTATGCCGCAACCATTCCCACCACCGCCTCCATCGCAGTCTCCCCTCCCCGCTCCTGCTGCGCAACGTAATCGACAAAATGTTGCAGATACTCTAGCAGCAAGCTCTAGGTCGCAAAGCCAGACCCCAATTGAGAATCCATCCACATCGGTCGCTCCGTGGGCAAAGGAAACCATCGAGGCACCAAAAGGACCTTCTTTGAAGGAAATCCAAGAAGCCGAAGCTCGCAAGGCTGCCAAACTCGAAGAAGCTGCTGCAGCTGCGAGGCGTGCACTTGCAGAACAGGAACGGGCAAATCAACCTCCACCTCCAGCTCCAGGACTACCATCCACAGCAAACTGGGCGAGCAGCGGGTCTCCCGTCACACCCCCATCTGCTACGGGCTCAGTATGGTCGAAGCAGGCTGCAGGCGGAAAACCACAATCCGGCGTCCCCGCTTCCGCTCCTAAAAAGACCCTGGCGCAGATTCAAAAGGAAGAGGAGGCACGCAAGCAGCGTTTAGCTGTAGTAAACAATTCTCAAGCTGCTGCTGTAAACTCACCTGTCACTTCTGCGGGCAAACGTTATGCCGATCTGGCAAGTAAGGTTGCACCACCAACTGCACCCGCAGGAGCGTGGACAACAGTTGGTGCTGGTGGAAAGGCAAAGCCTCCACCCACCGCACCGGCTGGACCTAGGGCCATCCCTGTTGCCCCTGCGGCGGCGGCGAGACCTAGGCCGACAGTCCTCACAAGACCGTCTGCGTTGAGTTCTGCGCAGTCGGCGAATACGAATAGGCCCGTTGAAGAGCTTACGAAGTGGGCTAAGAACGCATTGGGTAAGGGATTGAATAGCTCTATCAACGGTACGTCTATTCAGCTCTATATATACCACCCTCGCTTTTTAAACTTGGATGTTCTCCACCTGGAATAGATATCATTTAGCAGACTAACAAATAGTAAAATATCTAGTGGATGATTTCGTCCAACAACTGCTCCTCCTGCCGCCTGAGACAGAAATAATATCCGACTCCGTCTACGCCAACTCACAAACTCTTGACGGCCGCCGTTTCGCTGAAGAATTCGTCCGTCGCCGCAAACTCGCGGACAAAGGCGTGGTTGATCCCGCGTCCCTGAATGCTGGGAGCAATGGGTTCGGCACCGTGCAGGACTCCAACGGCTCGGATGGCTGGAACGAGGTTGCCAAGAAGGGAGGCCAATCGGCTACCCATCGCGAGGACACGAGCAATGCGCAGTTCAAGGTTGTGGCCGTGAAGAAGAAGGGAAAGCGGTAGATTGATTTGGGCGTGTTGTGTAGCAGTAGTGTTTTATTTGACTGAGAAGTTTGTGGTGTGGTGTGGTGTGGGAAGGATAGCATAGCATAGCATAGGAGAAGAAGCATCTTACCATACATGAAGATCGATTTGGAAAGAAGTTGCTTGGGTTTTGCTGCAGCGTTGGGGTGCTATGTTTTTTTTATTTGCAAAGATATTTTCATGGGTGCTCTGTTCTCCTGATAACCCTTACGACCTTATGCATCTTTCCCTTCTAAGCTTCTTGAGCTATCATCAATTCTCATCGTTGGCCGCCTGGCGATAACTAATAAATCATTTCACATCTCGCAACTGGTTGTTACTAGCATTTTTGACACTTATGTAACTCTATCCCTTTTCCTTCTTTTTTTTTTCAAATATCTCCGCCAAAGCATCCCTTAACCATCTTCTTCACTCGCATGGACATGGCGTTTTTCCTGCAGTAAGTCGCACCGCCCTATTACGAATTGTTATGGCTCCCGTTGCCTTGTCTAAGCGGCCTCAGCAATTGCTTCGAGCTTTGTGGGGGATGATGGTGCTTGTGATGTACCTCCCCTGGTAGATACAGGAGGTAATTGATGGAGCAAGCGGTTGATGTAACTTACAAACTTTGTAATTTCAAACATTATTCTTGGTTGTGTGGTTAGGCCATCTATACCCGAGGAATCAATGATGATGATATCATCTACTAGTTGACAATAGGATATTCTCACCAGCAGCTACACTCAGTCAAGCTGGATATATATGAGTTGTTCTCATCTCATAGTTATTGGAATACCCTATATTGTACATCTGCACAACTCACCGGATTTTGCTAACTATCAATCCTCTCTCTGAGCATACCCAAGAAACCCCCACTTAAACCTCAGACCAAGCCAAGCTGGCAACTCTAAACATGTCCGTCTATACCCGCCGCCCTACGTAACGGAATTGATCGACCTCCATTGGCCGCTGAGCTTGTTCTCAAAATAACTTGTTAGATCTAGTCCTCTATCCCTCCAAGGACCATCACAAGATATCCACTAATTTCTTCTCGGCGGAGCTTGTGCTTCGAAGGGCGCGTGGGGATATCTGGGTTTGAATGTGTCACGGCCGTGCCGAAGGTATGATATTTAAACGCCAATCCACTCCCGGTTCAAACGAGACGAGATGGGCTGAAGAGGGTTTATAGCAACATCAATTGAGTCTAGCTATCTTGCTAAATAATATCTAGCAAGTGGGCGGAAAGGCATATAATACTGGTCGTTTCTGGTGAAATCGGTAAGACTCTACTCACTTCCCCGGTAGATGGGCATCGAGCTGCATAAACGCTGATATCATGTTCCTCAAGAGACTACCATTTCCACTCAGTCAGCAGGCCCCAATTGAGTGTGCAAGGAAAATCCCGATCAAGATAGCTATCCATAAGGGTGTATAATATATCTCTGAGCAGGTGAATACTTCGACATGGGATCCATCACGACTTCTGACAAATTGACCGATTTTGGGCATCCGATGCTCAAACATTTTCTACTCGATCCAAATTATAAAAATTTGAACCACGGTGAGTCAGAGCAGACTGGCAAATATTCCCTCCTGTTCCTGTCTCCTGTTATTCTTGCTGTTCTCTAGAGCTTCTCATGCCACTTCAAGCCATTACAACTTTGAGATCACTGGGGCTCCTTTGTGTAGACATTGACTGACAAAGCTATCAACCAGGATCATATGGAACTTTCCCCGCGGTTGTCCGGGATGAGGCCCGGAAATTCCAAGACGAGCTTGAGGCCAAACCAGACTTGTTCTTCCGTTACCTGCAAGCGAAATACGTCGATGTGGCCAGAAAGGAGCTGGCAAAGGTGCTCAACGCCCCCATGAACGAGATCGTTTTCACCAAAAATGCTACGACGGGAGTGAATATCGTCCTTCGAAACTTGCAATACGCACCAGGTGACGTTATCGTCTACTTTGATACCGTATACGCTGCGTGTGAGAAGACCATCGCATGGTTGATGGAATCCACACCTGTCCAAGCGCGCAAGGTCCCATATTCATTCCCTACCACCCACGAGGAGATCATGAAACGCTTTGCCGAGGTAGTTAAACAGCTGAGGAGTGAAGGCTTGAATGTTCGCGTGGCTCTTTTTGATACTATCGTTAGCAACCCTGGCGTTCGGTTCCCATTCGAGGAACTCGTGGCGGAGTGCCGGAAGGAGGGTATTTTGAGCTGCGTGGATGGTGCACATGGAGTCGGCCATATTCCTCTTGATTTGGGAAAGTTGGATGCAGATTTTTTCGTGAGCAATTGCCACAAGTATGTGCCGTCCTAGTTTATTCCCAGATTCTCCCCCCGCCACCCCACCTCCTGAGGCGGGTAGCTCAAGCTTGCCCACAATTGTGACGATCTCTTTTGAGAGGAAAATCCTAGTCGAAAAACCTATGTCTCCATTACCATATACAAACATGACTAACGCTGCCTACCAGATGGCTCTACGTACCCCGCGGTTGTGCAGTATTCCATGTCCCTATCCGCAACCAACACTTAATTCGCACAACGCTCCCCACCTCACACGGCTTTGTCCCTAAGAACCTGGACGTATCTCTCCCAATCCCAAAGCAAAAAGGCAAGTCTGACTTCGAGTTTCAATTTGAATTTGTTGCCACAAACGATGATTCGCCATACAACTGCATCCCAGCCGCTCTTAAATTTCGTGAAGAAGTTTGTGGCGGCGAGGAAAGGATCATGTCATATTGCCAGCAGTTAGCACATGAGGGCGGCAATATCGTGGCCGAAATACTCGGCACAGACGTGATGAGCGAGCCTGGCGTGGACCCTAAGGTGATAGGAGCAAGTAAGCTCCGGCAATGTGCCTTCGCCAATGTTCGTTTACCTCTTGCGGTTGATGATGGTAGTGGCAGACATGTTGAGAAGGATTCGCAGTATCCTGTTATCAAGGGCAGAGATGCAATGGCCGTTGCTAAATGGATACTCGAGAAGTTTTTGTGTGAATATGACGCTGCTGCTCCGATTTTCCCGCATGGCGGTTGGTTATGGACACGGCTGAGCGGGCAAACTTATCTGGAGCTGGAGGACTTTAGGTGGGCCGGGAATGCATTGAAGGAGCTGGTGGAGAGGGTTGGGAAAGGGGATGCCTATGCTGAATTGGGGATCACGGGTGTGACGGACGATCTAAATGCGATACGTTTGGACGGAACTGGAAAGTGAGATTCGGATGTTGCCATTTCGCAATTATAAAGAAACGTATGCAGATGATATCTGATGCATTTTCGTAATACCAAAGAAATTTTTGCTTCCATACATTGTTTTCCCGCTTCTACCATGATTCTTTATTGATGCCACTCTCGGATGAAGTGACATGGCTCATTGAAACCAACGTCAAACGCACGATAGATAACTTTCAACATACCATTTCCCCTCCGCCCGGAGACAACTTACAACTCGCGCCCGTCGTCACCACTAGCCCACCATCACCGCCACCACCTCCTCCTCCTTCCCTTTCCTTAACCTCCACTACCGTCTGAAAAAACTCCGTAACATCCACCGCCCCATCGATATGATAATTCCCACCGATAATGAAATGCGGCACCCCCTGAACGCCCCCATCCCTAATCTTCCTCGCCTCCTCCTCAATAATCTCCCGCACTCCACGCCCCGCCCCTTCCCCTGCCAACCACTCCCTAACCTCCCCCGCCTCCAGCCCCACCTCCACCGCAGCCCTCACAAGCGTATCAACACAACTGATATCCTCCTCCAGCTCCAACTGATACCGGAATAATATATCAGAAACCTTACCTTGCATCACAAGCCCCTTCTCCGCACCGGTGGTATGTAGAAGGACGTGCGCAAGCCTTGAGCTACCCATATACCCTCCGAACTTAAAATCGAGACCCAACGTCGCCCCAACGCGCCTTAGGCGCGTCTGCGCCGCCTCGGTCATCTTGGGCCCCATCTTCCGGAGCATCCGGTCTGGATATTATATTGTGTTGTGAATAATGAGGTAATTTTTCGTGCGCCGGGTGGGGGTTATTTGAGTGCATTGTTTATAAATGAAAGATATTTTAAGGGAGGACGGGGCGGCGGGAGCTGGCGGATATCTTACCGTGGATAATTATGCTCTCGCTGGGGGGTTCTTGGTCTATGAAGTAAGGCTTCCATGACAGTTGGAAGTCATCCTTGGAGCCCCCTGGGTATGTCTTTTGGTAAAGGGAAATGGCCTTTTGGAGGTCGCGGTAGCCGATGAAGCACTATTTTCTTTGCATATGAGTAGATAACCGAAAAGTTTGGTCCAGTGTTTTTTTGTGGAAGGGGGCCAGACAGCGTGCTCACCCAGGGACATATCGCGTCTGAAATGATATCGATTTTAATCACTGCCATTGCTTGGTCATGCGAGGAGAATACGAGCTATTCCCCGTGCTTCTCAGGGCTTTCTGGTAGTCTCTATGCTCTGTTCTTTGTGTCCTCTCTGCTACAATACTTCCCAGCTCATGGAGACAGAAGTCTGAATTGGGCTTAACGGCTTTATTGAACAAGAGACGATTTGATGGATGTGGAAGGTTAGTACTCGTTACTTCTATCCAGCTTGCGCGGCCCTCCTTATCTAAATAACTAGTTAGGGGTTGGTTAAGTGGAACTAGCGGACGATAGGGTGCCAACACCATTCTTGTATTATATTTATTTACTGAACAGCTCGGGACGCAGAGTTGACAACTAACTAGAAGACATTCATGGTTCATCATTGTCGCCCTTGAGTCCTAAGGCTTTTATTATGGTCCTTTTCATTAATTCTGCTCGGATATTCTTCCAGTCCTTCCTCTGCTGGGCGATTCCGAGGTTCCGCCATCTCTTCCATCCAGGCACAAACAACACCTGCCACTACATACCAGTCATAATCCCACTACTTCACGTTATCTGCTCCGGCTGCCCTTTTTTTTAATCTGCGACTGAGGTTCCCCAAACCCTCAGCTTCGCTGCCTCGCCAGCTATCCATTCACTACTACCCTTGGAAGCGAGAAGCTCTGTTGACGCGGCTATTCTCCAACGTTTCTTCTGCTGTATTTTATGGAACATAGATATCCCTTTTTTTTTTTATGAATTGAATTGATGGTATGATGATATAAAGGCTCAGATATAATATTCATTCATGCCAAATGTCAAACATCATTATTTCTTCACTTACAACACTCTCAGCAATGGCCAGAGCCATCCTCTGATCTGTGATATCTATCACATCGGCAGAAGCATCTCTGAGGTTCAGAAGCTTCTCAGTAAATGCAAATATCAGAGCAGAAATATCCACTGACAAGCGATAAATGATATATCTATCACTTCTGATAGAGCCCCAATGATCAATACCGATATGAGGTTGTGAAGTGACTCTCTATCTCAAACACTGAGCATCCAAAAAAAAAAAAAAAAAAAAGTTAACTGGAATCATTGATGCTCAGACAATTCACGAAGAATTGATGAGAATTCTCTTTTAAGAACTCGTGACGCTATTCAGATTGAGTTAAGTACTTGTGCAATTTCTTCATGGAATGGCTAAGTTTTCGCGCAAGGTCGGGTCCATTGGAACTATCCAGCGGGCACAGCGATGCTCTAATAGGTGTGGTCACGTGGCATTCTAGCGAGCATTCGGCATTGCCAGCATACAGCGTACGCAGTAGTGTTAGTTTATAGGCTTGATTTAGTAGTTTAGCCTGCCAGGCACACTCTCAAATGAAATGGAAGAACCCTCGCTTAACATTTCCGTGTCTCCGGGTCCTGGTAACAGTTTTTTTTTTGAGTAAATATGACTAGATCTTCTTAACATGGTGTCGACAGTTGGAAGGGAAGTGTATGCTAAAACATGCAATTCAAAGAAGGAATAATTTTACATCAAGGTTATATAATTGCTGCAATGTCGTCCAAGTTCAATAAGAAAATGACTATTACTGCTTGAAGGATGCAGGTAATCCTCCTCATTGCCCTTTATCATATTCTCACAGCGAGGTTGGTCACCGTTGGCTTTGTCAACAAACTGATGCATTATTGAGTATGAATGCCCTCTATAGCCCTTTTGCTTTCTATGTTTCAAAGTAGTTTTGAAACTGATTTATGTGACAAGGCACACAGTATGAGACGGATATAATCTGATATTATTCACAGTTTAGTGACACAGGAGACTGGATATATATATTCTGGGTGATGATGCAATTTTGAGATCATATAGTGAATCTGGTGAGGTGCTTGATTTTGCAAGATTTAACAGCACTCAGCTGCATTTTATTACCACTGGTTTTCAGAGGAGCATCGGGATCATTTATTGGATCTGGAAGAATGTTGACAATTCGTTGGTTGACGACCGGCAGATCTGGTATCCTCCTGATCACTTGAAATTTCATCCTTCCCAATTACCAAATGACAAGGAATCCCGGTCTACGGGGTCGTTCACCTGCACCGCCATTTCATGCGCTTTGTGAGCAAATGTGGTGTGATTCGCATGCTTTCTATCTGCTCCGGGCTTGTTCATATTGCTTTATGATCAATCGAGTGGGTGATCCCCATTGCGTTCTCGTTAGCCAAAGATAGTACGGCAGCCGTTCGTGACAAATGTGACAACTGGGTTTTTTTTGTGTTTTTCCACTTATAGACACTTATCAATAGAAATTTATATCAAGAGTTTGTCTACCGCAGAAATAGATCTTTTCATTTTAATTAACTTTAAAAAATATTTTGAAAAAAAACCAATATTTAATCCATAAATGTCATCAAAAAAGTAAAAAAGTGAAAGTTAAAAGTGAAAAACAAAAAGTGAACTAATTATAGTCATTGTCATATTTGATATACAACTGTCTATCACGATTAGATATCATTCATTCAAGCAGGTAAGTAGATAGATCAGTAGGTAGTCAGCTAGTAAGCGAGCATTGATAGATAGGTGGGTAGATAGATGGTGATGTTTATTCTCATAGAGATTGATTGAATATTGAGCAGACAGGTTTGTAGATAGGTAGGGAGGTAGATAGATAGCTAACTATCTAGCTAGCATTTGATATTCCATGAGCAATCGATCGGATATCATCATAAAAGTGGAGATTATTCAGTATAGATCAATTAGATGTCTATGAAATTCAATCAAGTTTTGTATGATTCGTAGAGATTGTAAAAAATCTCACTTCTCACAGATATCTTATCTCTATTTCTATCTCTATTTTTATCACCTATACAGTCAATAGAGTTAGTGAATCTTAATGATATAAAATAACTGCTTGTAAAGCTCATTTTCTTACAGTTTTACACAGTGTAGATATATAATCAACAAGCTCTATTTGTGAATATGATTAGCGTATGTACTGTACATAGTAACACGAGTATAAAGAACATCAACCCCATTTGACATATTTGCCACTCAAGGCTGCCGTGGATAGCCAAGGCAAGTAAGTACCAGCATGTATAGACAGAGCACGAAGATGTGGAAAAAATGTCCTTGCATACACGAGAGATATAAATAGGGATCTCAACATCAGCGCTCATACAAGCCCAGTTCTCACAGTGGAAGTTGTAAAGCCTTGATGTCTAGCTTGACAGTCAAGTTTAAGATCTTGTTTAGAGGGATAGCCATGCTTGTCAACCCGAGTTCGGAGGTTCGAATTATCCGTTGAATTCTCCATCAAAAGTGCCGCTTCCTTGATAACTGAGGTTTTATTATAATCTATGAGTGTATGAGGTTTGAAGTTGTATTCTTTTGATTGGTGTATCCTGTCCCAAAACGTGGTAAGTACGTTATCCGATCTTACAAAACGATTTTTCTATTAGTTAGTTAGTTAGATAAACATGAAGATATTATCTGATACTGTGCCAGTGTAATTATCAATCTCTCTACAGCGAACAATGCCCTCCGTGCGGCTATCTTTACTTCTTTTCGAACAAATCATGCGTTTATTGAGAGAGCGAGCATCTTTTCTGTTGTTGGCTACCCGTAAGCATCAAATACGACGAAGAATACTCAGCCACAGCCATCCGTTGTCGTGGACCAATCTGGCGGCTTTCCACAGCAGACATATTTCTTTTTGTTTGATACTTGTGAAGCTTGGAGTGCTCTCTTTGCCGCAATGATATCTCTGTCACCCACGATCCATCTTCCCTCGCCGAGCATAAAATGAATGGAATTGTCCTCAAAGCTTTGGCTTGCTCAAATCAATGTTGCAGGGACGGCTTTCCATGTCAATTAGAAGGCATAATATAAACCTGCACAGTTCCGTCTTAGGAAGATGTTCTTCTAGACATCCTCGTCAACCTTTTATGGCTACGAGCTAGAGTTTATCAATTGTCCTCCTTTTGCTCTCTTCATTTTCAACAGATGTGAAATGCCCAGCATGTTGGTGGGCAATGCGGTCAGCATCCTATTCCTCCTGGTTCTTTTCTGTAGCGCGCGTGTATTCGCCGCAAGCGAAGATCTCAACGTATATGGCGGATATGGCCCCGAAGTCCTCTGCGTTTTCCCAATGAGCGGACCATATAATCTCCTCCAACGCATACTCTTCTACCTTCTGCTGGTGTTTGCCGTCCTTTGTCGCCGTCAAAAATGGCTGGTCCTCGGTGCACTCGCCAGTGCGATGTCCTATAGCGGGGCCGCAGCGATTCACGGCTTCCTCCTGGCCAGCCCCGCGCAGAATGCAATAGATCTTGATATCTACGGAATTTTCGCTATAACTTCGTCCGGCGCCATGCTGGCTGCCCCTTTGCTGAATTGTTCATCGACTTTGATATATGCAGAGAGAAGGAAGCGATGGATCGTGATTCTGTGGGGACTTCTTTTGGTGGTTGGTGCGATATTCACTGCATCGTGCATACATGTAAATGGGGCGGGCTTCATCACCCCAAAGTGCATTCCACGCGCCGATGCAGCTTCATTCCATGGCTCACTATTCCCCAGCCCCAGTGCGGATTGTCTTTACGCATGTGGGCCCGAAACTCGACTTTTCCGCCCAAAGAATGACGTGGTGGCCTGGCCTAACTATATCAACCGTCCCAAGGATATCACCTCTATTTTCCTTCCAGCAACGATCATCTATATATTTAGCTGGATCGTCGTTGAGATACTATTCCGCACAGTGTGGAGGAATAAAAGTACGAATATCCAATTTACAACAGCGGCCTTCGTAGTCGGTCGAAGTAGGATAGGCAACCTTGTTCATAGTCGGCAGAATACCATCAACAAAGCCCCAGACGTGTCTGTGTCGATAAATCCGTTTTCACCGCTGCCTTCTCCATCGCAATCCTGGCTGCCCGGACCGCCACTGCCAAAAAGGCGACGATCTTGCTGGGCCGCATTGCTTAAAAACCTCCAGTTGTGCGTTATGCTTGCTCATTTCGCTGCCTTCGTCGTCAACGTCGTCATGTGCGAGTATCGGATGGTCCACCTCCCCAGCAACGAACAGCCAAAGGAAGTCGGCCAGTGGATGCCTTGGGTTAGTGTTGCGCTGGTTGTTTTTGCCCAGATGCTTAACCGATATATGAAACTACGCTGGGGAGGTATTAGGAGAAAACGATTGTCCCCCAGAGATGAAAAGCGGGCACTGGCGGTTGAACGATGGAGAGAGAGTCTTGTACTGGCGGCAGAGAGGATGGCAGACGAACGAATTGTGACCCCCCCAGATGAAGTTTTGAAAAGGGACAATATGCCTCCGGGTCTGAGGATGTTTAGGAGTGAAGCAACGAGTTCAACGAGGAGGAATAGTTTCTGAGTGACGCATTTCGTCCTTTCTCCTTTTTCTCCCCCGTTCCCCCCCCTTTTTTTTCTACCACCCCCCTTCTCTTTTCTCAACTCTCCTCCAGATAATTCCGAACGGCCCTCCCTACATCTGACATCCTATAGCTACGGATATTAGATCAACCCTTATTTAGCTTGCCAATGCAAAAATTGCAGTCCAGTGGGATATATCATGATTTGTAGTTGAAGTAACTTCCATAAACTTTACAGTGCCTCCCTTCCATCCCTGCTTTTGTTATAACCATCGGTTCGTGCGAAACTGGAACGCAGGTTCGTTCCCGTAACCACACAGGAACTAACTAACTTGTCATTTTCAACAAATATTGACCATTAACTTATAGACTTCTATCTTATGTTAGTTGGAGCGAGCAATCGCCTTATATTCATTCACATGGACTTCGCGTTTGGGCTGAGGCAAGCACAGTACATATCCATGGATACAGCACAAGCAACGTGCCACGGAACCATAAACCTTTCTTTTTTAACCTACTTTTTTTTTTCATAATAATGGCAAGAAATTTGCGACCTGGCAAAGGTATCCAGCTCCAGCTCCAACTCCAGCTCCAGCTCGACCGATACATTTGAACTTTGGTAAAAAGAGTAAATAAGTGTCGGGATCAGCAAACCTGAGTCACAAAAAGCCTTCATTCCTGAACTCGCCAAAGGACCATCTGTGCGCCAGTAATAGAACCGGAGAAAAAAAAATTGTTTTTTAATACCTCCCATACCAAACACTCATTTCCTCGAACTTGTCATCAAGAACACCGAAGCCAAACTCCGAACCACAAAACATATGAATGATTCCAGACTCCCATGGAATAAACAAATAAATGAATGATACGTCTGAAAAAATGGCGGAAAATAGTCAATCACCCCTGCATCGTCTGCCAGAAATAATTTGCGTAAAAAAACCGGGAGAATTTTGGATCGATATTAACAACGTGGACATCGCCCTTCTGGCTATTTCGAATAATTGCTTTTGTGTAATTGCCCGCTTCATCAGGCTCGACATCGATACCGAGGGAGCGGTAGATTTTGAGGCGCAGGCTAGCAGATCGGGCGCATGCCATTGATTAGTTTTATATCCTCTGGTGACCGGAAGTATGATACGTAAGGCCAAGGAGAAAAGAAATGGACATACATTGTTGAATCATCCAACTCCCTCTCCCTCCTCACTAACTCATCCCCCTCCAGCCCCTGCGCGTCCAACTCCGCCAACCGTGCCTTTAACATCTCCAGCTCACCCTCTAGCCGCTCACTATCGATCTCCAGCTCAGATGCGGCCTTCGCAATGCGAAACTTCTTCGTATCAAGCTCGACTATAGATGCAGCGTGGCGCGCCGGGTCGTGCGAGGAAACATTGTCCGCGTGTTGTGCGCTGAGTGTGTTGAGATTGCGGGTTAGTTTGCGGAGGGCGAGTTCTGCTTCGCGGGTGCGCAGGTCGCGGGATTGTTGGAGGGAGGAGAGCGAGTCAGTGATGCGGGTAAGGGCGAGTTTGTCGGGTTGTATGTTGAAGTTGCCGATTGTGTGGTGGATAAGCTGTGGGAGGGGTGGTTTTGTTCAGCAAGTAATTTCGGATTGACTTTAGATGGAAGTGTTAATGGATTGGTTCAGGAGGAACATACTGTTGCGGGATCTTCTTCGAGGAGCATATTTGCGGTGTGGACCGTGTTTGTAATTCAATCAATGCTGTCTTTTGAGAAACAGACGTAAATGCGCTGGTTGTGAAGCAGATGAAGGCAGGGTGTGGCGGGTGTTTGTTGACGGTTGGGCTGTTGCGGGAGTAACTGCCACATGACTTTGCTGCCAAAACTCCACAGCGCCATCTTGCCAAACACAAGCATAACCAGGCCACAGCTCTTTGGATACCTCGACTCGTTGTCGACATATCTTTGTAACATACAGCGAAGGACGAGTCCGTATCATAACAACCCTATGGGTTCGAATCTTCCATGTATGTCTTGCTCTGCTCCTCGTCTCAAGTTGTTGTTTGCTAAACGATTTATCTCAAATCTAGATGCGGCGGATGCTGAGAGGTCAGTGCTATAATCTAGGCCCGCCCCTCCATAATCGACATCGGTTCTTATGAAAGGAGTCCTTCCAGTTGTGGAAAATTTCCGTCGTTTGTTGTTGAAGAAGGCAAATAACTGATATCTCTATACCATCCCGCAGCCCGCTGAAACCCGCTGAACTCCAAGTTCTGCGAGCCCAATACGAAAAGGAAGGGGAATATGTCGGCGTGCAGACCAAATTCAATTATGCTTGGGTATATAAAACATCCCTCCACCTTATTCTATTCATCGATTATTATTCCCTCCCGCGGATCCGCCCTCCAATTCTATTGCACCCACTCATCGAAAAGAATACAACCAACTAAACATTTTAACCTTCCTCCCCAAAACTTCCCTTGCAGGGCCTCATAAAATCCAACACGCGCCAAGAACAACAAGAGGGTGTCCGACTGCTGTCCGAAATATTCAAATCGGCCCGCGAACGACGACGCGAATGCCTCTACTATCTCGCACTCGGCAACTACAAGCTAGGCAACTATGGTGAGGCGCGCAGATACAACGACCTCCTTCTCGACCATGAGCCGGGGAATCTACAGGCGGCCAGTTTGCGGACGCTGATTGACGAGAAGGTTGCGAAGGAAGGGTTGGTTGGTGTTGCGATCTTGGGAGGCGTGGCACTTGCGGCTGGGGTGGTTGGAGGGCTTATTATGAAGGGTGCGAGGAGGCGGTGAGGACAGTAGATGGGGTTTTACGAAGTCAAGATGATGAAGAAAGATGTCGCGCGGGGTTCTTTATGATGAAAGGTGCTAGGTTACGTGGTTTTCCCCTTTGTCGTATTTTGGTTGGGTGGGTGGGGAAAAGGCTACGTGCTGATATGGTATCCCAAACAGGATGAGGCAGCTTTTCGAGAGGTCCTTAGAAAAGGGGTATGGTGCTTCCGGTGGCTCTTATTGTCTCCTGTTGACCTGCTGTTACTCCCATCTGGTTTTCACGCCCCGGCTTGGTTTTCTCTCCACTTAAACGTATTCTGCTTCTCTTTCATGTTTTTTTTTTTTTTTTTTTTTTTTTTTTTTTTTACAGTGCTGTGCTTTTAAACACCATCCGCTTGATTTAAGATCGGATATATATATTGACCAATATGCATACATAGTAATAATGGCATAACGTTTGTCATGTTCTCCCTGAGTTTCCGCCTCATGTGAATGATAGGATCTTTCCTATCTCCGCCTTCTGAGATTCCCGTCACATCCGCAAACAGGCTCCAGAAAGGAGTTGACAGTGAAAAACAATCGAGAGAGGCACGGAACAAGTAGGCTAGCGCTGAACCATGTAGGGTATTCTTAAAGGATCGAGAAGACGAGCAAGCAAGAAACAAGAATCGTGAATTCGCGGCCAATACAGTCGGTCTGGTTCAACCATTGAAAGTAGCCGGTTTCACAGGCGTAATGGTATAACAATATGGGAATCTAGTAGAACCACGCAGAATTGAGAATCCATCACACCACAAGATGTCGTTAAAGCACTCAGCCAGGGTCGCCTGAAGAGCGTCGTCTTGTGATGAAACAGGGGTTCATTTTCCCAATGTACCCTTGAAACAGCTTTTGAAATGTGGGTGGCGCATGTCCACTAGAGATAATCGCCCATTCCGCATGTCCTCCACAGGGCAACCGTTGGGAGACTCAGGCAGGTTGGAGACACAGAATTTGATACTGCTCAGGTTAATTCTGAAGGAAGCAGATACCCGATGCTGGGAATTAATTCTAATAATAGTTGGTGCGCTGGAGATTCCCCGCCACAAGGGGATGGATGATCTGTAATAAGCGCCAAACTGTAACCAACGTCATCGCTAACTTGCCAAGTTTCCCGCCACAGAGCGAACAACTCGCGGCTTCATCCAACCCAGACCGTGCTCTAGTTGCACTTCAGCCAACGATAGCCAGATCACCGGATCCTCCCATTTCGACTTTGCCTATGTGATTCACCTAGGTTCTACTACTGTGTCGTTTGTGCTGTTCTATACGTGGGCATCTTCCAAGCCGCCAACAAGCACAACAAACAAACTTTGTCGATCCATCTACCCGCACGCGAACCCTTTGTTATCTTCGTTGTAGATAACGGCCTTTACCTATACTTACTTGCCTTCCTGCATTACCCGGTGCCTGGTAACACAAATAAAATATCTTCAGTCGACCTTCCCCTCCTCCCCCTCATCGTTCACTGCGTACAGCGAGCAAGTAGGCGCGCACTTAAGCCAGTCGCCCCTCACTTCTAGCCCGGCATCTCATTGTCGATCCATTTTGTGCCCCGTCTTCATCCTCCTATCAAATACATTTCGACAAAGGGACTTAATAAGTAATAGGAGGCATTTCACGACAGATAACTTCTGTTCCTGCCAACCAGCCATGGCTGACGAAATGACGCCAGAGAGGGTGTATTGTTACCAGTGCCAAAGTGTATGGGCAAGAGAAGAAGAGAGCGCATTACGGTGTCCCATCTGCGAGTCCGAATTTGTCGAAATCGTAAGTGCGCTTCTGATGCAGCTCCTCTACTGCTTTACAGCTCGCCTATCAGTCGATATGAAATTAGTGAAATTAGTAACTGACACTCCCTTCCCAACCAGGTGGAAAGAGATAACCCACCTCCAGAGCTCCAGAACCCCCCGACACACAGCCCTTCCCCCATCCGCCAGAGTCCCAGTTCAGCACCATCCTTCCATCACATACGCGGTCCTAGACCAGGTATCCAAACCGAACACCTCGACGCCCCGGGAGGTAGGGCAACGTTTCGCAGTTTTCGGTCGGGCGATGGAAGGTTTACGTTCGCTAGTACATCATTCCGATCGTCCAGAGGAGGTTCCCCCCACGGACAGCCACTGCATGATACCCCCGTCCATGACCCTTTCGCGTTCCTTCGCAACACCACGGCTCTTATCGACGCCCTTACAGAGAACCCCGCTGTTCGGCCGACGCGAAGGCATCGGTCCCCTGGCCTACAACCACTAGTTTATCTACCTGGCGTCCATGAACCCCAGGGCGACGATCTAGGTTTAAATATAGATGGAGATGGAAACACATTGAGGGTTAGTTGGCGCTTGGCACCGCGAAACGCATACAACGCACGGGAGGATACAGATCCATTTGCTCATCTACAAGAGTTAGCTTACTCCGTATCTTCGCCTTAAAGATACACTTCTTGGATTTGTGAACTAACCAAGTTCTATTGATCGTTCATTAGGGTTCTCGGACAATTTGCTGGATATCAACGTGGAAACCAGATGAACGGTGGGGCGAACGAGGATGCAGATATACGATCGTTGATGCTGTCTCTCCTTCAAGGCATTGCTGAGGATGGTGGAAGTCTGGATGAGAATGCAGATCGACCCGTAACTAGAGAACAGCTCGCGCTCCTGAAAACCCAGACGTTGAAGGAAACTTTACAAGAAACCGAGGGAGCGCTTGATCGTTTCGACGGCACGGAAACCTGTGGCATCTGCATGGAAACTGTAGGACTAGATTCCCGAGTGACCGTGCTGCCGTGCAAGCACTGGTTCCACTCGACCTGCATATCTCCATGGCTGGACGATCACAATACTTGCCCTCATTGCAGAGCCAGGATCGGGCGTCCAACACTGCAAACGCCGAACAGGGGACACCAACAAAACTCAACGACCGGCTCAGGGGCCGGCTCAAGGTCCCCACCTCAATCTGCGTCCGGTTCTCGTGGTAGAGGGAGTATGGCGGATCCTTTCATTGTTTCAGACAGTCCTCCTCGCCGATCAAATTCAGGGAATGTCAATCCATCACAATCTCCCCGTTCGTCGACTAATCGTGACCGTGCCAACCCAACGTTCAACGGAACTGAGAACCTCCCATCACGGCCAAGGGATGGTGGGGAAACTCATACTAACCCTGCTGGGTGGCTTTGGAATTGGCTTCATAACAGTAACGACTAAGTTTCTGTTCGACGTGGACGCATGTATATACCAGAAACAGAACGCAACATTTAGAGGTCTATCAATCGAATAAAATTAGCAAATGCCCACCGTGTTCTTTTGGGCAATGAAAATCGCCCTTCCCTTGTCTGGCTCCATCCATTCAATGGATAATAACGAATCCAAAGATATCCTGACGTAGGATGCTATCGAGTCAACAGACTGTCCGTAACCACCACCTCTTCCTGATCACTGTTATTCAAGATATGATGATAACCAAACGGATTCGATTTGCTTTATTATTTCTTTCCTCCTGCCTACCAAACTACTGCTGTATTCTGTTTTCGAGATGGATATCGTTTACGAGCATCGGCGCGCCAGCGCCTCCTTTTTCCCCGTCACATTTTATTATGCTCAAACTTTTCGTGTTTCCATTCTTTATTTTCCTTTTGTTTTGCGGCTAATAATAAAAAATGTGCGCGTTTCATTTTTGTCTATCTTCTCCTGGCAAGCGCATGTTTTAATCCATTTTGATTTATCTATTTTGTTTTCTGGTTGTGTTCATCACGGTTGCGGATATTTTTCCTTCTAGCCATACCCTTTGCCCCAACCTTATTACGAGTTGCTACAGTGTACCTCTCTTCCAACTGCCGTTACTATTTAGAGAAAACCTCCCGTCATGACCATTTTTATTTCCTCTGCATATGCATATACATATATTTTAAATTCAAGCATTGTCATTGCGAGTTGAAACGTGAAGATTGAAAGTTTCTTGGTTTCGCAAATTACAACTTGAATGACAATTGATTCGTTTCCTTCTTGCCTCCATCCTTTTGTTGTTGGCTTTTCTTTTCATCTCGTGGACCCGCAGAGCATGAGATGCAGAGCTAACCCTGATTCCATTGGGACTCAATAGATTAGGGCTTCCAAATCATGTGATAATATCAAGCCCTAGTTCGGCTTCCATGGCAACAACATCGAGAGAATAATCCTGAACAGCATCAAATGGACAAAGGGATAACAAAAAAGATTTGAAATGGGTAAACTGTTTTTTTTATATTCTATACGCCGGCCTAAATGTGCTCCCTTACGCGTCTTTCGAAGTCCTATTTGAGGACAATTTTTGCTGTTCTTTTGTTATTTATTTCAGTGTATTATGTTCAAGTTTGTTTTAAGACAACAGCGACACTGTTCAGCTCTACGTCAAGTATACCCCCATCATGGAAACAGTCTATTGGACTTGTCCGGTCTAAAGAGATAGTGGTTGCCAGTTTGAAAGACGACGATACATCATGGGTTGCAGAACACCTGTCAGATTGGAATGCCAACATCTATGTCGTGGATGATCCCAGATCAGAATTGACCGTCCCGATGAATAAAGCCAGGGAATCGATGGTGTATCTGACGTCAGTGTATTTTATTTGTTTATTCGTTTAACTATCCATTTATTCATGTTTTATGTAATGGTAGGCTATCTATATATTGTGCTGTATATTGTCTAACCTTGTTATAATCAGGTATATTATTGATCGCTTTGAAAAACTCCCGGACGTCATGATCTTTATGCATAGTAACAGATATCAGTGGCATAACGATGATCCAATTTACGGTATGAGCATTGTGCAATACGGTGCAATCAAATCCATGTTTTTTCTTCTTGCACCTTCGAGGACATTAAGGCCATGAGCACATCTTACTTGTTTATTAAACAAAAAGGATATTTCTAACCCGCTACTACCAAGACGCTGTTCCAATCATCCAATCCCTCCGCCTCCCACATGTATACAAAGTCGGCTATGCACCTCTCCGCTGCACGTGGATCCCCGGTTGCCCGGCGGAACTACACCCTTTAAATCCCACGGACACGGGCCCGGAAGATCGTCAACGTTCAGAAGTCGAATACGCAGCTGCGTTTGAGAAGATGCTTCCAAACACGCCCGTTCCGCCAGTTGTGGGCGCGCCATGTTCGTCGCAATTTGCTGTAACAAGAAATCAAGTCATGAAACGGTCGAAGGAGAGCTACGAGTTGATAAGGCGTTGGGTGATGGAGACGGATCTTCCTGACGCGGTTTGTGGGCGCGTTATGGAGTATATGTGGCATAGTATGTTGCCAGTTTTTTTAATATTCTATCAGCGTTTCTCGCTTCCTGTATCATGCGAATTTATACACCGGGATGCATCGAAAAGAATTCGGCGACATACGGACTAACCTGGATTTCACATAGTCATCATGCAAATGCCACCGGTCTACTGTCCACCAGCAGCGGAATGCTATTGTATGACGTTTGGGCTGTGCAACTTGACATGCAGCTCTGTTGCCAAGTGCGAGAACAGATATATTCTCCCCACGCATTCACGCATCCCTGAGGGCTGGCCGGAAGAAGGCGGAGGGGGAAATGGCTGGCCCGCTCCTGGCTGGAATGAGTTGTGAAATGTGGCTTATGTTGCCAACTTTTGACGATTCTCACCAATTCAACTTGTTTGGCATTGCGGCCCATCTATTCATGTCCTGGTACCGCCACCAGTATGAATATAAAAGGAATTATGCTCGATGTCGAACTTGCATATAGGGCATTCAGACTGAGAAAGATCACTCAACGTCCGTAGGGACTGCAAGGCATCAGTTTTCATTGATTTGGGTTATGTATTTTCGTTTCTTCCAGCTGCACCACGAACAACTCACTGCTCTGATCTGCATTTCAGCTCTGCAAGGACCCCGGCTTTCCCAAATGCACAAAGGGGCCATCCAGAAAGGACCTCTCAATACAGCAAATATGCGCAATGAACCATATCAAAAAAATCCATTATCAATATATGAAACCGGCACGCGTACGGGTGCTCAATTCTTGCCCATCAATACCCTCTCAAATATGCATACATGGTAATATGTTCTCCATCGGCCCGTTAATTTTCGCGACATCCTACCGGCTTGAAGGTATCTACACCTCATCCTCTCTCACTCCCTCGAAAAGAAAAAAAACGCAGCATATATTTGTACCGCGCCAGGAAACTCTACAACGGCCGCTGTATCTCTGATACCATTCCTGTTGTGCCACAGATGTACCAAGCAGGAAATGGAATTAGCGCGGCGTTGCTGTTTCAGTTGGATAGACGAGAGGCCCATGCCTTGATTGAGACTAGCGGCAATTGGTTAATGTTATGGATGAAGTGGATGATATTGCTTAGTTGATAAGATAAATTGGGGAATGTTGGGGGATTTCACGGCCGGGGGGCATCCATGTATGAATGGTGATACCCCTCTAAACATGCGTCAGATATGAGACTTACAAAGATGAGAAAGAAGAGGCTTCCCTGTGAATGTGGACGGTTGGGCAGTGATTAAAATTCGAGCTTGGATTTCAGTGGTATAGACGAATACAAATGGGAAAATGAAGGATAGCAAGACTGAAGCAATCGTATTTTATAAATCTTTCCACCTATTCTACTGATTCAGCGAAGCAAAAATACAACCTAAATAACTTTTTGAATAATGGAATCAAAAGAACCACTTCATATTTAGTACCACCCAGCCCAGGAAAATGTACCCACATGTTGAGGCAAATCCTTGAACTGCGGATCAGCCATGAACGATTTACATACTATATGGGTAGAGAAGCCTCATCTTGGAAACGTGAGAGAATGAGTAGTTAGCTATAATCCTTGTCAAATAGTGATTATTATATTTGCATATATATAAATGCATACCGTGTGGCCAGCTATGAGCAGTAAGAAATGCGGCGTTGGCTTTGAATGCAGCTCACTCCGGGCCTCACTATTCTACTATTTTGTTCATGTGTGGACAGTGGATATTCATAAAGTGGAGGTGGCGATGAGAGGGATTTTACGATAGGAGAGATGGGCTCCTTTTAGGATTAGTTCGTGTGGTTGGATTGGGTAATTGGTTTGATTGGCATATGCTGTTGTCTATAGTGGTTGTAGAGTTGCTAGATCTATATCTAGGCTCATCTTGATAGATGGCCATTGTACAGTACACTGGATTAAATTGGATACCGTTGTCGCGAATTGGGTGCCAGTGATCTTGTAGATAACGTCTCTTTGCCAATTCAGGTTGTCAGGATAGATTTTAAATACTCCCCTTCTCGTGGAGCTATCTGTGGTGCTCATACGTAACCAAGAGGTAGCCATGCCCTCCATACGGCAATAGCGTCCTCACCCCCTAGATGGTTTTCTAAAATTGTATCTTCCCAGAGTTCCTTTATGATCCCTGCTGGAAGCATTCATATAATTTCCGGGACCTGATCTGCGATGGTAACAAATGCGTGAATTCGAAACTTCGGCAGCTTCAATGACACACTTGGGGAAGCTGCCATGTACCACCACGTTTGTAACCACTGGGTTTCATTGTAAACCATCGATGGAGGATTCCGTGGAAATAGCCGGAAAACAGCGATAATTGAGCATATCCGTATCGCAGTCAAGAAGCCGGCACTCATCCACGCGATTCTCGGAAACTCTTAATCGCCTCTCCATTCCAGGTTAAAGACAGGGTCTTATCCTCGCCATCCTCTTTCCCTTGCCCAGAATGCTGAACCTCAGCTCCTAACGCCTCCAAACCTGCATCACTCGCCTGTTTATTCCATAAAATCTGCCGTACATGGCCATCTAGTTCCGCGAAAATCCATACCAGCGGATATCTACTCTTCAACAGCGCAGTCCGCAGGCCCTTTGTAGACTCCCTTGAGCTAACAAGCATGCCCAGTATTCCCTGGCCACGCCATCCCACAGGTGCTCCGGCAAAAGTCCCCTCTAGTTCTCGTATTATGTTCGGGCCTACTTTGTTTTTCGAAGCTTTGCATTGCACGATGACGCGTAGCGGTTGTGAGTTTGAGTCCGGCAAATGCCAGGTGCCCACCAGATCTATCCCAGAGTCCATCCGGCCGCCTATGCGGGTTAGATCGAGAGCCCAGCGGCGGAGGGTTTGAAGAATGGTATACTCGTAATGCGTACCGATGTACGTGGTACTCGTCCGGTCAAGAGAAGTTCGAGCAGCGTAGTCCAGGAAAGAAGGGAGGTCATGATGCTGGGAGGTCGGGGAGACGGGAGGAATTGGCGGGGCGGGAGCGTTGGAGAAGGGCCGGTAGGCACATTGTAGAAGAGTGTGGACAGATAGGCGAGAAGGCAGGTGAAGTGGTTGTATGTGTATCATTGAATTGGTTAGCGGTGTCAATGATTTGGGGAGGTTTGTTCTGTTCCTGTGTTGTCTTCGTGGTAATTGAAGGAGACCGGTTGCACGGTTTGCCAAGCCGGAGCTCACAGCTTCAATCCCGGCATCGTTCGTCTCTTAAAATACATATCGCATTTCTCAATGTCACCGCTTGTGCTCCATACTCCAACAACAACTTTTACCCACAAAGATCATTAATAGTATTGCATTTCTTTAATCTCGCCTTTATCTCTCAGTGAAATAATCCCCCAGCCATCCTCTGCCACTAACCAGGGAACCCCCCCCTCCTCGCTCTGCACCTCCGCCGCCCACCACCGCTTGCCATGGCGGACATCCTCACACAACTTCAAACATGTTTGGACCAGGTATACACAATTATCCTTCTTTTCCATATAAAGACGAATTGAGGAAACCAAAGACAAAAAACCAGAGGCCCTCCTAGCTAACAAAAACCAACCCCACGCTTGCATCCAGCTCGCAACCCAATTCTACGCGACCCTCTGCTACCTAACAACCTACCACGATCACGCCGCAGCAACCCCGCCCTCCAACATCCCAACCGCAATCCCACAACTGAAAAAGATCCCAAAAAACCCTTCCCCCACCGCTACCACATCCACCACCGCAAAAGCCGCCTCCCCGCAGCCCACAACCCCCGCTGCCGCAGATGCACAAGCCCAGCAACAAGAACCGTCGCCAGCAGAACCTACCCCCGACCCCCCCGAGATCTTTGCCCTGCGGCAGCGCGAGCTAGCTCGTGACCTGATTGTCAAGGAACAGCAGATTGAGTACCTCATCAGCGTTTTGCCGGGGGTGGGGAGTAGCGAAGCGGAGCAGGAAGAGAAGATTAGGCGGTTGGCGGAGGAATTAAGGGTTGTGGAGGCGGAGAGGAGGGAGAAGAGGAGGCAGATGAGGAAGTTGGGAGAGAGAGTTGATGAGTTGTTGGGGGCCGTGGAAGGGACGGGGTGAAATGGCGTATAGTTCGAGGAGCGAGGGATTTTTGTTGATTTTGGGAGAGAGGGCAGAGGGATCTCTTTTACTTCCTTTTGGGGTGGGAGGTGTTTTACTACATTAAAGCGATGTTGATGGCGTTGAATATATGGTGTCTGGTACATCGTTATATTCTGTGGATGATACGTTGGCTCTCTTTTTTTTAATTTTTTTTTTTTTTTTATTTAAACATTTGAAGCATGACCCTGTGTGGATGTCTTCGAGGCTGGAGACCATGAGTTTAGCCTGTGAAATAAATGGCATTTTCGTCGTCATATCTATGATAAACAAAAAAATGGGTTAATATAAGCATTCAGAACCATCACTGTTTCTACCGACCTTTCTTTTCTTTCTACTTGTGTATTTATGTCTTGCATTCACTTCCACTACTCATTCCATGACCAGACACATACTAAAAACAGAAATATCGGGTACGTAAAAAGCCGAACACATTCGGAATTGGAACATATCTCATTTTGTTTCAGATATCCAGTGATCTATCTCTTCAAGGCTAGGTGTCCAGCAGTCAGATTCTACTATGAACTTTAGTAAAAAGGGTGTGAGGCAGCAAGAAGCAAAAAAAATCCGCAAGCATATTCACAGGATCAAACGGCCACAAGTGATGCGAGAAACTGCGAAATTCCAGTAGCTAATGGGTTGAATAAACAGGTATGCAAAATAAGGCGTCAGCTAACTAAGACAGAGCTGGTACACAAAGGGACAGAGGCATTAGACAGGGAAAATAAAATGATGAGAAGAAATAGAGAGTATTCAGGGTATATGCTGCTCGTGAAACTGGGCTGAAAGAAAGTAAATTGAATAAAATAAATGAAAAAGGAAGGGGAAAGGGAAAAGGGGAAAGGGGGGAAGAAGAAAATTTTTGTCGGTGAAGTTCAGAAGATGCCATTGAATTGCCGCCACCAACCAACCTAGCATAGCCATCTGGTATCTATTTTCTGTAGAAATCCGAATTGCGGTCCCGTATTTGCGCAAGGGAAAGGGATATGTTTTTCTCAAGGTAATGTGAAAACTGATGCAATTGATGTGTCAAATGTGTGATCGTGAACAACTGCGTGTGCACGACGCGACGTTAAGTCATGAGTCATCAGTCGTGATGGGGTAACTGAAATCCGGTTGAATGCCACCCGAAGCAAAAGCTCAAGAGCGAGGGGCAAGCTTTCACTTTCATGTAAACAGATTCCGATACTCCTTCATCCTCTCCTGCTGCAACTCCCTCCTATCCAACTTGCCACGATTCAAGCTCATATCCGCCATCTGCTGCTTCTTCCTAGCCAGCTCCGCAATCTTCTCCTCGATGCTATCCTTCATAATGAACTGGATCGTCGTAACTTCCCGCGTCTGACCCAGGCGATGGACCCGGTCCACAGCTTGCGCAATCGCTGCTGGGTTATATTGCGGCTCCATGATGTACACTCTGGATCCTGCCGTTAGATTTAGGCCGACACCACCCGCGCCCAGGGTGGCAAGTAGGATGGTGACATTGTCATCTTCTCGAAATGCGTCGATGGCGGCGTTGCGTTGTTTGAGAGTCATGGTGCCGTCAAGACGAGTAAAGGTTGTGATTCCGTTATCTTCCATGGCAATCTCGATCAGGTCAAGATGTGACGTCCAGGAAGAGAACACGATACTTTTGATTGGGGCTTCGTCGGGGGCTTTCTTGCTCTCTTCGATGGTATCGAGGAGATGAGAAATGAGCGCTTTGGTTTTTGTGTGTGGCCCTTCATACTGGCCGAATTTCTTGGCTTGTTTCGGACCCTCTCTCCTGGAGAGTTGGGATTCTTGGAATTTCTCATAGCCCCGACGCGTAATGGCTGTATAAGTTACAGGGATGAGCCCTTTGCAGAATGTGCAGCTAAGCTGGGACTGTTTGCCTGCGTTCTCGTCGAAAACTTGTTGAATAGGAGGGAAGCAGTCTGCGCAAATGATATCATAACACGGGAGCATGGCTGCCATGAGTGGATCTTTATCGCTCGGGCGATCTTCTGGGAATTGGAGAGTGATGGCATTGCCGCATCTTGCACATACATCTGCTGCTGATTCTTTCATCAGTGTCAGCATTTCATATGCCTTCTTCTCCATGGCGCTTAAAGATTCCTCGTCAACTGGTTGTTCCAAGTCAATGGCATCAGTGGCGCTTAACCCTTTGAACCTGTCCCGGTCTTGCTGATCGAGGAGTTCTTTGCCATGGGCACTGATTTGCCTGAGAACCATCATTGCCTTTAAAACTAGATGATACATTTTCCCTCGCATCTTTTCTTTGCTCTCGCCAGCAATTACATTTATCATTACGTTGGACTCCTTCCTGAAGAATTCATGTAGCATCTTTTCTTGCTCTGAAAATGTCAACGTGATGACCTTGTCATGTCGAGGGGGGAGATTGATACGATCCTTGACGCGGCGGAGGGTGAACGAATCAACGAGCATACGGAGATTCGGGATCGCCTTCGGGTTCTCACTCTTAAATGGTGCGATGATGTAGGCAGCAAACTGAGATTTCTCTACGTACGGGTGGAGCTTTAAAAACCTTGTGACAGATGCTAGGTCTTCAAGTCTGTTCTGGATCGGTGTTCCGGTCACTGACCAACGGCGCAGGGAAGCTAACGAAAATATAGCCTGGGATTGGGCCGTGCTTTGTTCTCTGATAGCGTGTGCTTCATCGAGAACGATACGGAACAGGTTCATGCGGGTGAGTGGGCTGGTTCCTCGCTTCGAACTTTTGCCAGAGAGCTCACTGAGTATTGTGCTGTAGGTAGTGATGATGAGGTCGTACTTAGATAATTCAACCACGTCCTCTGTTCTCGTGGGGCCGTGAAAGACATAATATGAAAGAGCATCCTCCTCCAAATGTTCCTCGATCTGGCCAACCCAGTTCGCTACTGCGCTCAAGGGGCAAACCAAAAGGGTGCTTTTCACATTCCGTGCTCCAGGATTGTTCAACAATCTCTTGTCAACTTTCTGCAGCACCCACTCCAATGACTCGAGATGTGTGGATATGACAAGCGATAGGATACTCAACGTCTTCCCCAGACCCATCATATCGGCCAATAACCCTCCATAAACCTGGGGGGGTTCTTCGGGAAAAGTAACACCACTGACAATATCGCGATAGCATTTTTGACCGTTTGGCTGGTAATGGACTCTCCATAACGAATTGTTTTCCTCCTCCTTCTCACCAAACTTTCGGGGTTTTTCTTTATCTAGCATATACCACAGTGCTTGTTTCTGATGTGAAAGTAGTGGAGTCTTTATCGACGGAGGTGGCTCCATTTCCGGGATATTTTCCGCGCTGGTCAACTGATCGAACATCTTCGTGACGGCGCTGTTAATTTCTTCAGCTGTCCGTGTTTCCGATTGAACCGCAAGTCGATTTGTAGTACTCGCCACTTGAACAAGACGCCTCTCTGCATGGGGGTTGTAGGTCGAAATGCCCGCCTCAACCGAATTGGGTGTCCCTAGCCAAACATTCTTCTGGCCAAGATGCCTCCCAATTCCGTCAGCCATCTTCCTAGGCCCATAGAGGTTTATAGCCACGCGATATACCTCCGAACAAGGTTGCCCTGGCCATTCATTTTCCTTCTTCTTGCGGACATCGAGGCGAGCTTGAGTTCGTATTTTGATGACTGTCGAGTCAAGAAGTGGAACTAAAGCAGCGGCAACACGATGGTCAATGATCCCAAATACATTTTGCAAAGGATCAGCAACATCAATCCTAGTATCTGGGCCGCGAGTGCGTAGAAGTTGACATCGAATGGAGGGCCAATCGGACGAGGTCGCTCCAAAAGCGGACTTGACTGGACGAGGGACTTGGTGAGCGTAGACCATCGCGCCTTCAATTCTACCGTAGCAAACTTCTTCCATTCCCAAATCTCTATTACCAAGGAAAACTACATCATCCTCATTCTGATCATCATCTGGGAGACCTGTTAGCGGACACATATAGTCCATCGCGGAATGCGCTGGAGCTAGTTACCTATTGTAAGATCTATCGTGGCCACTTCAGAAAGCGATGGTGTGCTAGTTTCGGAACGTTCCTTCATGTATTCCGCTAGACCCCGTCCAGGGCTGGAGGGGAACCTCTGATCCGAACTACTACCAGCATTTTGGTTCATGTGGCGCTTTATCCGTTTCTGCGGGTGAACTCCACGCTCTTCAACTCCATACATATTTTCAATCATATTTCGATGACGGCCAAACCGAGTCGTTTCATATCCATGTGTCGAAGCCATCTTTTCGCTTTGAGAATCGCTCACGTTGCCATCTGACGAAGGATAGCTGTTGTTATTCCTGCTGAGCTGCGGAGGGGTTGGCGTTTGAGATACTGGTGCACTGGCGCTTGTGCGTGGCTTGAGCGCTTTCAAGCTTCGAGGACTCAATAACATGCTAGGATCGAAGGAGGTTCCCGAGGGCGCCCCTGGGGTCCTGGGAGTACTAGAGCTTGAACCTGATGGTCCAGGAAGGTAAAATGAGGATGGAACAGATACGGGATGATTGGAGAGTCAAGGGGATGTTATATGCTGTGAAGAAAATACAATAAAATGAAGGTGCTTATTATAGTTTGCTGGGGGATAGAAGGTTGTCGAGTGGAGTTTTTCAGTTTAAAGCAAACATCAAAACATACCTGTCGCCGCCTGCCTTTTAAAGGCTTTGGGGTCCAGCAAAACTGCCGCAGACGAATTCATGGTGGCTCAAAGGGGTGTGTTTCCTTTTGATATCGTGTCTTAAGAGAAATTACAAGGTCCAGAATGATTTCGCAAGGACATGAAATCTATCAGTTTAAAAAAATCAAAAAGGAAAAGGGGAAAAAAATCTTTTAGGATATTAGTTGTAACCCATTCATATCGGGGACGCATCCGCAGGTGATAGCAAGGAAATAAGAAGGGTATGAAAGCTGGGTGAAGGGGGGTTAGACTCAAGATGAGTTCGAGGCTCCGCTGAGGTGAGAAGCATTAGTTAGACTGCAAGTTGTTATGAGGTAATCGCACGCGTAGTGTGTCGTGTACCGCTTCAATCTTGCCAGCGGTGCTGTGTACGAAGTGTGTCTGCCAGTCCATTCACTGCTCAGCCCGGCCAGCACACCATGCGAAGATGCAGGAGGCGATTGAGGGAGTTGGACTGAGAGCAGCGGAATGACGCATCGAGGAAGGAGTCGAGACGGCGCGAGCCGATAAGATAAGCTGGCTGGCATGTGACTCGACTAGATAGGCTTAGCTCGTCAAAGTTTATCTTCGGAGAGCAAATCGGGAAGTAACATCTAAATATAATTCGATGACATTTGGGACATCCACCCGGAAAATTCCACAGAATCCCAGGCATCGGCGCTGTGGTGGTACTGTACAAAGGAAACTTTATATTAATGGCCGCCTAAGAATGGCAGTCTACCCTGTAATCAAGGGAATGAGAAAAGCAAACGGAAAGGGTAAAAGAAACATGTCAACAACGCTAAATTTAACTCCACATGCTTATGCTCATGCCATGGCCCCAATTATATAGTTATCCTTGACCTGGATGACAAAACATCAAACGGGAAATGAGAAGTAAAGCAGGTAATATCATGGGAGAAGAAAACCCAGCCCTGGAGAGGGGGGTGCCGAACCAGATACGTAAAATACAAACGATCCTTAATCATCAAGCAAATAAAGAGATACAGAGATAAATCGAAGCAAGGATGGAGTGATTAGTTGATTTTGTCCCGCTCAGCACCAGGTGAAAACGGGGTTTTTGCTCTTGACAGCCTCGAGTCTCTCGACAATCACCTTGCGCTCATTGCCTTCCATCTCCTCCGCTGCTGCGTAACCAAGATCGCCTTCAAGGTCATCGCCTCCGAACATAAACGAAACGCTGCCCCGCCGGTGAGCAACGGACGCGGCGTTCTTTCTGTGTGCCGCCTGTTTCGAATCAGTAGCTAACTTGGGCCGCGATCGGCTCGATGCAGTAGCGGGTGCTGGCACAGTGGCCCAGCTCGCTGCAAGGTCCCTGTCTTCGTCTTCTCCGATCCCGTCGAAGTTGGCGTAGCTGAGATCACCGAGCGAAGTCGGGCTGCCTGAAACTTCACTTCTGCCACCGGTGCCTGTGGGGAATCTGCCATCGCGAGACAACGCGAATCTATTAGGGTTTGGTAGTTCGTGTGGTGGTGAGCCTAGGTTTAGGAGATCGCGATGAGCGCCGGAGTCTGAGGATATGGCCGTGCTGATATCCATTTCCTCCTGCTCACGATCTAGCGCGCGTCGTTTGTGCATTTCGGTAGAGGGCACGCGGAGTGGGATGGCAACGGGGATGTCGACTAGGTCATCCCAGACGCATACTCGCGTTCTGCGTGTAAGCTCCAGAGGTCCATGGTCTGGTTGTTTAAGTGTCTCAACCACATTCCAAGCTTGGCCCTTCATAACTGCTATTTGTCGCGCAAACATGCTCTCTTGAAAATCGGAATCTTGACTGAAGACCCGCCGTAGAGAAGTTTGTGTTCCGCTCCACCAAGCGGTAGAAGTAAGGAGGGGTAAGAAATGATCTCGTGTTTTCCGCGAGAAAGGCTGACCGATGAGAGACACAGGAAGGAAAAGCCAACCAAAGGGGAAACTCCGCCACTGTTTTATAACATTAAATCATTAGAAACATGCGATTAAAACTGGGACAAATCACTGGCAGAATTAAAACTTACAGCATCGGGATGCTTCCAGGGCCACGATAAACTATTATCGATAGCTCCAATGGATATAGTGGCATGTGGCAGTTCCGGTGCATTTGACGGCGTCCCTGATCGGCTAACAGCAACCATACTTTCCTGGCGCCGATATTGCTGAATGTCTGAGCCTAAACGATCCGAGTTTATAGAAACTGGTTGGGGAGGAGGCGAATGTTCGTCTTCATCTGAATTGGTAGTACCGTTTACCTTGGGTGGCTCAGCGACGATAGAAACATTCTCAGTGTGCCAGTCGATTTTTATCATCCAATTGTCCAATCCACGATCCGTATTCCGCATGATATAGTCCAGGATAACCAGTTTTTCCAGCTCCTCGCGGAAGGCTTGCTTGAGGTTTTCGGTCCAATAGAAACGGTGATGAGGGGATTCTTCTACTGAAGGAGATGGGGAAATTTGGCGCTCTTCGTATTCGTCCTCGTCATCAGACTGGATGCCGGACGGTCGACATGCCTCATTCCACGGACGCCTCTTCTTCCGTGGCACATCTCCCGCAGAGAAACCGGAGTTATTTTGGTCAGGCCAAGGATGCTCACGGAGAAATATATTAGCATCTTTGTAGCCCTTCAGGAAGACTTGAAAGCTTCCAACTTTCGCCGGTAGCTGCTTCCTACCACCCCACGCACTCCGGCGATCCCAAAAGTCGTAGTAAAAAGATTTCGACGATAGATAGACGATATCAGTGTAGGGGACAAGATTGGTTTTCAGGCGGGTATCAAGGACGTAGGCGGCGGCTTCGGAGACGTACGATAAATTAGGAATTAAACAGGCCCGACCAAAAAAACAGGGGAACAAATTTCTGTGTATCCATTTGGTCCACTTGGGATTTCGTGATGCGTAGGGTTCTTCGTCTTTTGGTTTGAAAACACCCACCACCTTTCCCTGGCTGTTTCTTGCAAAATAACTTCCCGAGCTACCCTGCGATATCATCTTCGGGTGTACACCCAGCTCGATCGCAGTTCTGACGCTGTCAACGACCGCTTCGAATTCCTCCTTGGTCATCCGGCCCGTAGTTGCAGGGTCGGATTCGAGGGATTCAGAGGTAACTGGGCGAATCCCATCGGGGGGCTGAAACACTGAATGGTGTATCTCCAGTTTCTCTTCCGCAGCAGTCTTCCCCTTGAACTTGTTAATCTTAAACTTAGAGGCGATTTCTTCCGCCCACCTTTCAAGTCGCATGTTGATGGCTTTGATATCTACACCGGAATTTCTTCGCACACGCCTTCGAGATCCGTTTTGGCGATACCGGTAACCGGTTGGCGAAGACCGTCCTGATGCATGCATCGGAGGGCGGGAATGGATAGGAGCGTATCGAGGAGCCGAAGTGGCCATCCGCGGAGGTACAGCGAACGAGTCCTCATCGTCGGAGGAATCATAAAAGCCATGAGTCCTTTCCTCATCAGCTTGGGCAAGGCGCTCATAGCCGGATGTAGCTGGACGATATTTCTTGGGGGCCATGGCGGAGTGAAAAAAAGGGGGGGGAAATGGCGTTAACTAGGTGAAAGGGGAGGTCAAAGAAGCACTCAGCATGACAGAGCGTAGCTTCATGGATGGCGATGTATGAGGCGGCAACAAGATTACGTATTCAACAAATCAATACGTAGCTTCCATAACCAAATTCACGTAGAAAAAACCAACGAGGGCAAAGCGGTCATGAGCAACCGAGATAATAGGGTGGTCGTTGAGGTTTTTTTTAGTATCCACGGAGGCTCCTATCCATTTTAATTACACGTTTGGTCGTTAGGAAAACATGTGATCTAGACCGCTTATGTAAACCAACTTGTGGTTCAAGAGGCAGGATAAGGCGGTTAGCAGACACCCAGCGTTCATTCGATGAGAATGGGGATGCTCTGTTCATAATGTCGTCCACTCTATCAAAATTTGTTCTCCCGCTGGTCAAAGACATGTTCAGCACCTGTTCTTATCCAGTGAAGTTAATTTTTCTGCAAATACAAATAACTTACAATACACAATATGCTGTACTGAGGTAACATTTTCGATAAGAAATTACTCCTTCGGACATGCCAACACACGATATCAATACCATAGCCACAAATCAAGAAAGAAAACTAGCACCATCATCAAGGACAAAAGGAGAATGTATAGCAACAAACGAAAAAGGAAGGAGGACAGAGGCAAGGGCGAGCACCCATTCATGCAGCCTGGTTTTCTGTCTAGAATATCTACCCATCGCAGAATATTTAGAACCCTCCTCACCAAAGCTGAATGTGATGACAAGGAAGTCGATGTGGCTGTCCTTTTGGCATTTTAAACACTGGTTAGTAACTCTACTTTCCAATTCCTTATAATCTAGGAAGAATAGGATAGCGAGGCTGAAAATCGAAAGAAGATCGGTGCTTACAACATATCTAGTTATAGGAGAGAATAAAACATGGTTACGGCCGGCGAAGATATACAATTGCTACAAGGTGCACAACGGCTAGCTCATCAGTTTTTATCTGTGCAGAATCCTTTGGACAGCACGAAGCTGTGTGTGCATTGATAAGAGAAGAGACCATTGGACATGCAGATGTCTCTTTCATTGCAACAAATTGTGACCTTGCCATTTGTGTATGACACATCATCCAGGTATCCAGTGCCACCAAGGGCATAGCACATTCGATCATGATGCCTCGTTCCAAAAGCGCAAATGACAGTAACATCACGACAAAGTGCAGATGTGGTATTGTGGCTTACCGGGCTATAACTAAGGTCGAACTTTTGTCTGCTATATCTGGAGGCTCTGATGTTGGAGGCTCTGATGTTGGAGGCTCTGATGTTGGGAAGGCAGCTGTTGCAGTGCCCATCCCTCATATGTGCTCTCAACAATGTAAGGAATCCTCTCAATGAAAATTCTAAGCTCTGAAGAGAGTCAAGAGTTCAAGGCGGGAGAAACAAAACGCATGAAGGAGTTCAGGAGAGCGTCAATTTCAAAATCAGCCTCTATGACCAGACTAGAGGTTTTGAAAAAGCAACCATGCGTCTGGCATAGCGTAAACTGTGAAATGTGAATGAGTTTAACTACTATAATAATGGGCAACTACTGATCAGTTACCAGAGTTGATGAGCTTTGACCCGGAATGAAAACAGGCTGTGGCTCACAATGCAAAATATATAATTATCAGCTGTTGATTTTGCACAGATGTGAGCCCAGAGTTATTTATTCGATGGTGACTTGATCTCAATGTTCGCTGGAAACCGCGAGGACGATAACACAATGTGAACACTGACACAATATTCATTTTATATTCCTTGAGAGTCCTGAAATAATATTGGTAGTGTTGTTGACTTCTAGTAACTCATATATCTCAGTTTGATAAGTTACAAACAACCAAAACCCTCCAACGTCGGAGTGATTAAGCGTTAGAAAAGCTAGCTTGCAGTCTTCATCGGACATGGAGGAAGGCTGGAGGAGTGGCGCACTCGTTGTTTATTTTATTTTTTTAGTTTTTATGCCTCCAGTTATTCAATTGAAATACCGTTGGTGTGAACTTGAGAATTCAATGTAAATGCAATCTTATCGCATCTGGACCGGGATAATAGCGTTCTAGCCAACCCCAGATCTACTAACTTGGAACCGCGCCTAACCTTTGCCAACAACTCCTTTATCTTCTTCCCCAGTCTGATCTGCAAAAAATGAAACATACGAGAAACAAAACATACGAGAAACAAAATTTCGCCCATCAATTGCTCGCCCTTATTCTCTCCAGCAACACCAATACTAGATAATCCTTAGTATCTATTTCTTTTGTCTCTCTTTCGGCTGGATTCCATTCTCCTTCTTGTCCATTTTTCTAAAGGTCTCCTCCGCCTTTTCCCCAACTTTTCTCACAACGACTTCCACAGTGGCTCCAGTCACGTTTGGGGCTTCGCCCATTGACCCAGCTCTACATCGAACCTCACCGTCACGGACTCGGGACCTCCCAAATTTCGAGTCTGCATCCGCCTCCTCCCTGCTACCCTCTGCCAGTCATCTATCCCGTCCATCATCACCTTCAACAGAGTCGTCAAGCCCAAATTTGCGTCCACAACACCAATCCAAACGTGACAGGAATCTCAGCTACTCGGCTTCTCTTCCTGGCCTCTCGACGCTAGCATCAGTTGCATCTGCCCCAAGTTCTCATTTACGGTACGTTTTGCTCCTGGCAGCCAACGGGCGTCGGTATTGGGCCGAATCGAGCAGCCTTAGATGCGCCTAAATTAAACCCCATACAGCCCGCAGAGATGTAATTCTCTCCATATGCACTGTGACAGTTACTTGAGAATGGAATTGAAGCAGGGGCTAACAAGTTGGGGTATCTATCCAATTCCAGCGCCTACGAGACGAAGGACAGGGCTAGCAGCAACCAGAATGCCAGCCGGAACATGAGTTATGCAACCTCTTCGCCAGGAGCCACCACCGGGGGTCAAGGGAATACTCCGGTAAGTGCAATCCATGAGATGTTCTCCCAATTCCTGCTACACAATGTGGCTCCGCTTGCCAACGGCCATTTTCCGCGAATTGCCTGTTTAGGCATGGCCCAGATCTGGGCTTGGCAGCCATCTTCCCAATAATTTTTTTTCTATTTCTTATCACAGCCGAATCTTATCAACACCTTGTCAATGCTAGCTCAAATATTGTCCTTCCTTTCCTCCTGCACACCACCCCTCTGGCACGGTCTTGTCTTTATTATTTTTGCCTCAATTGCATCATGGCGACCACTATGGCTGACCAGAAACGCTCTCAATTCCAGCCCGTTTGTCAAAATTGTGGTACTTCCACCACCCCCCTTTGGAGGAGAGACGAATCCGGATCGGTGCTGTGCAATGCCTGTGGACTTTTCCTCAAACTCCACGGTCGACCTCGTCCGATAAGCCTTAAAACTGATGTGATCAAAAGTCGAAATCGCGTCAAAACCTCGGGACAGGGGCCAAAAAGAAAAGTAGGTATTATCTCTACTCTTAACCTAGATTTGTGGTGCAATTCCTTTTCCCTCGGGGTCCTCAATGGCGTTGCTTACTTTCGTCTGTTTATAGACAAATATTGATACCAATGGCCTTGCTGGTTCGAGATCCGAAGCCGGTACTCCCCCATTAGGTTCCCATGGCCACCATCGTGGATCACGAAAAGGTTCCGCAGGGCCCTCGGATCGCTCTAATTCTCCAGTGTCACGAACCAATACCCCTGGGTTTCAACACCATTCAAATATAGCACCTCAGCACATGTTCGATAGTGTTACCCTGTCAGACCACAGTTTCAATCCGTCTACTGCTGTGCTCCCCTCCTTACAACTACATAACCCTTCCATCAGTTCAACATCCTCCGCAAACGATCGCCATTTAGAAGCGCCACAAACCTACGAAGGCCTCCTTGCTGCAAACACTTCTCTGAAAACTCGTATCAACGAGCTCGAGTTGATCAATGAATTGTTTCGAGGAAGGGTTGCTGAATTAGAACAAAGCGACGCGACCGCGAGAAGATCAGAAATGGTTGCTCGAGATTCCGAGTCCCGTCTGAGCCAATTGTTGGAAGAGACTCAAAAACGCGAGGACGGTCTGAAACGGAAAATCGCCGAACTTGAACAGGCATTAATTGACCGAGAATTGCTGCAAGGTCTCACCTCTGAACCTCAAGCGAAAAAAATCCGCCTCACTGATGTCGTCGACTATAGTCCTGATTCAGCCAGCAAATCTCCACAATCTCTTTAACAGAGAAGGATAAAGTCCGTCAGGATCATTGCTCTCAACGCATGATGCGGCTATTTAACACATACCTTTCTTTTCCCAAACAAAATACCTCCCCAGTTCCAAATCCTTTAATCCTGATACCCTTTTACGACTTTCATCGCAAAAAAGATATTTTCCGAGTTTTCATCTTTCGACAATTTAATTTTCATTCTATATACTGTATTATTACGTTTTATTGCTTTTTAATCTATTTTTTTCTGATAGCGATTTTCTTTTACCCTCTCATCTCGCCTCCTTGCCGTGTTGCAAAGAAATAAAAGGAACCCAGCGTTGGCAGGTTCTATTTCTCATGGTGTTGACTTCTTTAGTAGTCGCCAATCATGAATGGGTCACAATCAAACCTCCCCTTCCCAACCCGTAGGGCGAGCTGCCTTGACATGCCCTGTACTTTATTTAGTTTTCTTAGTTTTCTTTTCTTTCCTTTCCCCTTTCATGTTTCTTTCTGCCCCATTTTTCCTTCGTTTCAAATAATCTGCACAATGCACCACCATCGAATCCCGAAGCAAAGCTAAACACACAAACCAGAAAGAATTCAGGGGGAAGAAGGGAGGAAAAAAAACAACCCCCCAAAAGAGTTGGGGTTAAGCAAAACAAGATGCTTGTCCTTTCCCTTCACCCTAAAAATTCGCTTTTCGTCGGCACCAGACGAACGGGATATGATTGGACTATTGGTCTATGTGTGTTTTGTTATATTTGGTCTCTTAGGATAATTATAAGAGAATAATGCGTACTTCGAGAGGAGATGCGCCCTTTTATCTTTTTTCCCCTTCTTTTCCCCCCTTTCTTCTGTTTCCCCTCTTGTTATGTGTTTCTCCTTCCCGTTTCGTTTCCTTATTTGCCTCTGCTATTGTGCTATTAGTATATATTTATCCATCTTTATTTTCCTATTCATATATATTTTTCTTTTTGTTTCAGCTATTTTTAATATTAATACTACTGGGAAAACATGACTTCGATGGATTTCTATATGCTTGTGTTTTTATGTCTTGTTTTGTTTCGGGATTTTTTTTTTTTTTTTTTTTTTCCTTTTCGTGGCCCATTTTCTCACCAATTGTGTGATCCTGTTTTGATTCTTGAAAAGGTTTGGATATATACGTTATACATATGTGTGAGTGGACTATGTTGGAACACATTTTCATTTTTCATTTTCCTCACCCCGGTGGATTTCTCCTTTCTTGTGAAACAAGGATTTTTATCTTCTAAACTAATTTTTAATTATATATCCCTTATACCTCTGATGCATGGCTTCGCTCTCTTATTTTATCTTCATCATCATCGATTTTGTATCTTTCCTAATTTTCATTTGCTGCCGAAATTAACTATTTTTTTAATAATGAGGGGTTGCTTCTATCTTCCTCATCCTTTTGTATTATTAGTTACTTAGATAGTTTAATATCTTGGTATAGGAGGATTTGTTGAACTGGGAGCTTTCTATACAACGAGGCTTCTCTAGAACTATGTTTCCTGAATTTATCCCTCCTCCCCTTTGGCAGTTTCCGTTTCCCAACCACGAAAGTCTGGAATTCTTCTTCTAGCACTCGCCCTCTCCACTAACCATAACAATAATGATGATGATGGTGATAATCTGAAAATCAACAAAATATGAGATCCCACGGTGCTAGGATGACTGAGGAGGTAATACAGATACAGACAGGAAGGACGGATTTGTGTTTTCTCTTTCATATTTTTATTTTGATGTATTTGCATGTATTGGATCTAGTCCTTATGGGGAAAATTAGGTGTTAGTTTTTGTAAATAATTAATTTTTATTTGCAGATTCAGATGGTTTAGATACCGAGATACCTAGATAAATAAGAGCCCCATATCTACCTCCTCCTCCTACATAAATAACCCTTACTCTATGACGACACATCCCGAGCAGTCCTATTCAACATATGTACCGTATCTATACAATGCGACAGGGGAACAGCCGCATAGATTCGGTAGAATGGTAGTGTTATTGTGGTGGAAAGAAATACAAGGTAATCTCGAAAGAACCGCTTGTGTACAGTACGATTATCGGGCTGCCATCTACCTCCTCGACAAAAGAAGGGTGGTGATATGCATCGCAGATTTTCTTGGTCGTTTCAAGATGAGGAGGGAAAAGGAAACGAGGATGTCAAAGGATGTAGGGATTAGGAATGGCGACTAGAAAAACATGGTTATCCGTGCAGTTGGGGTGTAGAAAATTCGATCGAAATTGCTCCGATATTCCAAACTTATTCCCAAGTCGTGACTAATCACTTAATTGTGGGAGGACCGATATATATTGATCGGAATAGTGTCTGTGGCGCTTGTTTCCGCTGTTGGTGAAATTTGAATCGACCACTCGGCAATTTTCCACCAGCAGATCAAGGTGAATGCCACTGATGAGAGGAGATATTGACTGTCTGAGTCGGACTGCTCTGTTCTAGATCCGCCAGGCGCAGAACTCAGGTGCAGTAGATAGTTCACAATCCAAACCACAAGGAGGAAGGCAATGGTATGACTGCAAAAGGTATCTTAGCTAATTTTCTAGTCACAGTAAGGGTTATGCGAGGAGAAAGGAGGGGCGGTCCTTACGCAAAACTCCGCGTTATGTGACGGAAGCGTTTTGCCAACATTCCAGCGAAAATAGCGGTGAACGTGAATGAAAGCCCGAGACCGCTGTGATCATCGTTAGAATCAATGTTGAAAACGCCGAGGCCAGGGATGGGGGAAAGAAATACATACACCCAATGGCCGACTGTGGAAACCAAGGGATCACCACTTGTCATTAAATTGGCAATGTTGAACACCACCATCGAAGTACCAAATGTGCGAGGCTGGCCGAGCCTCTGACCGAGAAGAAGGCAAACGGGGACAGCAAAGGCGGCCAATACAAGTAAAACAATATCATCGGCAGCCAATTTGCATAAGGTTTTATGGTTCCTTTCATCCTGCGCAGCCTGCTCGATCGGGCGAGCCGACGAAAAGGGTAAAAGGATTGAGAAAATAAAGAGGAATGCCAATCTAGGAATTATCCGTAGCTGTGGTGGTGAAATATTAACCGCTCTGACATGGCTGTTGCTCTTGTGAAGCATCCAAACGCCAAGATCATGGCCATTGATTGGTTTTTTTGGGTCAGATACAGATAAGGTTAAAAACGCGCAAAACAGTTCTGGAGTTGTCCAAGAGTGAATTGCTTTGAAGTTGAATGAATTTGGTTCTAGGACCATATTATGTTTTGTCAGGTCTTCACATGTCGAATGGGGTACATCCTCTGAGAACCGCGAACTCTGTTGATTTGAGCAACTGTCTGCTAGGGAACAGATATATTGCCGAAATGGACCATGTCGAGACCTTGGACAACAGAAGAAGTTTAAACAGGAAACGACGTTTCGGGGATAGGCCGCATTGGCTAGAGACTTGGAAGAGAAGTAGATCTGTTGAAATATGTTTGGATGTGCCAGAACAACAAGGTGATGTCGAAACCTAATTGTAACTCTATCCACTTTGCTGTACCAATGCTCAAGAGCATCCGCCCAGACTTCAGGATCACTATTGTCGATATCTTCAATAGTCATCCTATACTTCATTAGATTATGAAGGCATCCAATGCATGTGTCCTCGAAAGTACGGGCAACCCCTATAGGACATTGTAACAAAAGATATGCCGCATATATGGGTGGTGGCAGCATATGATCAATAAAAGCTAGAAGATCCTGACAAGAAAGTCCTAGGAACGAGTGTATTCCGTGTCTCCACATCGGTTTTTGCATTGAATATTTCGAACGCAAGACGTCCAGGATGGACGCCGCAGAAGGGTGTTGTGATGCCCAAGAAAAGTCATGGTGTTCATGAAATATTGTTTTATGAAGGCTGATAAGAGCCTGCCATTGAGTCGGACAAAGACAATTTTGACATGTTTCGATGTACTCTTCATCGACCAGAGCTAAAGTCGCGCAGATATCTCGTGCTTCGTTGACTAATCGTTCTTCTGGGATAGGTCGAACCTTTGGTTAGGAAACAATCGCAATATGGTTAGGATTTAGGAATAGCTCCCACATATTATTACCTTTGACCATAGGTGGCATCATCACCTTAACTCCAAAGAGAGGGCCTTTATAAGTTCTCAAGTAGGTGTGGGAGGAGAAATGAAACGAAGGGACTCGGTTCGGTAGGGAAATTATAACTGAGTCCACTTGCAACTAGAAACAAAAAGGGACATACTTTTATATGTAAGTAGTGTGGGTATGGGTGGGGGTGGAAATAAGAATATAACGGAAAGCAAGGGGTTGGTTGGTCTGGAAGGCGATGAGAACATTATTCTTATATTCGCGCCGTATAGCATAGAATTTGCCGCCGTCGTGGCACTTTGGATATTGGAGGGAATGGCTTGATTCGCCGAAAAACAAGATCAAGCCACGACGGTTGGAGCGGCCAATGTGTTTGAAGCAGAGCCTTGTCCTGTCCGTAGCCTAGCACCTACGAGGTAGTGAACAGCTTCATACCCAGCCGAGAGGGGTTTCATAAGATCTCAGTAGGTCCTACCACCAAGAAGAGGTCGAAATCCCATATCGGACAACAGATATAGGTCGTCCGACATATCCGTAGCGGATTAACCGGTCTGCTCTGGTAGGCTACGTAGAGCGGCGGGTTTCAACACACGTATGTTCTGCCATCGTGTGAGGGGCGTCGGACACGCCATAGCACAAATGGAGGTCGGACTCTCGGTGGCCACCACAATAGGCACCATGACTGCGTTGCAAATATCCAACAGTGTATCGATAAACATGTGATGATGGAATGCTAGGTTTGTTGAATCTGATGGTTAGGACAGTAGGTGTGGGAAGTTGTAGCAATTCTGGACCACCCACCAAGCCTTGATTTGATATCGAGAACTTCATGGTATAAATTTACGACATCGATCGAGGTGGCTCTGTGAATCAAGCAGCCATCGCCCCCAGCTCTCGTCATACCGTGGGGTTATCTGTACTTTGCATCATGCGTGAAGAGTTCCGACGTCGAGCCCACGCACTATTGGGAGTTGGACTGGAGGAGTGAGTTTCTTCTTGATGCTCCGCAATAAAAATTTCCAGATCTTCGGCATGGACACAACCACCCTGCCTAATTCAGGCGGGAATCTCTGTGACGACGGCGGCCCATGATTGGGATTTGGATTTTGATCTGGGGATAAGAAGGAAACGGAGTTAGTCAACGACTTAATTAACTCGTCAGTGAGCGAGTTACGAGTCGGCTATTTAGTAACTAAGGTGAGGCTTGGAGCAGGTGACGTCACGACCAAGCCCGCTTGAAACTGGGGTCGCGATTTCGAGATCGGATGAGAGATATCGCTAACTTATACGATGATATTAACTATAGACTTTCGCTTGTTTGATTCTCTTGGCTCACACATACTTTTTCAGATAAATTCTCACAAGTTTTGTATGTAACTGCGAGAACTGTCGTGAGAGCTACAATTCAACTTGATATTCAGTCATTTATGGCAATATTTGGATATCTCCCAATTCCGGAACGACCGAGATGGCAGCAGAGATTGGCCCATCAAAACCGACAATTATCTTGGACTCTTCCGAGAACTGGAGCCTTTGGTACAAAATAATATTTAGATCTCGCAGTAGAAAACGATATATTGGAGTTCATCGATGATGAAAGCTCTGACCAGATCGACCAACTACCCATCTCCTCCGAGTATCCCAACCGAATATACCCCAGAAGAAATAATTCATGGAAGATAGAACGTACTCAATATAGCGATGAGATGGTCAAATATCAGAAGAAGGTCAATGGTGTCGGCAAGGTCAAGCGAGAGATCCTGAGAACGGTAGCCGCCAGCGAGCTTCGAATAGCAACAACGGGAAGTCGACTTATCGATGCCAGAGTGTTTCTAATTACTCTTAAAAAGATATTATCCCCTAGGACAGCGGATTGCCAGTATGAGATACGGTTAGAATATGAGAACCTTCGCAGAACGCCCAAAAGAAACCTAAAAGAGTGATTAGATGATTGGGACCCTGATTGAGCATGAGCTTAAGCAATCAGGTATAGACGGGAACTTTGATCGATGGAAGGACTTCTTCCATGCTAATAAATCAATCGATCCTGTTCACGTTGCTTTTTGGAAACGTAAGATTGCAAAGGAAGGAAAAGGGAGCTTTGCAGATATGATCAATGAGTTCCGTGGATTGCTAAAACCTGGACCTGTTGTTGTCTAACCTTGCCACATTAAATGGTACAGCATGCAGGACACTCCATTTCACATAAATAACTAAAGGCTATCGTTGTATGTATTCACCAGGAGTATCATGGGGAAAATAATGACAATTTATACTCAGTAGCTTCGTGGCAGTATTCGGAAATCCTATAATTCCAATATCGAGCAACTTTAGACAGAACATTTTTCATAGAATACTGTCTATGTGGTACATAACTGTGCGTCCATTGTGCTAGTTGATGCTTTACAACGCTCTCACACTATCTACATCTCCTCTTTAATCGTTACTAGTATACCAGCTGGGTGGTTTAGGGATGAAAAGTAGGGGGTTAGAACATCCAGAGCAGTTTAAAGAAGGGAGGAGTGAACCGCCTGGGCAATGTATGTAGTCGCAGGATAGATGGTGCCGCATCTCCAACGTTTGCTGTCTACCAGCACTTGAGACTTACTGTTATCATCGTCATGATGAGGTGGGAGTAACTCGTGCAGTGACCGCACTGATCACCATATATTGCAACCAGTGAACTCTGTAATCAATAAGAGTTTAAAATTTCAACCTGTATTCTAAATGTGATCAAACCATCAAGGGATGCTGCCAGTGTATGCTCAATCTCAACGTTTTGTTAATCGGTTGAACCCACCAGATCTAAAAGCAATCACTCTATCGAGGAAGGAATGCCAAAATAAAAGAAGAAGAAGAAGAAGAAGAAGAAGAAGATAATACATATCTATATATCTCCCGCCGGCCCATCTTGATTTTTAAGAAGGGGAACAAGCGGGACAAGCCTCAAAAATCCAATGAACAATATGCCTATCCCGAGAACATGGAAGAAAGAGACCAACTGGCCCTGGGGCGTATAAACAACGATAAAGGAAAAAGTGTGCTCGCGCTGAAACTACCATCTCATGTCGGAGTTACGGTAAGAATAGAATCGTTGAAGTCGGGGGCATATATCGAACGAGTCTGACAGGTTGACTTGCAAAAAAAAAAAAAAAAAGCCCACGGTACCTTCCCCGAAATCATGCGAAGGGTATGTCTGTGTATCTCCAGTATGTGGCCCCGGAATCATGTGTAGAATTAAAGTGAGTCTGTCAAAATTTAGGCATTTCAGTCACGGAATCCTTTCCTGTGCAAGCGATTAAAAACCTTTTTTTCATGCCAAATAGTCCATAGTGTTATTGCGATCCCCGCAATCCCAGCGTAGAATGTAATTATGTAGGAGGTGCGATAGCATTTCAATCCCTCACTACAATCGAGTTCCCCATTTGGCGACTCTACGGAATGGGAGTCGTATATGCGGCCGTACAGGAGGTTGAATATATTTCCCCATATTACTGGGGACATACACATCACCCCCCAGTTTTGAGATATGCCACCAACACCGAAGGTATGGGTGACAAGGGAAGGGAAGACGCCAAACAGGAAGCCGTAGGCGAGTCCAGTCAGTCCCGAGAGGGCAACGAGCAGGTGTGGATCCGAAATCATGAACCCGGCAAGCTGTGCCAAGCAGAAAACAACCGCTGATGTGAATACGCACCAGAATCGCGACATATGGAGGTTTTTTACTAGGATATCGGAGCCAATGCCTAAAAGAAAACAACAATTTTACATTCGCACATGCCTTCTAGTATATGAAATAAAGGATCAGGTGTTGGTAAACATACCGCTCAAAAGGCGTCCCACGCAACTAAGTATCGATAAGACAGATACATACATCATCTGTTGTTTTTGGATGAATTCGGAATCCGCACTATCGTCATAGTGCTTCCACAGCGCTTTCGCCTGAGGTTATCATTGTTGTTAAAAAACCTTCAAATTTGGCGGCGAGAAGGGTGCCTTACGTTGTTCCCAATATTGCTTTGTTACATTAGCTTCAATTCCCGTCCTTTCTGTGATACTAGGATGTTACTCACTTTATTGTCATCAATCCAATACCCGTAAACAACCCTAGAAGTACAAACAGCTGCCAAAACTCCACAGTGGGAATCATCGACCAGCCACGAACATCTGCATATAGTGAGTCACGGCCAGGACTGACGGAGGCGTCTTCATCGCGAAACGAGTCCTCGGAGGTTCTTGGGGAAAGATGTCGACCAATTAAGGAGGACGTTTCAGGCTGATCTAACTTGGGTGCAACAGGTTTCGAACAGCCCGCAGATCCTGATGCAGCGTCTTCAAGGGTTGTGGAATTTGAGGTTTCATGTGGCATACCTATTTCTGTAGAGTCTCTACAACGACTGCCTCGCGAGCCTGGAATGTGCAGCTGGCTTGAACTAGGGTGTAGATTTGTGTCCGAAGGGAGAGGAGTATATGGAGCAGAATGTGGTATGAGTCGGACAAAGATGGAGCACACGAACAGGATAGCCGGCGTGCAAATAGCCAATAACAATAGAAATTGACCCGTGTTATCGGAGAAGGCGAATGCCGAGAGGGTTGAAAAGAAAAAGGCACTCAACCCAAAAGCAGCTAGTGGGAAGGATGTTGATGTACCGCGATGGTCCGGAAAGTTGGATGCAGCTATGCGGACAGTTAGCGATAACGAAATTGGTCAGTCCTTCCTCGACTAATAGTAATACCCGTTTTGATCGCCCCAGAAAACCCACAGCTGCTTCCTACTCCTGTGAGAAGCATGAAGAAACACAGTGCCGGAACTCCGAACGACCCTTTGCCGGAAACATATGCTACCGAAAAGTCAATTATGAACCATGTGTAGTTTCCGAAATTATGACGATAAAAGGAATACCTCGGTGCATTGGAAAATAGCCCGCCCCAAGAGCCACAATCCCCAGCAACATGCCTGGTCTTGGTCCCTTAGAATCGATGAGAAGGCCTACCGGAATTCCGCTGGCATACATTCCCAAATTTCCGGCAGCTCCCTGGAATACGTCAGCAAGGTGAATTTCGTTATTGAGTCAGGTAATACATACAATCAAATTGCTGTCGGTAGATGACAACTTCAACCTCGCGGCAAACTGAGGAGCCCATGCCGAATATACGTACTGCACACATGTCAGACATTCCACCATCATTCAATTTAATGAAATAGTTACTATATAGAATACATACATTGGTTCCACATGCTAAGGCAACACACGTTGCGCCTACTATTGACATCAACCGTTGCATTTGAATGGAGGAAGCCGGCATCGCTGATATCAGGGGCGCAACTGCGCCACTAACGAAAGGTTTTCTGATAATGTATGATCACACATCAAATCCCCACGGAAGTGTATAATACTGGGCCGACAGGAGTGCAGTCCGATACTGGACGTTAGAGAATTGGGTATGTTGACAGAATTTATTAATATGAAACAGAGAGGACTAGTGTAGCACCGGCGAAGAAGCGTGGCAACCTTAGGTAAAATGAGGGAAGTATAATAAGAACAGCGCATGCAAATTTTTAGCCTTTAGAAGGTTTCTGAGATTTTGGACACATTAAAGGATAAAGGGAACCTGGACATCACACTCTGTGCTGGAGAATTTGAGAACAAAAATGATCCATTTAGCATTTCCTCCAGCTACAAATGCATGGGAGATCCTGCGGTGAGATTACATAACCCGGCGTATTGTGCCAGATGACGTTGAAAATTACTGTATTTGGATTAGTGGCGTCAAGCTTTAAGCCCCCCCCAATTCTTACATCATCCAGCACTTTCTCAACCTTCCAAGGCCTCCACTCCAGCTCATCCACCACACCGATCCCAACACAACGCAGATGCACTCCTGATATCGTCTCTTCATTATTATATATTGGCTCACTCAATATGGGCGCGCTTCTGTCGCTGCCTTTGATGGCAGTGCCCAGCGTCGGCACCGTGAGTCTGACCCGTTCCCTTCATCCACGTCCTGATCACTAACACCTTTGCCGCCACTAGTTGATAACATTCTGCGCCTCTTGTTGCGGTGCGGCTACATGCTCAGCGATATGTAGTGCCTGTGGGAAATTCCAGAGCAGGTATATTTCTTTCCCTGCTTTCCCTTCACTGTTTAAACCTGCTAACCACTGAACAGCATGGCCACGAGAATCGCCTACGCCGTCATACTCCTGTTTAATTCAATATTGTCCTGGATAATGTTGACACGATGGGCGCTAAGCAAATTGGAACATCTCACATTTGACTTTTTGCCGATCAGTTGCGAGGGAGAAAAGTGCTATGGTTGGGTTGCGGTTCATCGGATCAACTTCGCTCTCGGGTTATTTCATGTCATTTTGGCCCTTCTCCTGCTCGGGGTCCGTTCTTCTAAGGACGGTAGGGCGGGCCTTCAGAATGGTTTCTGGGGCCCAAAAATCATCGCGTGGCTGCTTTTGGTGGTGATGTCATTTTTTATCCCCGAGGGGTTTTTTTTTGTTTGGGGGAGCTACATATCCTTCATCGGTGCCATTTTGTTCCTACTACTAGGTCTTATCCTGTTGGTCGATTTGGCCCATACCTGGGCTGAAATCTGCCTGCAGAAGATCGAAGAACTCGATTCTCAAATGTGGCGTGTCTTATTGATCGGTTCGACACTGGGCATGTATCTTGCGTCCATCGCCATGACTGTGATCATGTACATCTTCTTCGCCAATTCTGGATGTACCATGAACCAAGCTGCCATCACTGTGAGTTAGAGAGTTTATTTTTATTTTTACCTAACGATTGAACATGGTATACTAATATGAATTCCCAGACCAACCTTATCATCTTCCTAATCATTTCGGTGGTCTCGGTTCAGCCTGCAGTTCAGGCATCCAACCCTCGAGCAGGATTAGCACAAGCTGCAATGGTCACAGTCTATTGCACGTACTTGATGCTGTCTGCGGTGTCAATGGAACCTGACGACCGTCAGTGCAATCCCCTGGTTCGCGCGCGCGGCACCCGAACAGCCTCGATCGTTATTGGTGCTATAGTTACAATGTTGACCATTGCGTATACCACTACCCGCGCTGCTACCCAAGGTATCGCTCTTGGCTCGAACGGAGCTCGTAACAACTACTCACGCCTTGGCCAAGATGAGATGGAGCACGGGCTTGTAACCCAGCAGCCTGGGTTGAGCCGCAGAGAAATGCGTGCTGAAGCTCTCCGCGCCGCTGTTGAGAGTGGGAGCTTACCAGCAAGTGCTTTGGACGAAAGTGATGATGAGTCAGACGATGAGCGATCATATAGAGACGACGAGCGTCACTCCACTCAGTATAACTATTCCCTGTTCCACGTCATCTTTTTCCTAGCCACCACTTGGGTGGCGACCTTGCTCACCCAAAATCTGGACCCCGAGGCAAAGGACAATTTGGCTCCAGTTGGAAGGACATATTGGGCTTCTTGGGTGAAAATTATTAGTGCCCTAGTGTGCTATGCAATTTACCTGTGGACGCTGATTGCTCCCATTTTACTCCCTGATCGATTCGACACCACCTAAACAGCGTGATATACCGTTGATGACACGATCTTTCGTTATTCTTGTTGGCGTTCCTCGCATTGGGGCTTGTTATTTTCAAATTTGGAATAGTATCGCTTATCCTAGCTAGTTTGCGTTCATGAAGCCGTAGATATACCACTCTTTCTCAGCCTTGATCAAATACATTATTTTTACTGGTAGAACTGTTCAGTATTTGCACGCTCGATATCCCGTTGGGAGTTGTAAGTTTCAAGGAAGGCGCTGATGACGTCAGCATGCACTGCGCCCAATTATGTGCCTGAACACCGCGTCTGCGCGAATGAACTTTGCAAACCACCAACATGGGAAGAATATGGCCACCATCAAGGCCATCGAAGCTCGTTCGGTATTTACCCATTATTCAAGGCCCTAGATCGGACTACGCGACGCTAACCGTCGAGTGATAGGTCCACCAAATCCAATCTGGCCAAGTTATAGTCGACCTATGCTCCGTCGTGAAGGAACTGGTGGAGAACAGCCTAGATGCGGGAGCAACATCTCTAGGTATTACGATATAGTTGAAGTTAGCAATTATCACAAATGAATCTTACTGATTGCTTGTGATATTGTATAGATATCCGGTTCAAGAACAACGGGTTAGACTTGATCGAGGTGCAAGATAATGGAAAGGGAATATCCCCAGACGACTACGAGACAGTTGGTATGGACGCACGCGCACAAAGTCCAAAAATCCATTTACTATGATGCTTTGCTAAATAATTCTTATTTTTACAGCTTTGAAGCACTACACCTCTAAGCTGTCGAAATTCGATGATTTATCTTCCCTTCAAACCTTCGGTTTCCGGGGAGAAGCCTTGTCTTCCCTCTGTGCCCTTTCCAACTTCCACATCATTACCGCCCAAGCACACGAAGTCCCTAAAGCGTCGCGGTTAGAATTTGAAATTTCCGGAAAGCTTAAAAGCACACATACAGTAGCAGGCCAAAAGGGAACCACTGCATCCGTCGAAAATCTTTTCAACAGACTTCCCGTACGACGACGGGAGCTCGAGAAGAATATCAAAAGAGAATATGGCAAGGTATTGGGCCTGCTGCATGCCTATGCATGCATCAGTACCGGGGTTCGATTTAACGTCAAAAACCAAATGCCTAAGGGGAAGAGTGTCGTCGTTTTTGCTACCAAATCGAATACCTCGACGAACGAGAATATATCCAATATATATGGAGCTAAAACTCTCCTCGCCTTGACCCCTCTTGACCTCGAATTGGAATTTAAGCCTAGCGGAATGGGAAAACGTTTGATTGGGGCTGGTACTAATGACCCGAATAAAATATTCGTTCAAGGCCATATCTCGAGACCTATTTTTGGGGAGGGAAGGCAGACTCCCGACCGCCAGATGTTTTTCGTCAATTCGCGCCCATGTGGTCTTCCGCAAATCGCAAAGGCATTTAATGAAGTTTATAAATCCTTTAACATCTCGCAGTCTCCATTCATCTTTGCCGACTTTAAAATGGATACGAATTCTTACGATGTTAATGTTTCCCCTGATAAACGTACTATTTTGCTCCATGACGCCGGCGCTCTCATAGAGTCATTGAAGGTATCTTTAACTGAATTATTCGAGCGTCAAGATCAAACGGTCCCACAATCTCAAATTTCTGGAAAGCAGTCCATGTTGCAGCATTCCTCGGGCACAAATATTCCTAAATTTATCTCTAAAAAATCTGTGGAATCAAGCGCGCCTCAACGTTCTGAGGAGATTGTGGAAGCTGATGGAAATAACGAGGAGGACGAGCAAAGAGCGATGAGAGCTTTCGTACAACGTTTTACTGGTCGTAGTACAACCGCATACGACATCCCTGAAATCCCTGAAACCCAAGAGAACGCGGCGGTCGCGGACTCCCCCCAGTCCGCGGAAGAATGTTCAGTTGCGAACGAAGGTGTTCCGCAACCCGTTACTACATCCCAAGGGGTCGAGGAAAATATATCCCCCGAATACCAATCTTGTGAAAATGAAAAGAACAGCTTGGCATCCACTTCCGCCCAACTTTTAGATGAACAATCCGACAATCGAGCTAACTCAGCCTTTACTCTTGCATCCTCCCTTCTGAGACAACAACCGCTTCAGTCGGTACGGAGCAGTCCAGCGCAACATACACCCAATGTGATCCAGAACGCCTTCGACCGAATGCGACCCAGCAGACCACCCCCCGAGCTCGCTACTATTACAGTAGGAAACCGAACGGTCACATCAACGATAGGCAGAGAACAAACCAAGCGGAAATTTGGAGCAACAAGCCTTGGAGGTTCATCCTCTCGTCCTAAGCGCCGAATTCATGTTTCAACTAGCGGAAGTAAACTCGGGCAAGGTCTACGATCATATGCGGCACCAGGCACTCAAATGGATGATGGACTGGAACGCATCAGCAGCAGTGGTGAACAAGGTCACTTAGACGCTGAATCAGAATCCGAGTCCGATGATCATGATGAAGAACTGGATGAAATCCACTCTGGACAGGAAAATGAGCATGAATGTGACAACAGTGGGAAACAAATTAGACGAGACGACATGGAAGTAGGGAAAACAACAGAACTACATGATGAACCCGAAGTATCCGATTCAGATGCAAGTTATGTGGACGAACAGGAGAAAAGGGTTAGAGAAGAAGCGAGAGTTACAGAGCTGATACAAGCAGCGGAAGAAAAGGCGTCCATTCCCTCAGAAGATACTATACGAAGAGTCAACAAGATATCTAAACGATCAGTTGGCGGAGTATCCACAGTCGATCTGGTAGGATCTATTAATGGGTCATTGGCCAGGATCAAGGCTCATGTTAGGTTGCTTCAGGAGGAACTACAGAACATCAAAAACACTAGTTCTACCATCAGCGAGGGAGAGATAACCCAGGAGCCTGGAGAGCCAGGGTCAGCAGAAACACGACTATCTCTCTCTGTCTCAAAGGAGGACTTCGCTAGAATGCGCATCATCGGACAATTCAACCTGGGATTCATCATCGTAACACGACCACGGGGGAACCCAAATGATCCGAGGGCCTTCCCAAGTCACAAAAATGACGAAGTATTTATAATCGACCAACACGCATCGGATGAAAAATACAACTTCGAGCGCCTCCAGGCCGAAACTGTCGTGCAGAATCAACGACTGGTCAAGCCAAAAATCCTAACCCTCACGGCTGTTGAAGAGGAAATCATAATCGACAATCTGCCTACACTGGAAAAGAACGGGTTTGTTGTGGAGGTCGACAGGAGTGGTGACGAGCCCATCGGGCGCCGATGTAAACTCACCAGTCTACCACTCAGTAAGGAAATGGTATTCGACACACAGGATCTTGAGGAGCTAATAGTTCTACTTGGTGAATCCCCGCAAACACAATCTGCATCATCACCATCGTCATCAGATTCCGTCCTTACCCCCACCACATTTGGAAGTAAATATATTCCTCGTCCCAGTAAAGTTCGCAAGATGTTCGCAATGAGAGCCTGTCGGTCTAGCATTATGATTGGGAAGACGCTTACTAACAAACAGATGGACTGTGTTGTGAGACATATGGGGATGATCGATAAGCCGTGGAATTGCCCTCATGGACGTCCGACAATGAGACATCTTATGAGTTTGGGGGAGTGGAGTGCGTGGGATGAATGGGAGGCTGCGACACAGTTAGCATCGGAGGATGGTGGTGACGTGCGTCCAAGCACTGGGATAGCCGTTTGGAAGAGGTTCCTCTCCGACTTGGACGAGGATTAAAACGCGGATTTGTTGTGATTTATTACGGACGTCCTATTTTTATTATCGTCATTTTGGATTTCTTCTATTCTATAAAATAGATTTATTTTGGGGAAAACTAGACAGGTTTTTGGACAAATGATATCCGATCATATTCTTAAGCATTTTTGTAGAATACATGTACTCCGTACCGGGTGCAGTATCTCAAATAACTCAACCATTTCAAGATTTTCCAACAGAAAGGTCATTCGTACCCTCATTATAGCTAGAAAAAATAAAATAAAACAAAAAAGAGCCAAAAACAGGCAAAGCCTCCGTCCTAGACATCCTGACAATAAAAATCACAAATAACGGACGTAAATAGTGATGATTGATACCTGTTCCCTCGTCATCAATAACTCAAAACCATCGCCTCAACTTACTCTCCGGCTTCCGATTCATCTTCCCATTCTTCTCATCCTCCTCCTCCGCAAGCCGCAGCGTTTCCTCCGTGATAAGCAAATCCCGTTCAATGAGTTCTGCCCAATTCTGCAAGTCCCCCACTTCATTTAGGCCCTTTCTACCCATATCAGCCAGTTTCTCCAATTCCTTTGACTGCTTCGCGAGATCTTGGGTCGTTTTCTTCAGTTTCTCCTCCTGCTTCTTGATGGCATTGTCGTTGTCGTGAAGTGCCTGCGCACGCATACGCAGGTCGGCATCCAAGTTTGTTCCGACAGAAGTCAGAGAGGCAGTGAAGGCGGCCTTTGCTTCGGTTGTTTCTTGTGTATGCGCGGTGGCCATGGAGGTGGATGGAGAGGAGTCGTTCATGGCTTTATATATCCAGTTTTTCCTAGTTTTGAATGGAAAGATTTGTGGATTGGTTGGTTCTCCGGTTGTAGGGTTTGATGCACTATATATATATCCTTCGGATATTGCAGAAAGTGTGTGCCCAACGGAACTCCTTGATCAAAAGCGAATTTTGAAGATATCACGTAGTTCTAGGAAGCAAATCCAAAGTCCTCTCGACTGAATTTTCACTCCGGCAGGGTTAAATGCAATAGTAAATAAGCAAGCCAAGTCAGGAATTCTCTACAGCCCGGAGGAGTAAGTGAACAACATGACGAGCATCCAACGACCCCGCCATGCAAATCACGCGCTATGCAGGTGCCTGCCTGCGTCTAAACGCTACATGTCTGCAACTGGGTATGGATAGCCAGCTGGGCCAGTTCTCACATATGGGTTGAGGAAGCGGGAACTTATGCAAGAATGCGTCGTCATTCCAGATCAGGTTGTTGGTGAGTGGAAACGCATTTGTTGGCTTGTAACAAATATTTAGTTGCTTGTTTGTTCTCATCTGCGCTTGACAATTCTGAAATTTGCCAAGTGTTATCGCAACCACTCTTGTCTGTTCTTGAGCTCGAAGGTGGAGAAATTATCGATGTTTCTTAGGAACAAACAACCGGGACATTTTCTTTCAAATATCTCCCAACATGTAATTCTATTATCGCAACTCATCAGTGTATTCTTGGATTGCCATTGCAGAAAACATGCCATTTCTTTATATCTATATCTCTAGCCCTACAACTTCCCCTTGACCTCAACGCCCTGTTCCGGGGGATCAATTGGCGTTACCTCAGCCAGCAAAATACCTTCTGGCACACCTTCCCCATCCCCATCTTCCAGTTCCAAAGCCCATGTAACTCTCCCCGCCTTTGGGCTTCGAACTTCGAGTTCCATTTTCATTTGTTTCACAAATGCGATCACGCTGTTTTCCTGGATGTCATCCCCTTCTTCTACAAGCATCTCAGTCAGTTTTCCGCTCATAGGAAGAGTGATGTGGGAAGAATTGTTTGGGTTTCCTCGTCGATGAGTTGATGATAACGAACTTGACGAGGCCAACGTCCTGGCCAAAGTTACTCGATACGGGGTAGTCCTTGCGGTTTGAGTCGCAGTTGCTGGAGTTGTATACTCAATTTCTGCGCTTAGCGAAGTTGGGAATTCGTTGCGGAAAAGTTTGCTCAGCAGAAGGTGATGAGGAGCTTGGGAGCCGGATCCCTTTGTCGAGTTCAAGGGCGCCAACTCGATGGACCAAGCATCTCCTTTGCGGAAGAGGACACTTGACGATCCAAGAGATGATGCCTGGGAGGCTTAGAAGCTGGGTAAACTGGTAAGCTTGATCTATTCAAGTTGGAGCTTGACAGCTGCTTTCCATGTTGAATGATATCTCCCAAATTCTTTTCCATCCATTGCGTCTCGAATTTGCCATTCTTGGAACTCGATGTTGCCGATAATTCCTTTGAGGACGTCGATGTTGGTCTTAACCTCTGATATTCTTGCATCATTCAGCACTCTGCATGCCTTTCGAACTACGCCGTCCCAACTGGTGGAGGTGACTATTATTTTTGCCATCATGTTATCGAAGTCTGAGCCAATGACTACCGATGACGAACCCGATACATGAGTATCCACTCTGACGCTGTTGCCTCCAGGGACATGGAATTCGGTGATTTTGCCGATACTCAAAGCGAAATCGGCGGTTGGATCCTCAGCACATAATCTCAACTGGATTGAATATGTGGCGGGAGGTTGCTCTGGATTCTCTATGTCGCCCAGCCCCATATCTCGCAGTGACACCCCTTGGGCTAGCAGAAGCTGTGTCTGGACAAGATCCACTGTTGAAATGCATTCCGTGATTGTATGTTCGACCTGAAGACGGGGGTTAATTTCTAGAAAATAGAACTTCGATAGTTTCTCGCTGGCCAAGAACTCGAAGGTTCCCAGCGACAAGTACTTGATCTATGTTCCAAGTCAGGGGTTTGTATCCAATATCATATCTAGGAAGGCAACTTACTTCACTCGCCATCTATAATGCCGACTCGATGACCCTTTTAATCAAAGTTCTGTTCCTCATCATGGCAGGCGCACACTCCACGATCTTCTGAAACCTCCTCTGCACACTACAATCTCTTTCCTAGAGATGCCTGACCTCGCCCGTACCATCCCCAACAACCTGAACCTCAACGTGGTGAAACCCTCCCACTGCAGCCTTTTCCACGAACACCTTTTTGGAAGGGGACTCCCCCGTCGCCCGATCAATAGCAGACTGCAACTCATCAGGTCCCTTGACAAACCGGATTCCCCGCCCGCCTCCACCATCTACAGCTTTTACCATAACAGGATATCCCACCTCAGCTACAAATTGACGTATCAAGCCAATATCGCTTGTGGCGTTTTCATCGCTTTCAAAATCGGCACGCGACATGCCTCCGCCAGCATCTTCGCTTGCAGCTTGTCTCCTGTCCTTGCCAGTACCTCCCAGCCGGGACCGATGACTTTGACCCCGGCTTCCTCCCACATTCGCTGGGCGAATTCTGCACTTTCGCTTAAGAATCCATACCCCGGGTGGATTGTGTCTATGGAGTGTTCCAGCGCTAGCTGCACCAGCAAAGCAATATCCATATAGGATGACGGAGATGGCAAGGCTACGGCATGGTGTGGTGCTCCCAAATCACAATGTGAGCGGTCATCTGCTGTGTAAAGTGCAAAGGTTTCGATGTTGGGTAATTCACGAGCCGCCTGGAGGATGCGAACTGCGATCTCTCCCCTGAAAAGTAGCAAATACAGAGTAATTATGTTAGCTTTCTTGTTACTCATTTTAGCCGCTATTTCTAGTCCCTGAAATCCGCAGGGTTTGCCTACCTATTTGCAACTAATAGTCGCTTTATGGGACGTGCTGGAGGAGGAGGAGACATGATTTTAGAACTTCTTGGGGACTCGGCCAAAGAGATGTATAAATACAATTTTCACTATCATTCAGGAAATGAAAAATAGAAACCCTCCACTTTCCACTTTCACCGACGGAACCAGGTTCCTTTTGTGATAAGTTTGTGGTATGAGCGTTACTGAGAAAAGGATGCTAATCTGTGTCTAATAACAACAAGTAGCACACAACCAACTTCACATAAACAACTCAGGAATAAACGCCATGTCCTTTTCTCTTGAAAGGATTTTTGGAGCAGATCATATTCTTCAGCCCGTCCGCAGGTAGGGTTCGATATTTCCCGGGGGACTCTCTGATGGAGCAAAGGAGGGCCGAGGTTCGGCTCAATGAACAAGCCTGGTACTGTACGATCGCCGGCCAGATTGAACAGATTGAAATACACACAGCAGCCGATGGAATGTTTTTATTGTGTTGTTTTATTATCCACAATAGTTGAGAAAAAATGGCACTACCCCCTCTCAGTATACGCTGTTGTATACCTACTCTACTGTTCCTGGAGGCTCACATGTCGCACAGCTTGACTTTGCCGGGTGGCTGCATCGGCACTGGATATAGCCGGCAGATATCCCTGAGACCAAAGAATCCGGCTATTTAGTTTTTCCCCGTCACTCTCTAACCGATTAACACTCGGTATTATCAGATTCGGATTCCTATTTACTCTACACGCCTTTCCGCAGCACCATTGAGAGAGCGAGGAGTTAGGGAATCGATTTTGGAAGCAGCTATCCAGCCAAAATGACAGACTATCAAACCCTCCAATGGCAGCTCTGGCAGGTCAGATCCCACAAACCCGACAACCCAAGCCACACATCGACTCAATCAGCTCTCTTCACACATCTCAGGAAATAAGCCGAACAGTAAAAGAGCCAAAAAGTCCCCATCCACGCTTCCAGCAGACTACTCTGATGTCCTCAGCCAAATCGCAACCTTACGGTCCCTAGCCGCCACCCCCGACTTACAAAATAGAGGTTATATTCGACAAAAGCAGGCTGGAAAGCTATGGGTCCGCGAGCGCATCGACCAGCTCCTTGACCCGGGAACGTTTCGTGAAGAAGGATCCATCAGTGGCACAGTGAAATGGAAGCAAACCGGCCCGTTGGCAGAGACACCTGTGGCATTTACTCCCACTAACAACCTGCAGGGTCTGGATCAACTGCGGGGCCGGACCATAGTGCTCACGGCCGACAATTTCAGCATCCGCGGAGGACATGCGGATGGCGCTATAGCTGAGAAGACCATGTATATGGAGAAGATGGCCGTTGCGATGAAATTGCCGATTATAAAATTAGTTGGATGGGAGTTCAGGCTGCGGGAGCGTGACGGCGATCAGAAAGTAGGGATGGTCGTATGTGCCGCATGTTAGTACGTTCCGACCTATGGTTGAGCAGCTTAATTCAGGGGTTCCGAATTTGGGAGCGGTGGTTGGACCAGCTGTGAGTTTCTGCTTTTATACTAAAATTCGGGAAACGAATTTCTGATCGATCTGAATGCTAATTTGAGATATCTTTTGTAAGTAGATCGGACTGGGGGCTGCAAGAGTCGTTTCCTGTCACTTTTCGGTCATGGCTGCAGACGTCGGCGCTCTGTTCAACGCCGGCCCAAAGGTCGTTGAAGGCGCCACGTTCGAGGAGGGTCTCGATTTCCAAGACCTGGGCGGTCCGATGATGCATTGCACAAACGGAACAATAGATAACCTCGCCGCAAACGAGGCAGAATGCTTTGAGCAACTGAGAACTGTTCTTGGATACTTGCCCAATTCTGGCAGCGAGGCACCACCTACAGTTCCGTGCAACGACCCAGAAGACAGAGAGGATATTGGGCTTCGAACAATCATACCAAGGAAGCAAACGAGAATGTATAATCCCCGAACCATCATAACATCTGTTGTTGATAGAGGATCTTGGTTCGAGATCGGAGCATTATGGGGGACGACTAGCATCACTGGCTTTGCGAGGCTGGGAGGTCGTCCCATAGGAATTGAATCTTCAAATTGTGAGGTAAAAAGCGGCGCGTTGGATGTAGCCGGAAGCCAGAAATTGACGAGTTTTTTGAAGCTGTGTGACGTGATGAACCTCCCGCTTGTTCAATTCGTCGACGTCCGTAAGTACTCTCCACACTTCCTCCTCAATAAAAACTGACGAGCACCTTACTGATAATCATGAAGCCGGATATGCTATTGGGACTGTAGCTGAAAGGACTGCGACAATGCGCTGGGGTGTAGAGCTTGGCAAAACCTACTTTTCCACAACAATGCCAATTTTCAGTGTCATTACAAGGCGAGTATTTGGCGTTGCTGGTGGTATTATGGTTGGATGTCGAGATCCCGCGATGCAATGTGCCTGGCCTTCCGGGCAATGGGGATCGCTGCCCTTGGACGGCGGAATCGAAGTTGGCCACCGGCATGAACTGCGAGAGGCAGAGAAGGCCGGAAGAAAGGCAGAACGATACAAGGAGCTAGAGGAGGAGTATCTTCGCCTCATGAACCCCGTTAGGACGGCGAATGCGTTTGGGGTAGAAGAGATTATCGACCCCAAAGATACACGTTCGATCTGCTGTGCGTGGATTAAACGTGTATATGACGCCATCATTCCCGAGAGGTTATCAGATCGGACAAATGGGAGGATTCAGCCCAGTTTCTTTTAAGTCTCCTGTCATAGCTAGATAAGTAGTTTTCGTCATTTCAATATAGAAAATAGATCTGTTGTATTATTCAACTTTTCCCACACCCTGTAAAGTTAGATATACATCCGTTCCCCATCCCCACAGGCTCTGCAATGCAATACTACCACCGAAGTATTCTGCATATGCTCTACTTAAGGGTAACCCGTAGCCAAGGCCAGCTATGCTGCTGGTATTGGTTCCGCTTCCGGAGAAAGCATTGAGGGCGTCAATGTTTCCATTATCTCCACTTGGAATATCGTCATCTTTATATGTGGTAAAATTGTAGGACCAGATATTAGAAAGGAGATCGGGGTGTACTCCGCCTCCACGATCACGGATGCGGATCGTGATACCTTGACTTGGGGAGAAAAGGGGAGCAAGCAGCTCATTTCTGTCAGGTAATTCCCCAATGTCCTTGCCAATACGGAAATCCACTTCAGCATCTAATGGCTTCTCACTTCCTGGGGAATGCTCTTGCACATGGTGGTCTGGCACGTCCGGGGCGGCAGCGATAGTGACCTCCACAGGCTCACGTTCGTTGCCCGATTCCACAACTGCCCGAAAGGCATTCTTCAATAGTTCCGTAATGATGTATTCCACATGAACAGGTATATGTGCAAAAGTGGCATCCGGTTCTCCGTCAATCACAAGACGCGGTCGAACGCCATATTTCAGCTCACATATTTCCGCAACAAATTCTTCGCATGTTCGAATCAACTGTGCGGGCCGAAGCGCGGTATCGATTACTCCAATGTAGTTTGGTGGTGTAGTCAATCCCTGTTTCGTACCATCTAATGGTGGTTGTGAAGCCATATGTAATGCCAGATGCTGCTGGGCGATTAATCGGGTACCGATTCGGGCTCGCAAGTGTTCTTCAAGAAATTTGGTGACTTCGGCGGAGTTAATATACTTTCTACATTCCAGAAATCCTCGTGCCAGCACGGGTATAGTATTTGTATGGGTCTGGACAAGATCAGCCATGACATCTGTAAACTGTATCTCCTCCTCCATGGTAGTAATGCGTCGCTGCTGATACGGAAGAAGGGTCGAAAGAGAATGCAGATAATTGTTGTATATTTTAGATATATGCGGATTGGACACGACAATGAACGGAAGATTTCTCAGTGCTTGGATCCGGTATGCTAGACGAGTAGGAAGTAATGAGAGGGTAAAGTTCGCCGATGCGAGGAGAGCCTCTTGTGAGAGGGGCGGGCGTCCATGTCTATGATGATATTGTCAGTTGACCCATCACCACCGCTCCGTGCGTCTGATATATAATATAAACATTACATCTTGGCTTACTTGAGGAGGTCTGTGAGCGTCAACGGACGCCGTGGACTAGACGCGAGCCTCGTCACCTCATCTTTGGCAACGTCAGAAACCGAGGATGGATAGGACCAGCTCTGGGCAGTGAGGGTTGAGAGCCTCCTTGTCCGGGCCTGAGGGAGAACCCAGCCCAATCGCCTTGAAAGACGAACATCTCTAACAAGTGCCATGATGGCTCCCCATGTTCGAATTGGGTTATCGCGCTATCGTAACGTCAAAAGAACATGAGAGAAAGCAGATAAAAAACAGAAATGCTCACTAGGAAGCACAAGAAGTTGATGATTGATAAATGCCTGATTAGTCATCATAAGATGCGACAATTCCCTTAAGCATAAAGGGGCGTACAGTTGAACGTGGTTTATTCAAACATGAACATGGTTAATTTTTCAGGCCGGAATAACCTTCGGCGTGGTTTTGGCCATAAACCATGTCAACCTCCCCATTAAAACTACATGCACTAGCCATATCTCACACACACCTCTCACACATCTTCAAATGTGTTGGGCACAGTAGTTTTATCTTATTTCTCAAAACTCTACCTCTTAACTAATATTATTCACTAATTCTAGCTTATAACTGCTTTTCAGATGTTGAAGAGTCTCAGGTGTTGAAGTAGAAGGACTAAAATGAGATTAGTAATATACATGAGGGTGTGTAAAAGATGTTTAGTGTGTGTACATTTTAGTGAGGGACTGAGGGCTGAGCATGGTTTATTTTTCAGACCCACTTTTAATAAACCACGTCCAACTTTTAATAAACCACGTTCAACTGTAACCCGAGCATAAAGAAAACTTAGAGCACCATGACCGTGTTTCAAATAAAAAGTACTACGGAGTACGATATCTCGCAATCACCTTACCCCGTCGCCCAACGGATTGCCGACTATATCCACCATTGACCCATTCCCGCAACGACGCAAACTCCCTTTCCCTCCTGTGACTTGACTAACGTACTATCATCCATTATAGATCACGCTTAAACTACAAGCAAGCATTGTCAGATTAAGGCATGGCAATTCCCGGCCGTGGATCCGCCTTTTATGGCTTTGCAACCATTTTCGAACATGGTTATATCCAGTCACCGAAGCTGTTCCCGCCAAGCAGATGTTGGGAAATGCCTCCTTGATGATGGCTCAAAAAACCATATAATTACACTTCGCAACATTCTAGTTTGGCGTTCACGAGATACCCCTTTTGCATTCTTTCTATCGTCTTTATGAATCTGTGGCATCGGGAGAGTATGCACCAATGGGCCTGGAGACAGATTATTTTTGATACTAGAACCAGACTCGATAGAATTTGCATAGAATTGAGGATCCGAAGGAGCCTGATCAAATTCGCTAAGCTATCCTCGCGGGTCTCGCTGAAGCACTAGTAAATGTTTTCAATTGGAGATTGGGCTTGGGCACACGATGAGACCATAAACATGCTCTGCGGGAGTCAGATGACCAGTCGTTGGCCCGCCTTGGACTTAAAAAGCCATCTTAGATATATCCCGAGTGATTTTGCTCCAGGAGTTTGTGAACAGCGAGAGAAAACGAACCATTTAGCAGCACGGGAAGAGTATATTCTGTCCAGAAAGTGACAGCCACTTGTTCCATCGTTTCTCTTGTCGGAATAATATCAAAATAATTGAGATCAAGGGTGCGGATGTGCTCCTTGTCAAGTAATTCGCCTTTTCATATCCTTCATATATTTCGGTAACGTCAAAAACATCACTCATATCTAATTTTGCTTTCCGACGCCTGTCACCGGTGTGTATTCTCCTGATATTCTGCTCTAACACCCAATTTGATCGACGCGGCAAGGGCGATGAGGTCTTCACTTGAAAAAGGACAGCATTTTGTCGTACGGCGTGCTGAAACAACTGTTGCCTCGTACTTGCAGCCACGAACAAGGCCAGATCCTCGTTTATCCATTCCTCATCATTAGTCTGGGCCTATCGTAGCAGTGAGGTTTATGGGATATGTGATGGCGAAATAGCAGCCGGCTGCTATTATTCTCATCGGAGCGAAGGAAACATTGAAAGCAACAAATCTCAAGTCTGTCAGAACTGAGTGACCTCAAATGGTGTTCCCCGAATCACCAAATTGAGTGGGCGCGATGTGATTTGTCCCGCTTCACTTGCGATGGAAATTTCGTATTATCGAATTGATATCTGGCTATGTACCAGCGGCAGATGATGGAAAATTTAAAGAAGTCACCGCGGACGGTAACTTCTCATGCTCACAGAGCTTTGTTACAGGATCTTATTTTTAAAAAAAAATGGTTCCTGCAATAATATTATTTAACAATGATAATGACATCCTTTGGACAATGCTCGCGAAAACGCTGCCAAGAACATAACGTTATGTTCAGCACTGGCGGTGATGGGACCTCGTATTCTTCTTGCCTTGAGGCGAGCTATATAAATAATCAAGCGCCAGACCCCAAATCTTAAAGTTTGATTCTCGCAAAGGAAATACTCATTTAAATAAACATACTACCTACATGCGATAACTTCCGTTATTTGAAAGGCTGTGTGTATTAAACCACCTCGCTTCCGTTCGGCGTTTGACTGAGACGGACAAGGAGCTTTTGGAAGCGCGTTATAGAATGGACGATGGCTCCCAAAAGACAACGTCGCAAGCCCAGTGACCCCGCAGTTCCGGACATTTCAGATGACGCTGCAGAGAGGAAACGGGTTTTGAATGTTCTCGCACAGCGTCGTTACAGTAAGCAAAATATCATATTTTCGCCACTATGCCACAGGACATGGTCTAATTCAGCGTATAGGAAAACGAAAGAGGGAATATCTAGCTACACTGGAAGCTAAGTTACACGAGAATGGCCAAGGACGCACACCAACGGCTGTTGATCCTCTTTCAACTGAAAGCATTCCTGAAAACCCGTCAGGATACGACATCCTGCCACTATCAGAAGCAACAGAGGCCCATACGACGGACGAACCTCCCGCGTCACCGGGAACCATATATCGAGTTCAGGAGGCACTCCTGGACTCGCTGGAAGCCATAGATTCTTCCAGTTCTGGATCCAGCTTTTTCGGGCAATCTGAACTTCCGGGTTTTGCTCCAGACTTAATGATGAACAACTCATCATCGCCTTCCTTATCCTCATCCTCGTCAGTAGTAGCCATGTCGTCGCATTCATGCTTCGAAACTCTCTTGTCACTTGCTCCGTCCACTCCTGAACCTGCGGCATTCCCTTATCAATTCCTCCAAACCCCATTTAGTATACAAGACTTCGCGCCAAGCGATCTCTCCGCAACTCTCCAATCCTACCAGACTACAACATTCACCTTCCCAGACGACCACACCATCGAAATACCAACCTTATCCCTTCTCCGCGGCATGCTCGCTGTAGCTGAGCGACTGCGACTCAAGGATGTAATTTTGGAGGTGGACGCTGTCAGTCCATTCTACACAGGCCCAGCGGGACTCAAATCTCCGTCCCCGAGCTCCGCTTCCCCCTCTTCCATTCCCTCCTCGTCATTTCCTCCTGCTCCTCCCTCTTCTTCTCCTTCTGCCAGGGCATCATTAGAAGAGCTACCTGCCCATCTCCAGCCAACCGCGACCCAGCGCTTAATCCCACATCATCCAATTTTCGACCTCTTTCCCTGGCCCACCACCCGCGACAAGCTCATCCAGGTTTTCAGTATGCCAGCTCACCTACGACCAGCTTCCGCATCTCATCCCTTGGCTATGATGAATCTAGTGTATGATATTGAGGACCCTTCTGAGGGGATGCGGGTGAGTGGCCGAGACCCCTTTGAGCTTGATGTGTGGGAAGTCGGGCAGATAGTGTTTGAGCGGTGGTGGTGGGCGTTTGAGACCAGAGTGATTGAGCTGAGTAATCGCTGGAGACGAAGTCGAGGGCAACAATGGTTGGTTCTGGGATCGTGCTCCTGATTGATATTGAAATGTTTTCCTTTGGTGGTTCCGTGTACTATAGGATCTTAGATGAGTCGTTAGAAATGTTATCCGGTGAATCTTGGCCACCTGTAGCATATCCCTCCACCAATTCATTTGAGGATCAATCAACGGTTCTCGTGCGATAGTTCATATTGGAGTCGAAAAAGTACTTCAATATCTTATTAAGATTCTATATGTTGGAGGTCTGAGTGGTTGTATTTGGTTGCTGTCTACCAGGGGTTATATGGGAAGCCTAGGCTCCCACACAATAAACGGCATGGCCTGGATGGTCACTGGGTTTTTCATCTTTCATATTTCATGGCGGCGATCAATTCCAGATCTCAAACGCCTAGGGGAAATTCTATAGTTACGAAGTACCTACTTCATCCGCCCAGGCAGTATTCCCCGAGAAAAACTAAACAAACTCTTAATCTTAATAAAATACAATCGATTTTTTCTCTGGGGAAGTGTGATACTATTTTTGCATGGGATTTCATTGTCGTTTTGTCAAGCCATGGCAATAAAAAAATATATTCACTCTGAGGAGCATATAATATGATTTTTCTCTTGGTGTATTCAACAAGAAACGCCTTAGTGGTCCAGGGGTTAGGATTCTTGCCTTCCATTGAATTCAAGGTTAATTGAAATCAGCAAGAGGCCCGCGTTCGAGTCGCGGCTGAGGCATCAACACATCTCTTTTTTTCACTATTTTCTTTTTTCCCTCTCTCTTTATTTATTTCTTCTTTTTTATTTCGTTCTTTCTTTTTTCCCTTTTCATGTTTGGCAGGATAACTGCGCCCAAGAAAGTCAACTTGAGATCGGAGGAGCTTGCGAACTCGACCATGGACGGGATCGTCCAAGAAAGCTAACAAATATAGATCCACCCTTGTATTCCACATTATAATTATAGACTTCATGTCTCAAGGAGAATGAGAACACGAGTTGGCAGAACACGTTGCTGGCCCTTTGGCTTCCTCTGGCACACCGGGAGATGAGGGAGAGGAGGTCCCTACAATCTCCTACAATACATTACGCTGTTTCGTTTCTCGAGGCAGGGGAAATTGTTTAATTGTTCTGGAAAACCGATGCCTTTGCCTTCGGGAACGTCTTCTTTAAGGCCACCCACCCCTCTCCCCCCTCCCATCACCCCCTAGTACCTGCAAAAAGGTATTTATCTTATCCAACTGGCCGCTCTCTCATTAGAAAAATACAGAAATTACACGCTTTCAATGGGGTTAATCATGATATGGAATTGGGAGATTGATTGCAAACATGATCGAGACGAAAGCGGAGTCAAAGTGGTGATGATGAGGGGTTGAAATGTCAGGCACATGAACATTTCCGTGTACTGCACACTGTATATAAATACTATATACGCCCGACTGTGAGATCTAACGCAAATCCCTTGCCATTCTCCCCGATTTTTATCAGCATAGCACCCAACAACATGGACTGCGCCCTCTTTCGCCGCAAGGCTAGTCTCGCCAGCCTCGAGAACATGCCGCTGGATGTTGCTCGCGGGTATCTCTGGGTTCGGTGTTCTCCGTAAGGGGTCATTGGGGCAGAAATTGGGCGTCAAGGTTTTTCCCGCTGATGCACATTCATCATCCAAAATGCATGTTCCCGACTGGCAGTATACCTCGCAGGAGCTTTGTACGACGGTGAGGCCGGCGGAGAAACGGAGGAGAACAAGAGGGAGGGATCGCATTGAAGAATGGAAAGAGACAGGGAAATCTTACTGGCATGGAAATAAAAACAAAACAGTCATACCTTCCAAGGCCCGGGCTAAGTTGTTGCCGAATGGGTTATGGATAATCACGAGAGATTCAATGTCATGTATATCATCTGGGGTTAACAGGTCCAGAGCCCCAGCAATGGTGAGGCCCCTACAGCATTGGGAAACTGGAGAGATATAGAAGACAGAGACTCGGTCACAGCTAATCACTGATGTGTATCTTATTCTTTGGCTTCCCGATTCCCAACCACCACCACCACCACCACCACACATCAACCCCATCCTTTTGGTTCTTTGTTCGCTAACGGGATTGTGCTTTGGCCTGGCGGATACTGAAAAAGATCACCCCCATGTCAGCTTCAACGCGGTTTAGTTGAAGGAGGGAAGTGATCTTTCATACGCGGCTGGATTGTGAGTGGTCCTTTCTTTCTTTCTTTGGCCTTCTTTATGATGCAATGATGCATATATGTATGTGATGTATGAACTGTATATGTACATGTACCTGATAATCAGATCCGAGGCTGTTTGTGTTCATCGAAATTAAAATAATAATAATAATAATAATAATAATAATAATAATAATAATAATAATAATAATAATAATAATAGTAATAATAATAATAATAATAATAATAATAAATAAATAAATAAATAAAACAAATACCCCAAATGAGGTCTTCGTAAACCAACCACACCCCATGCCCAGCCTGTGCTTAAAGATAAATCAGTAAATGTATATACCCGCATCGTTTTCTTTTTATCGTTTCATGAACAATATGCGCCAGTCACATGGTATGCTGCAGCCAACACAGATTCAACCCCAAGATGCCCGCCTCTCGATGGTTACTTGGCTTTTTGCTGTCTTGCACCCAGAGAGCTCATCCTGCGACTATCCGATGACATTACGCAATCATGCACTTCGCACACGAAGGAGAGAGAGAGAGAGAGTACCGGAGTATCAATCCGCTTAACATGGAATTGAGAGTGTTAGGCCATAAAGGGGAGTTCCAAAGGGTTAAGACGCAGACTGCATACGGCATAGATAAAGGATTGCAAGTAACCAAATCGAGATGACGGTGGGGTTTGGCGAGATGAAAATGGGCAATAGAAAAAAAAAGATTAGTGGACGAAACACCCCTCATCCATTTGCTTCGATCGCTATATACTAGCTACTAGTATACAGTAGTATACAGTTTCCCTGCATGGGCTCTTTATCTTTATTTTTTTATTTATTTATTTATATTTTTTTTCCTGCCCAAGGAGACACTATCGGAAATAAAAGGAATATATCACCGAGCCATCCAATCAATCAATCAATCAATCAGAACCAGTCAGCTTATCCACCCACCACCTAATGACGTATCGGTCTCTCTTTTCAGATTCCGTGCAGTACAGTACATGTACATGCATGCAACGTGCACGGGGTTCAGCACATCAGTCCCGTTATAGTTTGGTAAGGACGAGAACGGACGCACGCAGGCACGCAGCTACTGGTGGACGCCCTGCATACCTGCATACCTGCATACCTAACATCCTTCCCCTCGTCTCATTATCTGCAGATGATTCTCGGCCAAGAAGTGTTACTAGGGGCTGAACGCCGCTAGATAAACATGAACACCGCCGCCGGAAAGCAGAGGGTGGTGGTGGGCAGCGGAGCGAGGATGAAGATGATGGTGGTGATGGCGATGAAGATGGTGACGGTGGTGGCATGAACTAGGCATCACTGATCAATGAGGGATCCTTGCTGAATAGCGTTAGTAGTAACTAATATTAATTTTCTGAATATATATATATATATATATATATATTCTAGTCTTTCTTTTGTTCTCCCCGAGGAGAAAAAAAAGGGGGGAAATAAACCAATCCGATTTCCGAAGGTTGATATTCCGCCGTCTCATCGGTGTCTCTGCGGGGTACGACAGCGAGTTAGCACCTATGACGCCATTCCACGAGGAGCGAGATAAGAAGCAAGCGGGCTTAAACTAGCGTCGAGAGTGGTTGGTTTGCAAGAAGGCGATGGAAGTTTCCCCCTCCATGCACACGATGGTGAAACAAGGTATAACGAATTAATAGCTAAAGGGAGATAGATGGCCGGATATAAGGTCATTTATTTATTTACTTATTTATTTATTATTTGTTTCCATATTTTTCTATCTTTTTTCATGAGATTGGTAAAGATACGCAAGAGGGGTAGTTAAGTGGGGTACGAATACGATATCTCATCAGATAAACTCACAAAAAATTACTTTTTGACAACAACAGCCGTTGGATGATAACGACAGAAGCCCTATGTAGTCAGGTGCAAAAATAAATAAATAAAAATAAAGACGAGACACGGCTGACAAGATAATAGATGATAAGTAGTAGTCAATGAGATCAAATCGTCGCAAAGGATAATTTTATCAGTAGTTAACCATAAAACAATGCAAGAAGGTGAAGGCGAAGAGGAAACCCGCTTCTCATGAAAAAGTAATAACAAAATAACCATAACTTATATTCAGAAAAAATAGCGGGCAAGACGGTAGTAATTTTTTTTCCTTCTTCTTTTCTTCTTTTCTGTCTTCCATTGCAATTCATATAATCTCTCATACCCACAAACTATAAACCAATCTTCCACATCCCCTAAATGCAACTCTCTCTCTCTCTCTCTCACTTCCATCTTCCTTCCTGGTTTTTTTCTTTCATTCTTTTTTTTCTTCCTTTCCTGGCTCCTTGGTCATTTAATCCAAAACTCGTATCCAAAAATCGCCCTCCCTTTCATACCGAGTCCACCCCCTCAATACCCAACCCACAAGATGATGCCGAGGAGATCATATAAAGATTTTGCGTTTTGTCTTTTCTTTTTTTCCTGTTCTCCCACGCAGCTAAGTAAACTACGAAGAGTGACACCCGGTCATTGTCTCCACGTTCAATTCCGAGGTTGCCACTTTGGGCAAGCAGGCAGACAGAAGAGAAAGTGGGGGGAAGGCGCTGCCTATTGCGTGCGGACATCGCCATCTTGTTCGACATGGAGGTGCTCTGTGGTCTCGAGGACCTGGATGTGATCATCTGGGTATTCAACGCTGAAAATGTGTGAGGAGAGTCGTTTATTTTTGTTGGTCAGCTGGCTTGTTCCAGTTTGGGACTTGGATCATGTATACGTGTCTGTATGGACGTATGTATATAGACGTAGGGAGGTAGGTAGGTAGGTAGGTAGGCAGGAGTAGGTAGGTATGTATTATGTATGTGTGGAGAATGGCAGATATGAATCTATGGGAAGATAATGAAAAAAGGGACATACGTGAATCCTTTGATCAAGGTGTACTCGTGCTTAATGGTCCCGCCGGATTTTCTGGCTTCTTCCTTGGCCCTGGTGTTTTGTTGTGAGCAGCTTCTTGGGAGGTAATAATTTTTAAGGCATGCGCTAAAGATAGAGAAGGGGTTGCGAGGGGTAAGAGTCTATGCGACGGGGGATGGTGGGATAGGCAGGTGGATGACAGGTGATGGCATACTTTTCCAGCTCCTCTGGCGGAGCATCCTTCTTGAGAGTAACCTGTCGCACGCAAGGGGGCAAGGGTCAGCATTTTCTATGAGTTTCCATTGAGGTGTTGGTGAGAAGGGAGTTTAGGGATGACCGACGTTGAAGAGCATGGTCGTTGCGAGTGGAGTAGTCTTGGTGGGTTATCAATCAGTATTAACGGTTGGTGGCAGCTTGTGGTAGAGGTGGCTTTGGGATACGACTTTGCGTTGAAGGAGGGATGGGGAAAAGAGAAAAGAAGAAAAAAAATAAAGTAAAAAGAAAGCAAGGGTAAAGGAAGGGTGAGGGATAGGCGACTTAAATAGACCGACAGACAGGCTCCGGGAGTTGGAGGTTCGATATAGATGGGGCAGGTCAGATAAGGTGTGGGGTCGAAGCTTAAGAACAAGGGCGGTTGATATTGGGCGGGAGTTGGCTGAATGACCGCATGTCTACGTGAAGTTTAATTAACTCAGTCCGGACAGACAAACAAATATCGGTTATATCCATAACCCAGAGCCCAGATATAGATAGAGGCCGACAATGTATAAACTACTACCAGGTAATTACTCCCGTGAAGTACACCTCCCCACTTGAATCTGCTTGGTCTCCACGGTCGCCTGACAGTACGGCATTATTTTTTTTCTCTTCAATGGCATACTAGAACAGATTGATATTGCATTAGTGCGGCATTTTTGGGGGGATGGCTTGGGGATTCCCCCTGAGTTGTGCAAGACAAGCCTACACTGCATCTATCCGTTCAAGTCTCTACCATCGCAGCAATAACTTGGCATCAGTCCGAGGATATTGGGCGAGCTGACCCGGAGGCAAACGGAAAGAGAGGAAATATATTGAATAGCAAGGTCCTTAAGGTGGTTGCGATTTATTTACCCCGTATTTCTGATGTGTATAGTGTGCTTTTTAATAAGAGGACATAACCTTTAGATATTGATATAGACCTGATACATTCAAAGTGCTATCCAAAAATTTTATTACTGTTGTAGATGGCAGCACTGGGAGATTGTGGGAAGCTGTCATATAGATTTCTGCTGAATGAGTCCAAGTACGTTCAAATTTAACGGATGTTGGTAATTCATAACTACAGATATACCTTTCTCTGAACATTCTCAGAGGTTTCAAATTCACTTCTATTCTCACTCTTGATAAATTATGTGGTAACTTGCCCCACTTCTCATATATAGTACTAGTATCCTGGCACTTATATGAGTAGTTAGGATGGAAATTCCCATATTCCTCCCCTCTCCTGCGATGCATTTTACGGAGTTGAGACAGACGCACGACTACACTACCATTTACTCCACGTTGTCCAGCAATACTAATACTAGTAACTAACTACTAGCACAACTGAGTTGAAACATCACATGGCCAGGCCATATAATTGGAAAGGCGGGCCAAATCTCCAGCTGTGGCCGGCTATGGCAGTCTCTATTGCTTTCCCCTCTTCTCTTCAATTCGATAGCGAATATCAGCAGACATGTCTAGAAACATCCCATCTAAGGGATTCGCGACTGTTTCACCTCATCCTGCCTCTGAAGCAAGTATGCAACATTGAAGCCCCTGGCGCGCTCCGCGAGGCTCTGAATGCCAGCGCAAACAAGTTTGCCTTTACCATCGGTGGCAAAATCGACTGTATCAGTCTAGGTGGTTTGGCCTCCGCAATTCAATGGAACTCGCGCAATGGGAGTGGCAATACTGGTAGGATGATGTTTTTTGCCTATCAGTGAAGACATGGGCATTGCACCATTCGATCTACCAGCTTGTTGATGAATGTATACGGGCCACATTTGGCCAAAGGGGGAGCTAGGATGTCCTCGAAGAAGACTACCACAGGCATTGACAACTGAGGGCTTTTGGTGCCAATTTTGCCCCTATGACAAAGGCCAAACCAACTTGCTACCATGCGACTTCTGCGCTACGAACTCAATACACAGTAGTGCTTTTTGATCTCTGCTGCTTCTTCTCCCCCTCCTCAAAACTTGAGGGAAGACATGAACGACACTCACTGGGCAGCTCCCGCATCGCCACCTTGCGCTTTGTTTTCGAAACTCTCATTGATTATGCGTTCAGGTGGGCACTGTAAGGATGAATCTCATGAATACGTCCCCCACAGTCTCAAGGGCATCGCAGGCTGTGGCCACCCCACACGCCCCTTTGCATAACCATGGGAGAGCATGGCTGACGAGTCTATATCAAGTGGAAAGGGTTAGGATCTAGCACATACGACCATAGGGAGTGGAAAACAGGGCTTCCCGTCCGCTCAGCCATACTTAAGCCGCTCGCCGGCCGGTTAGTAGTTGGGTGGGTGACCACCAGCGAATCCCGGCTGTTGTATGTTTTTGCTCCATTCGACATGGATTCAACATGAATGTTTTTTTTTCTCTTCCTTTCCTGCATAAGCGGGCACATGAGTTATCACAAAAAAGAAAGGGGAAAAAAAAAAATTAAAAATTAAAAAGGCCACAAAAAAAGGCTCCAACCTAATGATGGAATTAGATTTTTATGAGTTCCCCCCTGAACCAAAAGGATCGGTCCTTAAGGGTGGGGTACCCATATATATAAGCTTCTCGCATGTTGATCCGTTCGTGTTTAAAAATCCCTGAATGCTGGCAGTTTCCTGGAGCCAAGCTCTTTTCCCCAAAGAAAATCTGCAGCTGTACAGTTTGACACTATTCATTCTTTTGTGTCGCCGATACCTCCTACTACTCTGGAAGCTTCCATAGAGACCAGAACCAGATGGCAAGTGCCCGACTTCTAGAACTGGAGCAGCAGGTAGCATTTTCTTCCATATTGCCTGTTGGGATCTATAAGAATATGGCGGATGGATGGTTTCAAAGAAACCAAATATTTTTCGTTGTTCTTTAGGTTGTTAATTTGCTCGACATCTTTCCACGGAACTAGCCGCCATCTGGCTCAAGCGGATGACAAAAACCGAAATACAGCGATATAAAGAATGGACTGTCCCCTCGGCAGGCCTAGGAATTAACCCGAACTATTTCCCTCCACACCCATCATCTAGCAGCGGCCTTGCGTGTAAGACGGGTCGTGGGCTCCACTACCACTATATCTGATGTTGGACCCCATATACCTATAGGTACACAATGCGTGGCCTACATACTCCCTGCTATCCTGAGCAGGGGCTGGGCCAAACTTAATAACCTAGCCAGATCTGCGGGATGTTGGGAGGATGTACAGTAGTTAGCTGTGGCGGTTTGAAGCTATATTCTTAACGACGGTTTGTCTCCAAGGGCCTTGGAATGTTTGTGAGAATAAATTGAACAAATAGATACTGCAACAACTCCATCGGCCGGTTTTGGTTCGGATAATCAAGCTGCTCAAGGTTTTCCAAAGGGCTGTATCTGGTCTGTATTGTGCTTTTTGATGTAGACTATTGTGCACTGTATATTAACATAGGTTTTGTCCGCCGGAGTCCCTCAGTACCCCTAAGCTAAAGGTCTTCATCATGGTCATCGAAAGGAAAATGATCGCGCACAGGTATTCTTTCAATTTCAGTGCTTGAGTGCTCCAGCAATCTGGACTTGATTGACTATACAATAGCCTGAACTTCATCATTTCTGTTCTCCACTTCAACTAGTTTGTGAGGAATAGCAATACAAGCCACAGGAACCATACATCATATTACATGAATAACATATCTTGCTGCATCCTGTCTAGTGGTGCACTGCCTGAAGGTTTGAAGGAAGTAAAAAACTTTACAAACATAGCTACTTGGCGGACAAATTGACTATCTTAGTAAGACGCTTCTTTCAACCAATCACAATATAGCCCGCTCGGATAAACTCAATCATTTTTTTGTCCAAAAACCGAATTTTTAGAAATCGCAAACAGCTCGGTTTTCAAGCCCTTCGTTTATCTTGAAAGAGCAAGGCGGGAGCTTGCTCTTGCTTTTTCTTTTTCAAGATGGAGGACCAGACAAACAGACCACATCGGAAATCGAAGGAGAAGAAGAAGAAAAATAGGGATCAAGCTGGTAAGGTTTTTTCACCCCCCCGTGATATTTTGACGTTTGCTTGCGACTTTTGCGGAGCTTTGATCTAACCTTTTATTTTGTCGAACAGGTGCAAATCCCAAGGCATTTGCTGTAGCGCATGCCGGTCGTCTGCAAAAGCAAGCCGCCAGGTCTCATGATGTTCGTTTTCCCGAATTCTTTCCTGGTACATGCTGGTGCTTCTTTCCAACTAACAGCACCGTCGTCAACATAGATCAAAGAAAAGAGACTTCATGTCCCTCTTGTGGATCGCTTGCCCGAAGAGGCGCCTCCGATTGTTGTTACGGTGGTTGGGCCTCCGGGGGTATGTACCTGTGGCTCTTGAAATGGACTGGATTTCGCTTGCGATTAGGATGCTAATGTCCCAACCCCCGATTTCGCTTCTTTCTACATTAGGTTGGCAAAACAACCCTCATCAAATCCCTCATTAAGCGTTACACGAAACAGAGGTTAAGCACTCCCGCTGGGCCTCTCACTGTCGTAACCTCGAAACGAAGACGCTTAACATTTCTCGAATGCCCCTCCGACTCCCTCGCGAGCATGATCGATGTCGCCAAGATCGCGGATATTGTTCTACTTATGATTGATGGCAATTATGGGTTTGAAATGGAGACTATGGAATTTCTCAATGCGCTGTCTTCAAGCGGCATGCCGGGAAACGTCTTCGGGATCCTCACCCATCTCGACCTCTTCAAGAAACAGAGCACTCTACGTCAAGCGAAGAAACGGTTAAAACATCGGTTCTGGAGTGAATTATACCAGGGGGCGAAGTTGTTCTACCTGTCCGGCGTTATCAATGGGAGGTACCCGGATCGAGAGATACACAATCTGTCGCGATTTCTGTCTGTCATGAAAAACCCCCGACCGCTTATATGGAGAAACTCCCATCCTTATTGTTTGGCTGATCGATTCCTGGACATCACACCCCCGACGGCTATTGAAGAGAATCCCAAATGTGATAGGACAGTTGCTCTATACGGATATCTTCGAGGCACAAATTTTCCTGCAATTGGCGCCAGGGTGCATGTGCCTGGTGTTGGGGATCTCAGCGTTTCGTCGATAGAGGCACTCCCTGACCCGTGTCCGACACCTTTCATGGACCAAGCAATGGCAAAGGCAACTGGAAAATCAGGCCGAAGAAGGCTGGGGGAGAAACAAAAACTCTTGTTTGCTCCCATGTCTGATGTTGGCGGCGTCCTCGTTGATAAAGATGCGGTTTACATCGATGTTAAAACATCTACTTTTGACAGGGACGCAGACAGCGATGAAGAGAGGGGCCTGGGAGAGCAACTTGTTGTTGGATTGCAAGGTGAACGAAAGTTACTAGGACAGGCAGAATCGGGGGTCAGGCTGTTCAGGGATGGAGAGGCAGTTGCTCATGTAGGCGATGGTGAAACGGGGGAAGTTGGGCGAAAGCAGAAAAGAAAGGTCCGATTCACAGTCGATCACGAAAATGGGGCAAACGTCCTGGAGGATGAAGACGAAGGCTTTGAGTCAGATGATTCCGCAGAGGGAAGTGAAGACGGAGAAGGAGAGGATGGAGAGGATATGGATGTGATGCCACCGGCGGATTTTGAGACAAATTTTAGAGAGAGACAAAATGGTGCGGCTCAACGTGACGAGGATGACATCGCCTTTGCAGACAGTGATTCTGATCTTGGATCAATATCCTCGGCCGAGGGCCAGGAACTGGAAAGCGAAGGAGATTTCGAGTACGATTCAGACGAGGTTGATGATGGAACCTTACGCTGGAAAGAAAATCTGGCTGCGAATGCCAAGGCGGCTTTTGGAAAAAGAATTCCCTACCGTGTTGCTGACCTCACAAGGATGCTCTATGACGAGTCAATAGCCCCTCGGGATGTTGTAAAACGATGGACTGGGAAGGATGCTGATGAGTCTGGTGAAGGCAATGATGGTGCCAACGAAGAAGACGACTTTTTTAAGAAAACTCGCGTGGAAACAGGGGAAACAGAAGACAGGACTATTCCAGTGTATGACTACAAGCAACTTGAGAAAAAATGGGAAGACGATGACAATATCCAAACTATCCGGCGTCGGTTTGCCCGTGCTAAAGTTTCCAAGGGTGACGGATCAGGTGATGAGGATGGTGGTGAAGACGGCGACAGAGATGGAGATTTTGGCACTGATGGTTCCGATGATGAGGGAGACGGTGCGTTCGAGGACCTGGAAACCGGAGAGGTTGTTGGTGGGGAAGAAGAGGAAGAGAAAGAGAATAGCAAGAGAGTCGAGCCTGAAGATCTTGAAGCGGAGAGAGAAAGAAATGCTAAGAAAAAGGAGGAGCTAAGACTTCGTTTCGAAGAAGAGGATCGCGAAGGTTTTGCGAACGCAAAAGATGGAGGGGAGAGGCAGGATGAGGAGCAGTTTGGCGAAGATGATTGGTATGACGAGCAAAAGGCCAAACTCCAAAAGCAGCTTGATATCAACCGAGCGGAATTTGATGCCCTAGATGCACTCTCCAGAGCCAGAGCTGAAGGATACAAAGCTGGGACGTACGCCAGAATTGTGCTAGAAAACGTGCCGTGCGAGTTCTCGACAAGATTTAACCCTCGTTTCCCAGTTATTGTTGGTGGCCTGGCGCCTACAGAAGATCGATTTGGCTTTGTCCAAGTCAGAATTAAAAGACACCGGTGGCATAAGAAAATCCTCAAGACCAACGACCCTCTCATCTTCTCTCTTGGCTGGCGTCGATTCCAGACCACTCCAGTCTACAGCATCTCCGATTCCCGAACACGTAATCGCATGTTAAAATATACCCCGGAACATATGCATTGTTTTGGCACTTTCTATGGTCCTCTTGTGGCTCCCAACACAGGCTTTTGCTGCGTCCAATCATTTTCGAATAAGAACCCGGGCTTCCGAATAGCGGCTACCGGTGTCGTTCTGAATGTGGACGAGACTACGGAGATTGTCAAGAAACTCAAACTAACCGGATACCCGTACAAGATCTTCCGAAACACAGCCTTCATCAAGGATATGTTTACCTCTGCTCTCGAAATTGCCAAGTTCGAAGGCGCCAGCATCCGTACCGTTTCAGGGATCCGCGGCCAGATAAAGCGCGCTCTGAGCCGTCCGGAGGGGCATTTCCGGGCTACGTTTGAAGATAAAATCCTCATGAGCGACATCGTGTTCTTGCGTGCTTGGTATCCCGTCAAACCACACCGATACTACAACCCCGTCACCAACCTTTTGGATGAAACAGATGAAGATGGTTGGAAAGGCATGCGCTTGACGGGAGAAGTTCGCCGTGAGCAAAACATCCCAACGCCACTTGAGAAGGACTCTGCATACAGGCCGATTGAGCGGGCCACTCGACATTTCAATCCCCTCCGAGTCCCTCGCCAGCTGGCTGCGGACCTTCCCTTCAAGTCTCAAATTACGAAGATGAGACCTCGTCAAGGTCAATCATATCTCCAAAAACGTGCTGTGGTCTTAGGTGGTGAAGAGAAAAAAGCCCGCGATCTGTTGCAGAAACTCACCACCATGCGGAACGAGAAGATAGCGAAGAGACAAGCGGCGCAGGAAGAGCGGAGGAAGGTTTACCGTGCCAAGGTGGCGGAGAATGCCGAGAAAAAACAGGAGAGGGAAAAGAGGGAGCGCGATGAATATTGGCAGCGAGAGGGGAAGAAGCGGAAGAACGATGGCGGAGACGGAGGAAGAGGAGGGAAGAAAAGAAGGTGATGGATTTGAGTATGTGTTGATTTCAGTCTCATCATGAAAATAGTAGTCCTCGTACTTAATATCTGGAGGCGTTTTATATGGTGGCCCTCTACGGCAGCTGCATTATTCAAGTCCTTTTGGCCGGAACATTGGTTTTCTTCATCTTTGCTACAAAATCAACGGTTGAGATACCAGCATTGTTAGGAATTGGTTTAGATATATACCTCTTGTATACATGCAGTTCAGCGTATCATTTCTCCCTGCTCCTTTGTTTCTCCTTTGTTTCTTATATACCTATCTCCTTTTATCCCTCCCATCCAATTATATCACGTGCTGTTCGCGCACATGACCGCGCCGCGACGCGTCTCGATCCGGCAAGTCGAGACCGCATCCCATCGTCGTTTGCATTTTTGCAGCGACACCAGACGATCGGTAGACTTGCCTTTTGAAGAGACGTCGCGGGGCAGAGTGTCAGGCTCATGGAGAGCAAAGCACGATCCACTGTCGACGACGATATCATTGCTGGGACCATGGCCGGACTCACTCGGGTTGTCGCCGTACACGCTACTACGAGGTCAGCCTGCTTACCGACCCATTAACTCTCATTTTCGGAGCCTCCACGACCTGGCTGCCAGAGAGCTACAAAACCGCCAGTTTATCGCATAATCGTGGCTCAAAATAGCCCAAGTAAGGGTTAGAAAGATCGTTGCCGGCCTAAGGCCCTCTAGTTAGGCAGCGGACTGTTTGCTTTTCGCGTGACGTTGCTGTGTGGGAGTGGAGCGAATTTTTCGCTGTTGAACCCCAGCCACGCGACGGCCGATCAGACTGCAGACAACAAACGAGAAACCACCACCTGCAATATCTGCGATAACAACCAGCACCCCCCGCAATATTCCCGGGGCCACCGATTACTTTTGGCCCTTCTCACGCAAGCCGGGTGGGCCATCACCAGCACAGGGAACTACTCCAAGACATGTTCGGAAGCCAAGCCTTGTTCTTGTACTCGGACCAGCCACCTGCGCAACCTCCGGCTTCACCATCGAGACTCGTCAACGGCGGGCCCCTGCCTAACAACAGCGATTGTAATTTTCCGTCGATCGTCCCATCCTGCGGCGACAGGGAAATGGCAGAGCCAGGCCATTCTACTAATTTCAATGCCATCGATAGTAACAATACGTCTTCAGCGCTATCGGCTATGAGCAACGATATCCTTCCTCGCCTTCACACGTCCTCTAGCACTCTCTCTCATTCCTCCTTTGCGGATGTGATTGACACGAATGCCACTCCATCCACACCGTTATCCGGACTCTCAAACCACGACTATCCCCAAATCCCATTCTCCCGCTCTCCAGCGAAAACCCCCATAGCCTCCCATACCCATGCGCATTCGCGGAGCGTAGATATCGGATCACTGCGCTCGTCTGGCCTTCTCAAATATACCGTTGTAAATTCGCCGATTGATGGTCAGCCGGGGGGAAACACGGTGATCGACATTTCTCAAGGACAAAAGAGGACAGCTAGTGGAGAGGTGAAATCAACCGGATCCCCAATATTTATCCGAAGTCCAGAATCAGTCATGGCTACTCGCCGATCTGGGACAATGAGCACCGATTCAAATAGTAGCAGAATTTCGGAGGTAATATCTACTCAACCAGCAGAATACTCCTACCGGCCCGTGTATCCTTTGTGCTAATCGGTGATACTCCAGTTATCCGCCCAACTCCGCGCTCGTTTATCTTACGCGGCAGCGAAAGTCGAAAAAGATTGGCCAATCCGCCAGCTAGAAGAAACACATGCAGTCCCTCCACGATTTGGCTGTTCATCCGCGTCGCAGTCTCCCCTGCCATTAGGGTTCAAAAGCCCATTCCGATCTCCGAAAGGAGCTTCACACTCACGAGGCCGACATAGTATTAGTAGCACTTTACAAGACAATGGATTGCCCAAGCTCCGGAATCCTAATTTCACTCACATGACATCATCTATGTCTCCAACGAACGCATCTGCGCGTCGTAACAAATCCTCTTCACCGAATAGACGTGCTAGCACATATATTCCGCCCCCCGTTGCCTTCGCAAATTCTGATCCACCACGCCTTGCTCCGCCCGCTGATATTGTATCTGGGAACGGCAATGCAACGCGTCGCCGACCAAATCCCAATGACACCCTATTACAAACCGCGTCGGCGAACCAGAACTACCATCCTCGAAATGAGTCGTTTGCAGATGGGGGATATTCCGTTTCATCTACCCAGACGACTACTTCGACTGTGGCCATTCTCGACACATCGCCGGATTCGCAACCCCAATTATCTCGCCAATCCGCGACTCCATCTTCCATCACAGCTTCCACCACCACCACGAGGCCAGTTCCGAAACAAAGAACGCCATCCCAAAATGCGCTTATGGAAAAGGATGCTATTGAAACTTTACTGTTCATGTCAAGCCCTGAAAATTCAGGGTATCATCCAAGCTCCCAGCAAACGCAACAGAATGAGTATCGCGGCATGCATCTTACTCTTCCTTCGCCTTCCTTACCCAGACCCTCATCCCAACAGTCCTCCCCTATCGAGGGTCGTTTGGGTCTGGGGATCCGCCATAACACCCCGAATGCGATCCGTCCCGCTCGCAAGGTCAGTTTTGCCGATGACACGAGCAACAGTTCGAGCGATGCGCATCCAAGAAATGGGCCTAGCGGCCTACGGGAACATGAAGCAGGCGATGCGATTGACCGTATGCTAGACGAACTTGGTGATAGCGATAGTGAATCGGAAAGTGACTGGCTTATGCGCTTTATGAGCCAGTCTGGCGGCGAATCAATGCGGCCGAGTAGTCGTGGTTAAGTTAATGATTTGAGTTACTGTTGGCCCCTTTATATCTCCCTCGGAAAGGCTCCCCGTGTTGTTGGTTTGCCTATTGTGGTTCGTTGGCCTTGGCTTGCACGATTACTTTTGAACCACAGAGCATTGACAGGAGAGGAAGAAAGTGGTTTACTGTCGAACCCGTCTTCGTAATGAACTGGTGTTGTTCTTCGGATCGACCTCTTATTCTGAAACAACAATTCCACCCCTGTCTCCCATTTTAAATTTTTGCTTTTTAACTCCAACCTTATTATTCATTTTTGTTATCCATTTTTGACTTCACGCAGCCAGGAACTTACTTTAGCCACAAAAAAAAAGAAAGGAAAAGAAAAAAAACAAAACAGAAGTAAAGAGAACGACCTCTCCATCTAAGCACTATTTTCTTTTCAGGAACTCGCTTGAATACTCTCATATCACCTTCCATGGGATGTATATATGCGTCGATCATTTTCTTCCAGGCAAACATGAGCACCCGACATGACTGAGATGACCTATGTTTTGATCTTTTTCTCCTCTGTTCTTCAGTTTGAACTGTGATATTTCGCATGCATTGTATGCACACTATACATGTCCATGTGATGATCCCGGTTTACTTGTGCATATTTTATTATATATTTTTGAATTGGAAAAATTACAGGTGAATTGAATACGCATAATATAAGATACATGCATACAGCCATCTTCATATTTCCGGTGACTTTCCCTTAATGATTATTTTTGCAGTTGTATTCATATGCTTTCGTTTGGTTTGAATTTCGACTTGCACGTCACACCAAGCTATCACAAAACCGATCAAATCATTCTACCAGCCAATTCATCCACTTGGATTGAATCGCCATTCATTTGGTTATATATATTGTTTCTGGCGTTGATATCAATAATGCAATGACGGGGTCTGCTCCACTGATAGCTGTCGCACCACCACATATACACCCATCCATCGCATCGCATCCCATTCCACGTCCTCCATTCAACCCTCTCAATGCGCTACATAGCCGCCGTCAACCGCCAACGTCGTCCCCGTCACCCAGGAGGCGTCCTTCGATGCCAAAAACACCGCTGCACCAGTGATATCCTCTGTTCTACCTAACCGCGAATCGAACGGATGCTGGGAGACCAGGTGGGCATGGAATGCCCTTTTGCGCGGGTTGTCGCTGTTCGCGTCAGCGAACGTCTCGCTCAGGCTTGTCTCTACCCATCCTGGGGCGAGGGCGTTTACATGACTATTTTTTTTACTTTTATTAATCTTCAAGTTCCTCGCAGAATTAGGTTTCTTGAGAGGGAAGGTGGATGAGGAAAACCGACATTTTATCGCCCCCATATTCTAAAGCCACAGACTTTGTGATACCAACTACCGCGTGCTTGGATGCTGTGTATGTGCTTGATCCGGGTCCACCAACGTTCCCGTAGATGGAGGCCATGTTGATGATCCAGCCCCTATCACCGCTTGAGTGGGGATTCTGGGCAAGCATCTGCTTCGTGGCGAATTCTTTCATGGGGGGGTGGTTAGCTTACATATGCATATGTACGCACATGCCATGGATTGCATTGGGGTGGACGATGGGATGGGCATATTTGTATATGATACAACTTACTGCATCCAAGCCAAACCCCCTTCCCGTTGAGCCCCATGACTCTATCCCAGGACTCCTCGGGTGTCTCGTGGATACGGTCTCCAGGCCGCTGGTGGCCTGCGGGGGATATCCCAGCGTTGTTGACGATTCTATATTTATTGTATATATTCGATTGTTTCATTTTGTCAAGGTGCTGTTCACCGGCTTTTCTTTTCGTCTTCCCTTTGTTTCACCTTGCCACCAGAGCAAGCAAAATATATATATATAAGGGAGGGTAATGAATGTTGGGGATGCTACAGAAACAGAAGGTTGGGGCTCAATTGGTGAAGGAAGACCTACATATCCAGTCTTCCAAACGCTTCAACACACCCCGCAATCAGGTTTTCTACATCATCAGAAACAGAGGCGTCCGCTTTGACGAATACAGCACGGGTTGTGGTCTTGCCGCCCGGAGTGACAGGATAGGTCTCATTGATAGCTTCGTGGGTGGGTCGGTTGTCATCGCCTGCGTAAAGAGGGGAGTTAAAACAGCGTTTTTGTTGATGGATTATGTTACATGTACAATTCCAATTTTCCATTCAGTCTTTGATTTCGTGCGTCGAGGGTGCATTCGTTGGTTAAAAAATATATAATGCTGATGACAGAGTACCCCCTTTTCCCTCAATAAAAGTAGAAGATGAGCAGGGAAAACTGATATAGCCATCGGAGCCACAAATAAGAAGTGATCCTCGCACCCATGCCGGTGCAGAGAGTAAATAAGAGAGAGGACAAGCCAAAATCAACAAACCTCTAGCCGCAGGATCAATATCTGCGCACACAACATAGGCACCCTCAGCAGCATATCTGAGCGCAATGGCCCTCCCGATCCCATTTGAGCTGCCGGTGATGACAGCAACTTTGTCCTCGAGACGCGCAGACATGGTTGGCGTATTTCTTTTATGCGACTGGCCAGTATGTATTAATTCCCAGATGGGTCCTGCTTGGAGACCGTTGAACAGGGTGAAGGAAGTGCTACTGGGTAAGTACTCCAGTGGAATGCGGATAGTATAAGTAAAGAACTTGGCCCCTTTTGTTATCAAAACCGAGTTGATGATGCTGGGCAGGACAAATGTGTACCCTGGATGGATAAATATACTGGCTGGAAAATGGACAACCATTCTCGTCCACTGCTCCTTAGCTGCAGCACAAGCGCCGAGCGGTCGTATATTGGAGCGGTGGATGTCGGGTCGCCGACGGGGTACTGGATTATATAGTATCCTGGTGTGTGCTGGGATTAAGTTGGGCAATTGAAACCTGCCAAAAACTACAATAAACCCGTGGACTACTCGCTTGTTTGACTACTATGTAGTACCTGTAAGTTGTGTCGGGATATATCCATTATCCATTCCAGCCAGCCAGCTAGACAACCAGCCAGCGTTTTTCGCTTTATGCAGTGGGTGAAAACAAATCCTTTGGCCCGCTTCATACAACAATATAATTTTATTGTTGTCGATCATTACGATCTGTCGCTCACCTGACAGTCTTAAGTAGCTAGTTATGGCTAGCTCCGGTCCTTCTGCTGGAGGGGGCAAGGATAGCGTCCAACTGATGTCTGTATGCTTGCAAACTTTGCCTCCACCACCCGCTCTTGACTGCATATGTTCTGGATGGGACATCATCACTGTGTTTCTCTCCTAGGAAAGAGAACAACCGATACAGCCGAGGAATTGAGAAAGGAGTATGACTATTCATGCAGCCCCTGACGCACCAACAGCATGCGGCGGTGTTCTGCATTGGAAAGACAAAGATTGCTGGAAGAAATCAGAAGGTGAGGCGCCGGAGTGAAATATATTACAGCCAGGGGGAAAGATAGCGATGAAGACAAGACCGAAAATGGAAAATAAATTTTTTAAAAAAGGAAAAAGGAGGAAAAAGGGGAAGCTCACTGCTAGAGATAGTAGCTCTTTTCTCTTCCCCAGGACATCCATGAGTAAAATACAATAGGAGTAACAACGAGGAAGAAGTATCACCTAGAAATGCATTAAAATCAAACGATGAAAAGGTGCCAAATAGTCGCAACAACAACAACAACCACCAAGACGATCCGACCCGTGAATGAAGAGCAAAAAGAGGGGGATAACAAAGGGATTTTCAGCCCATCCATCCGTCCAATTTCATCCACATATATTAAAAATTCCACATTCGACATTTCTTTCACGCCCACGCATCATCCATCTCCGCCACATCATAATCAACCTCATGCTGACCACCCGCATCCTTCCGCAGCATCATTGAATCAGTCTCATGGCTAGTCCCATTATCACCAATATGGACAATCTCGTCTCCTTTCTTTGCTGCATAACCCTGATGCTGGAGCAGCGGCGGCGCAGAGACAGAGTTGTCACGGGTTCCTGACGCAGACGAGGAATTATTTGCAACCCATGAGAACTCTACTTTGCCCACCGATGGGATATCCGTGGGACCGTACATGAGCTTCTCGGCGACGTAGCGGTCCTTGAAAGAGACGATTTGCGAGTCGGGTTGGTCTGGGTTTGGTTCTATGCTTTCGTATTCGCCAACCCCCTGTATGTGTGCGTGTGAAAGGAAAAGCTGTTAGTATATATGTGTATGTATAGATGTATGTATGTATGACTTCGAACGCGATAGTGATGTTTGATTATGAAATGAGAAAAACATACCAAAAGAAACTGCCTCAACGCCTCATCCTTCTCAGCATTGAACTCGACGCCAGATACAGCAACACACCTGGGCCGATTGTCAAGCCGCAACACACCGCCCCGACCTCGCGGCACACCGCCCCGGCCCCGGTAAGTCCCCCCACCACGGAACGCAGGGTCAAAGCCACGACCCCGGGCTGCGAAGGCACCTCTCCCGCCTCGATACCCAGCCCAACCCCTGCCACGGCCCCGGGGCGGGTATTGCGGATCCGATAACGCCGGGTCCAAGCCTAGACTTTTAGCCTCCGCCTCAAGCGCCGCCAGCTGCGCACGCAACATCTTCGTCTGCTCGCTAACATTTTCGTCAGGGTGAGAAGACGATGATGACGCTCTTATCGTATCCGAATCAGCGGCCGCAGGCGAGGTGCCATTCGTTCCATCCGCTTCATGCGGCTGCTGCGAGCCGAGCCGCTGGAGTAACCTCGCCTTCTCCTCCTGTTGCCTCTTCAACAGATCCTCCTTCTGCTTCTCAAGCGCTAGTCTTGCCTCTTCGGTCTCCTTTCGTTTCTTCATCTTTTCCTCGTGCTGTCTTTGCGCTTCGGCTTGTTGCTTCTCGAATTCCTGCGAATCGAAAGGCTTTTCGTCCGATTTGTCGGGATGGTGATGATCACCGGCTCCATTTGTCTCAGATTTCGATCCCGGCTTATACCAATAAACTTTCACAAACCGGTTGTCGAAGATGACTTTCGGACTTGCCCAAGCACGACGTGCCGCTGCCCAGCTGTCGTATTTCACAAGGGCCAAGTGTTTATATGGTTGCATAGTAACCTCGACAATATTGCCAAACTCAGAAAAGAACTCGCGCACGATGGCCTCGTCAAACTTATCCTCTGGGATCTGCTCGACGACAATCGTGGTAATCGATCTATCCTCATTTGGCCCGGCCTGCGAAAATTCAGCGCGATTCCGTCGGGGGCCCGTGAAACCGCCTCGATCTCCCCTACCGCGACTACGGCCACGCCCGCCTTTATCACCAGCCCGAGAAGCTCCCGCTAAGCTGTGGCCATTTGTACCACCAAGCGGTCTATCCAAGACAAGATTTGACTTCGTAGGGTCATATTCTGCGACAATAACAATTAGTGAAAAATACCTTCCCCGTTAAAATGAAAAGAAAGAATAAAAGTTATATTACCGTCATCCCTCGCTGGTGCTACTAAATGATCTGTCCCATGCTGATACGGACATGTACTCCCCAACACACAAAAGCCTTGTGTATCATAATCCACGCATCTTTGGGGAATACTACCAGGCGCCGGCGATGTGCTCGCCGACGGCTGGCTGGAGCCCGGCGTGCCCGTCGAAGCGGGCAGATGAGGGAGTGGGGGCATGCCAGGGATTTGTGGAAACCCCATGGCTGCCTGTAGCGTCATCATGGCAGCAATGGGATCGCTGGGGTTGAAGGGAGGAAACCCAGCTGAGGTAGCAACAGGAGCCATTCCTTGGAACCCGCCGCCGGCCGGTTGCTGCGGTTGCTGCTGTTGCTGCTGCTGGTGGTTTAGATGTGCGGGGCCCATTCGCCCATTGCTAATGTTGTTGTTGTGATTGTTATTATTATTTACAAGCACGCGACTATCCCCGCGCCCACCACGGCGACCTCGCATGGATTTAAACGGCCGATCCGCGCGGTTATAATGTAGATCATGGTCGTCGCCAGCCTGTGGTCCTTCGTTGAAGGCACGTTTTCTGGAGAAGCTCGATCTGCCGGTGCTTTCAAAGCCGCCTGTGGCTAGCGGGTTGGGTCTTACATTGGTTTGTCCGTGGCCAAATGGGGCCCTGGACATCGTATCGGAGGGGATGGTTTGTTCCTGTGGTGGAGCGACTGCCGTAACGACGGCGGATTCCGGAGGTTGTTGGTGGGTGGTTGGTTGAACTTGGGCTTGAACAAGCTGAGGCTTAGGATTGAATTTGGTAAAGATCTCGTCGACGAAGGCGATGGTATCTAAACCGAGAAGAAAATAAGTAAGACAATTAAAAATTCACTGTAAGGAGAAGGAGTGATCAAAATAAATAGGGGATATATATGATTAAACCACTAACTCTCTTTCAAAAAATCCTCCAAATTCTCCACAGAAGCCTTCCGGATATCTTCATCGGGGGCATCGGACCGGATCAAGGCCAGTACATAATCGGCCAATACGTCCGAGTCCGCATCAGATCTGTCATGGAGAATAACACATTAAAAAGTAGAAAAAATTAGTTTTCACCGTGTCTGGACACAAGGAAATGAGCAAGCAAAATGGGCGTCTTCCCGAGAACAAGGAAGAAGGAATAAAACATACATATCCTCCAACCTCTTGACAACCCATGCCTTAACCTCCGCCGCCTGTTCCTCCGTAAATTGCATCCTGAATCCCCCTCCTCTATTCTCCTTTTTCCCTCTTCGCTTACTTTTTTTTCGCCTGCTTTAATTGTTTTTACAAAAGGAGCCCCTCGCCCTTAATGCGAGAAATTCAGAGGCGGGGGGGAAAGAATGACGGTATTCGTATAAGAGTAACTTATATATCTATCGAAGGGATTTAATTCAGACAAGGCGATTCGTTCGCAAACGAATTCACAAATCCAATATCCCTGTCGCGTTTTGCGTTCCCCGTATAAAGTCGTAAACTGATGCAGTATGTATGCTTTCTCTCCAGTCCCCTCTTTATTCTCGCTCTCCTATTCTCCCGGCGCGTGCGTGGGGATGAGAAAAAGAGCGGCCTGGATAGGAGAAAGGGGATTATGTTTTTTTTTCTTGTTTTCTCGTTACGTTGCGGAGCTTGGTGGTGGTCGGCCAGCCGTTCGCGGTGGCATGTAGGTAGGGAGGGGGGATGGGCCGTTGGGTTCGTTCCTTTTTCTTTTCCTTCTTTCAGTGTGGGAGGGAGGATGGAAATATCTCCTCTCCCCCCGTTTCTTTCCTTCCGTTTCACTGGCCGAACCCAGACCAAACGAAGCGACGAAACGATCGGAGGATCAGAGGCGCGCTGGGTGAATAAGTTGTTGGGTTGTCGGTTGATATAAACTCAAGAGCAATGGATGTGTTTTTCTTTCTTTCCTCTTTGCCCCACGTTTCCGTATTTGGTTTATTGAAGAAAGCACGCAGGCGTCGTGGTAATTGCCATCGTAGTCCTTGTGTCCGTTTCTTGTGCTTCTGTCGACAAGCTCCTCAAGTCATCAAAACCTGGCTTCTTTGGCTGGAGAAAAAGATCCATCAATATATCCAAATTTTTAATGTCATGTGATGGAGGCTTGATTAGTCACTACTTCTGGCAATTGACCCCAAGCCTCCAATAAAGGAATATCAACTATTGCAAGTACGAAACGAAGTGTTTACTATTATTTTAAACAAAAGCTCCTATTTTATTTTATTTTATTTTTGTTTTCTTCTACAACTTATTAATTGAAATAGAAAAAACAGACAATGAAACATTCAGTAAACATAAAAATGAAAATGAAAACGAACAGTAGTGAAGAAAATAAAAGAAAGGTCAATTAACAAACACACATAGAACACAAACGCAGTCAATATTTGGCAGTTTTATTTTAATTTTATTTCCTGTTCGTTTGAAAAGTCGTCGAATTTCGTTAGGAAAAAGACAAGTCAGGGGGAGGGCGTGAGGGCCGAGTGGCAAGTCAAGGTTGGGGATATCATTAACATCGTTTTTCTTTCTTCGTTGCCTCCTCCCGTTAGTAGTGCTAATTTTCTATTATTCGTCCTCATTTCGTGGAAGCGAGGATGTGAAATTCGACCCTTTTTTACAATTTGTCGTAATACTAGAAACGAGAAGAAGAGAGCATGGTTAGCCAAGGAATTGTAGAAGAGATGTGGTGGGATATCAACAAGATGAAAAAGCCTATAACACTTACATTCTCAACACCAGGAACAACCTCCTTAATACCCTTCCTCTTCCGCATCTCGGTAACAACCTGTCCAGGCTTCGTGGTAACATCCAACGGAGACCCACCAGGCAAGATCTGCCAGTGATCGAAGACGGATTGCGGGAACGCTTGTCCACCAGTCGCACTGCGCAAGTCCGCAGGGAAGCCGAACGATTCGTTGACGGGCAGGTATGCTTTGACTGTGAACAGCGGGGTGCCCGGTCTCTGCTCTTCGAAAAACACGTGGCCACGGCGCCGAGTGAGGACGCCGTAGATGCCACCCATAGCCTGTTCGGGCACTTGGATCTCGACCAGGAAGACGGGTTCGAGAATTCCTGGTTCTGCGAGGAGAGTTGCTGCGTACAGGACACGGCGTGCGGTGGGGATGATCTGTCCACCGCCGCGGTGGATAGCGTCAGCATGTAAGGTGACGTCGAGAATGTTGAAGCGGACGGAGCGCATTGGTTCGTCAGCAATGGGACCCTCGCGAGTTGCCCATTGGAAGCCGGAGACGACGGAGTCCTTGATTTCGTTGAGATATTGAACAGCTTTGGTTTGGTCGACGAGCAAGTTGGCGCCAGTGGTGTCGGGGCCGAAACACCAGATTTTGCGGGCGTCGGTGACGTCCCAGCCGTGCTCATCGGCGAGGATACGGGCACGGGCTTTGAAGTCATCGCGCGGGCCGATCTTGCCGTTCTCGATGTCACGGGAGACATCCTCCTCTAAGGGCTGTGCGGTCATGTAGAGACGGTTGTGTTTGTTGGGGGACTTGGAGAGAGCGGTTATGCTGGAGGTACTACCGACAGTCTCACGGTAGGAAACGACAGGGTCGGAAACACGGAGGGGAACACCGGCGTGGTCTTCTTCCAGATCTTTCAAGCAAATTTCCAAATGCAATTCACCAGCACCGGCGACGACGTGCTCGCCAGACTCGGATATGTACGTCAGGACGCACGGATCAGACTTGGACAGACGTTTGAGACCTTCGACAAGCTTGGGCAAGTCGTTGGCATTCTTGACTTCGACGGAGCGCTGTACGACGGGGGAGACGGAGAATTTCATGACCTTGAGGTTGTGGGCAGTCTCAGAGGTGGTGAGGGTACCAGACTTGAGCAAGAACTGATCGACGCCGACCAATCCAAGAATGTTACCAGCAGGCACATCCTCAATTGGCTCGATGAAGCGGCCCATCATGAGAATGGTCCGCTGGATAGCCTTGATGAACAGATCTTCCTTGCGGCCAGGAGTGTAGTTGGGGCCCTGGATGCGGACTTTGAGACCAGAGCGGACGGTACCAGCGAAGACACGGCCGAAGGCGTAGAAACGGCCCTTATCAGAGGTCGGCACCATTTTCGAGACGTAAAGCATGAGAGGGGCCTTAGGGTCGCAGTCGCGAATACCAATGCAAACATCGTCATCGGGGGGACCTTCGTACAGAGTTTCGGCGCGGTATTTCTGGGCAGTGACTGGGGAAGGGAGATGCAACACCATCATTTCCATCAGGGCATCGGCGGCCGGCAGGAACTTCTTCATTACAATTTTGAGAAGAGGCTTGCCTTCTAACTCTTTCTCTTCAGAGGTAAGCTTGATATCAAGCTTCTCGACGAGGGTGTTGATCTCCTCCTTCTTGGCATGGGTGATAGCATTGAAGATCTTGAAGATGGGGTCGAGGATGAACTGGCAGAAAGCACGCTCAAGAGGCTTGCCATCGAGTTCACCAACCTTGGTCCACTTCTTGGTCTTGGGGTTGAAGTAGTTATCGCCCTACAATCGGGTTAGTGGGATTGCAATTAAAAAAAAGATCATATGATGATGGTGATGGTTAGTGACATACCCAGAGACGCTCCATCATCTTGTTACGGTCAACACCGAATTTCTTGGCATACCTGGCAGCGAACTGCCTCACAGTGAAAGCCCATCCATGAAGACCAGACCCGAAAGCAACAGTTCCCTTGTAAGGGTAGACCTGGACGTCACCAAGTGCCTTGTCGAAGTAGGTCGCGATAATAACGTTGACGGACTCGATTGTTCTCGAGAATGACTGGTACAAGTCTTCCTTGGTAACTTGCAGCTCAAGGAGGGCACGGTCCACCTTGTTGATGATACAGACGGGCTTGATACGCTCACCAAGGGCCTGTCGGAGGACAGTCTCGGTCTGGACACAGACGCCAGAGACACAGTCGACGACAACGAGAGCACCGTCAGTGACACGCAGGGCGGCAGTGACCTCAGAAGAGAAGTCAACGTGGCCGGGGGAATCGATCAAGTTGATCAAGAATTCATTTCCGTCCACTTTTTGGGGGATATCCTTGAGATCGTCCGGATCCGGTAGGTGGGCATAGAGGGAGATGGCAGTAGACTTGATGGTGATACAGCGATCCTGCTCGTCCTGACGGGTGTCTGTGAAACGGGCCTCGCCAGCCTTTGCAGCAGAGATAATACCAGCACGCTGGACCAGAGAGTCGGTCAAAGTGGATTTACCGTGATCGACTATACACTGTGTATCAGCAGTGCAATGCTTCTCTACACCCTAAGTAGATCAAGAGACCACATACCGTGAGCAATGACGGACATATTCCGGATGTTGGCCGGACGGTCCATCAATTGACGGATCTATGCAACAAAAACAGCGTTAGTTCCCCCACCATTGACATTGGCGCTCCATTTTACCACGATATGTGACATATGGATAAAAGATGCCGTATGCAACCGGATGTAGCAATTGTGAGTTGCGTGAGAATAACGTACCTCCTCGACGGTGAAGCTGTGGGCGAGACATTTGTCAGCATCGAATTCATCCACATCACCGTGGACAAAACCACCAAGGAAAGCGGGCGATGGGGGCAACAAGAGGATGTACAATGCATTCTTAATAGAAATGAAAAGTATTCACATAAGAAGAGGTGAGGATATGAGGCATGTATTCCTGAGGTGGATACGTACTTGACCATCTTGACGGATTTGCTTGATCAAAAAAGCCCTAGAGGCGGGGTTGTGCGATAAGAAATTTTTTGCCGGTTGTTTTTTGTCTTTTTTTTCTTCTTTAGTCTGGTATACTATCGGTTCGCTTTGATTCTGTCAGAGTGAAGATCAGTGGAAGAACACACAAGACAGAATCGAGCGCTCACTCGACCTGTGAGAAAGCGGAAGTTTGAGAAAGTTCAGTGGGTGGGAGGTGGGAGTTGGGGATGAGGAGGGCACAGGGAGAAAAAGCAAACAGAGAGGAAGAACGGAGATGAGGAGAGGAATCAGCCGAGACACTAGTCACGCACGGCGTAGTAAGGAGCGAGGAAGTAGGT